CATGAATTAATTGAGTTAGAGTGAAAATATTGTGTTTGTGTTTAATATATGCTCAGCCATGTGAAGGGTGTGAGTAACAGGAATTGGTTGGTATTCTATTGTGTGTTTGTTGAAATATTATATATGATATTATAGCTGATGTTTAAAAAAACCCTAGATTAGGGGTGGGGAACCATGTGCCATGGAGGGCCGAGAGGCTGCAGGTTTTCTTTCCAACCCAAAACTCCCCCAGGTGATTTCACTGGGTACCTTACCTCCAAGCAGAGAGCAGGGACTAATCAGTAGGGCTGCAACTTACGATTATTTTGATAATCGATTAATCTGCCGACTATTTTAATAACTAATCGATTAATCGGATAAACAGGCTAAATTCATCAATGCAGCTGTTAATAGCAATAGCATAGGGCTTTAGTTTATCATATGAGTTTATCTGCCATGAGGTGTTGAGGTCTCTGCATGTGTAGGTTACCGACTTACTGTAATCATCGGGTCTATCTCGTCCTTATAAAAACCTGCTCTATTTCGGCGAGTGTCTGTCTTCTTCTGTAGTCAAACCGCAAGATATCAAAATCTACCCGGACTTTTTGATTGGCTGTTCAGTAGATATACTTTATTTGATTGGCTTGCGCGTGGCACGCAGCTTCTGAACTCTCGGAGGAACTCAGTTGATTTCCCCCAGTTCCATAGTTAAAGAAGTGCAACTTGGTGGACATCACCATGTTCATTTAAATGCGTGAGAAATACAATGTGTGGTGTGTGAGCGTGTGAACGAGTGGGAATGCGTGTGTCATACACTGAATGCGTGAGACTTGAGAGCCCTGTGCTCACGCATCATCGATGAACTCCCGTGCCGTGCAAAACGGGCTTTGCAAATGTTGCACTGAACGCCTTCCTTGTCAGTCTTGGTAAAGTTTTCCCACACCATGGGTTGTGTCTATGTTTTTCTCAGCCGCTGCCTCGGCCATGGCTGTTTCTTTTCTGTGCGTCCTGCTGATGTTTACACGCCGGTGTCCATGGACATATATAAAGACCCGATGAATCGATTACAGAATTAGTTGGCAACGAATTTTTTTGTGACGACGAATCGACTTAATCGATTCGTTGTTGCAGCCTTAGAAATCACCTGGTGGAGTTTTGGGTTGGAAAGAAAACCTGCAGCCTCTCGGCTCTCCATGGCACATGGTTCTCCGCCCCTGCCCTAGATTGTCTTGATTGGTTTGTCCGGAGGAGGAGCCAAGGGGTATTTAAGGGAGCTCAGCTCACTTGTTGGGGGGCCTCCTGGTTGAGAAGACATATGTTGGTCCTGGTGGTTGAATTGCGGTTTGTAAATAGTTTTTCCCTCTGTCTTTTTGTAAATAATTTTTGTAAATATTTTTTGTACATGAGTTTTTTCACCTGTGGGTATTTTTAGATATGGTGTAAATAAAAGAAAATCACCGTACTCGAGTCTGGACTGTGCCATCATCTTTCCCTCCACAACCAAAAAGGAATTTAAAGAAACTGAACCCCGACAATGTATGACTTTGTTATAGGGCTGGGCAATAAAACGATAACAATATACATCAAAAATTAATTTCCCTCAATATCAATATAAAACATGGTCAATATGCTTTTCAATATTTGACATTCTGACATGTTTTGGTAGACTATATGAATAGCCAATGAAAAGGGGAGTTGCTTCGGGTCCGCACTGCAAATTATGTTGAGTACATGTTCTCGCAAAGTCGGGGAATGCCTCAAATCTTTTTCACCACCTGAAGCAGTGCCACATGGCAGAGCATGCACAATGCAAAAGGTTACAAACTCTGAGTGCAGCAAGGAGCCCCACCATTCAGCCTGCTTTCTCTAGCCCAGCGCCTTATGACAAAATGTCGAAAAGACACAAAGACCTCACAGATGCAGTAGCCTATTGTATTGCAAAAGACATAATACCAATAAGCACTGTTAAATTTTATTTTCTATATAGTGATATATATCTATATCGACTGAGATGAAAAAAATGATGATGTCATGAATGGTATATCATGATAATCTTTTTTCCATATCACCCAGCCCTACTTTGTTATAATAAAGGAGAACAGTTAATAGTATACTATCTGGTGTACCAACACTCTTTGCACAGGAAAAGCAGTGTAGCTTTGGCTATTAGCACCACTTTTTTCATTAACTTTTGCCTCATTGTGTGTTAAACTTATTTAAAACAAGCAGCAGTGGAAGTAAATTACTAATGTGAGACAACAAGTGGCAGATGTCTGGCCCCCTGAGGTGTATTGGCAGTGTCTGTTGTGTCCACACCATCAGGAACATATGTGAATGAACAACTCTGAAACTTTTCAAGGGCAGGCTGTCCTCAAGTTCCTCAACCTCAATGTGCAATAAATCATATTTATATGTATATTCTGTACACATGTAAACAAGACTCATGTATATATCTTGTTTTTTACTCAAAGTTTCTTTATCTTTAATTTTTTTTCTTTCTGTATCTGTAATATGCTGCTGTAAATTTGGAATTTCCCCCCTTAGGACTATTAAAGGAACGTTTTATTTTATCTTATCTTATCTTAACTTTCCAGAAATGTCTCCCAAAGATTGAGACAACTCTACATTGGGGGGTTAGACTTTTGTGATCGCAAATGTAACAACAAAGCTCTCAGAAATATGTTAGTAAACGAATATTACCCTAGCCCAATTAAAAGGATGTATAATTTGAAGCAATTTGATTTGGATAACATCAAAAAGATAAGAAAGAATTGTATGTCCTTACCATTACCTCCCAAGGCCAAAGAGGTCCATTTCAAGATCCTGAACGAAATTTTTAAGATTAGGTTTAACTTTGAAGCTACTTTTCTGTAAATCCTTAAAATTTGTTACAGACAAGAAAGCCCAACACCTATTGTCTTTACTAGGAACGTTCAAATTGATATAGAATGGCCTCTAACATTGAAATTGTGTTTTTTTTTCTCTCTTTTGATGTTATTCATGCTCAATCTAAGGTAAATATTTTATAATTTTCTTTTATGATAAATAAGTGCCTTGTTTGTTCGTTTGTAATTCAATGAAAAATAAAAAACAAATGAAAAATGAAAAAGAAAAGGGGCTAAAAGGTATTAAAAGGGTTTTTTTTTTTTTTTTTTTTTTTTCACAGAAGTTACATTTGTCAGAAGGAACGGGCATGGCTCCAAAATGATGTAGCACGTGTTCCTGGAGTTTAAAACAAGCCCCTCAAGGCTTTTCCTCTGTTTCATATCATGATAATTGGAAAAAAGTTTGATGCTACTGTTCTTACACTGAGGTACAGGTGGGTTTCATTCTTAAAAAATTAGCCGTACATACTGACTTATAAAAGACTTAGTCTACATTTTTACCGACTAACAGTGAGGCTTGAAAGCAGAAAATAACCATGTGAGTTGAATAACCTTCTAATTGATAAGACCATAGACATTATACACATAAACGCCTCATTACGTGCTAAACCGTGATCCAGCGTCACCGCCATGTTGAATGGGTCTCCCCACTCCAGGTTCGCTCAAGAGTCAAACGGGGTCAATGGAGAACAAGCAAATATGTCCGTTTTCTTGCACTCTGTGGTTGTAAAACCTGACGCAGTATTAAAGTCCGGATCACGTAGGACTACATTTCACAAATAGGATTGAAATATATATATATATATATATATATATATATATATATATTCTTTTTTTTTTTTTTAATGTATGACATTGTCCTGTGTTATTGCTGCACCCCTGCTGTTGTAATGAATCAAACAGTGTGAAAATCGAGCAGAGATTCGGATAGTGGGGTGCCTGGACACTCAGTCATTTCAAATTCGTGTAAAAGTTTATTTTTCACTTCCAATTTGTAGATTATGGTGCACCCGTCTTTGCAAATGTAAATGCGAAAAATTGCTTCACCGGAGCATATTTCCAAGATTGTGTATATATTAGGTTTCTTTTTCTTTTGTAAAATAATGTATAGCCAGTTGTTAAAGCTAATGGCACCATGTTGTGGTACAGTTAAAACTTAACTACATTTTGTATTATTGTGTAATAAACGTTTTAGTTCACTATTTACTGTTTTGTCTCATTTGAGTGAAAAATATGATACCAAAAATATTTAAAACATAAGTATTTGAATACCTATTGATTCCTCACACAGTATTGACATAATCTAGCACAAAAACAAAAATTACAGAGCAATTGTGGGAAAACCAAGACATTATTCAAAAAACATAATTCCGATTTTGGCCATTTTGAAAATAGGGCAAAAAATATATTTTTCTTCAATCTGGTTTTTTTGACACTCTAACCAAAATTGTTCTATAGACCATAATATACAAATTGGAAGTGAAAAATAAACTTTTACACGAATTTGAAATGAAAACATAAAATTACATATACACAGAACCCCACTATATCCCTATCCCTATCCCCTAACCCCTAACCCTAACCCCCTTACCCCTTACCCTAAACCCTTACCCCTAACCCTAACCTTCACCCTAACCCCCTATCTCTCAACCTCTAACCCTAGTCTAAACAATATGTATGTTCTCAACCTGTGGACTGTTTCCAAACAACTCCACACCACTGTACAAAGACTGATGCCCAAAACTGGACCTAGTGAGAAAAGAAAATTCTCTGCAAAAAGGCACACCACTTACTTCTGCCTGATGGATGAAATTCCAAACAGAATCTTTATTTTTTTATGATGTATTACTTTTTGAATAAATAAACAAATAAATAAAAAAGAAAACAGTTTGTCAGATGTTGGAGAGTTATTATCAATGTGGTTAGACATTCCTACTTACCTTAATGCAATGGGGACCCATCCAAGATGGCGGCTGCGCTGATACGTGAGAGGCGTCTACGTATCTATGGAAAAAAAACTGTCCTTGGTCACATGTGCAAATTTCACCTTTAACTTTCTCTCTACCAAACTTCCTTATGTCGTCAAACTCTACTTTGAAGGTGATTGGCCAAACGCAGGAAGTGTTTATGTACTGGTTTCTGATTGGTCGTAAGCGCAGCGCGATAACATCAGGGTTGAGAGTTCCGTCAGCGTGCGTTACAAGGAGCCTCTACCTGCTCAGGTTTGGTGAAAAATGGCGAGCTGGTGTGTCCGAGCGGTGAGACAGAGCTACTCTGTGGTGGCTTCGCCTGCTTTAATAAGGTAACAGACCGTTTAAATGAGCTCTTTATCTATTCTAAGGCTGTTATACAGTGTTTGTAAGGCTTAGTTTGAGTGTTAGCCGCTGTCGTTAGAGGCTCGTTAGCTTGACCTCTGTGTGAGAAATACAGATATTAACCGGATTTAAATGTGTGTTATTGAACTAAACAACGAGCTCAAAGTGATGCTGGATCAGTGTTTAAGTGTAATTCAATATCAGCTTTTTTCTAGTGGAAACAGGCTGATGAAATAAGGTGATGTAATGATCAGAGGTCTATATAAGAGGCTAAACTACGATCAACTTTTGGTGTTCATCATCTTATATCTGATTTAACACCTAAGTCTGACGATTTTTACTAGTCTGCTCAGTCTTTATAATAAAAATCAAAAATATCACACCATCTCCTGTTTTTACATCTGCCTATTTTTGCGCATTTATCACAAGTTTGATCCATCTGTCACGATAGCAGAGCCGTAGCTTTATTTATGTTCCCTGTTTTTCAGAAACTGTGTCTTTTAATTTGTATTTCACAGCTTTTCTGAAGGTTTTTATAAGTGTATTAGTGACAGCAGCATCCAAAACACATGGTTAATCTAATCCAATTCAGCATGTCAGCCCAACTACAAATTATAACTTGAGGAACTTTCTAGCTCTTGAGTTTTAATTCACACAATCAAAGAGGTGATAATTCTACTTTATGTTATTATTGAAGACCTAATGAGTTTTGGTGATGTTCTGGAGTGTGTTCCACTGAAAAGTGTTCCTGATATTTTGGCTCCTTCAGTGACAAAAATCCGTTATCACCTGTGTGAGGTGACAAAATTGAACATATGGGATCTTTGAAAAGTACAATTAATGGTAGAGCTGTTGGATTTGATTGTACAGGGGTTCATAAAGTCATGTCTGGTTGATGTGTATAAATAAATTTCTCAGTACAATTACTTTTAATGCAAGAGGAGGTTAAATTAAAGGTTTTTTTGGTTAATACTGTATTTGCTCACTCAAAGATGCAGTAACAAAGATCTGAATGATTCCAGCTGAAGTAAAAAAAATATATGTTTGACCATAATCCTTAATTTTCCATGATTTTAACAGCTATTTTTGAGCTGTATACCACAAATACATGGTCCTTAATCATTTAATGACATATAAGTCAGTTGCACAACATCCTCAGTGGGTGCCAAAGACAATTGCAAATTGGCTTTGGTAGTATTAAGCTCTACAATCCCACCAGACATGAGCAGGCTGTGACAGACAAACACACTAACTTCAGAGGACAAAGATAACTTAAGTACCTTCAGATAACCTGAACATATTATTTACTCTCTATATTTTACTACTGTGACTGCTCTGTTAAGACTAGGGCCCGACTGATATGGATTTTTTGGGGCCGATACCGATTACCAATTAATCAGCCGATTTTTTACATTTTTTAGGTAGTTATAAAATATATATATACTGTAGATATACTATAGGCTTCTGCTCTTCACGCCAACAGGAAGACCGACTGATCAAACCCGGACCAGAAAAGCATTTCAACTGCCTCATGTTAAACGCCCTTCCCCCCGCCAATCGGTGCCTCTGCGTCTTAACTCGCGTTACACATTTCCGGTCCGGTCTCATCTGGAGACATGCAGCTGCCTCAGTAAGAGAAGTAGTTTGATCACGTAATGTGTACTGTTGTTTATTCTACCGTTACTGGTACAGCTAACAGTGTAGCAAGGCTAATAGCAGGTGATTAACTCTAACTTTAGCTTGCATATTACATGGTGCTTCACCGTTAACTCAGCATGACCGAGACCAGCACAGCGGGGAACATCGTGAAGTGGGTTGAACTGAAACTTGTTGACTTATTGTGTATTTCACAAACTAGTTTATTTACCGTTGATGCAGACCACTCTCCTCTGTGCGTCCCTGAGCTGCCTGCTTCAGATCTGTCACTCTGCTGTGCTGTGAGGTAGTTAGTGGATGAGGTCGCTGCGCCATCTACAGGATAAGTCGGGGAACTTTTCAAATGGCGGAACATTTTCAAAGAGAAACCGAATCTTATTCTCTGCATTTTATTTCTGAAAATATTGGCGAAAATGGGTGAGTTTTGGCCGATTACCGATTAGTCCCAAACAGGCTAATTTAATTGGCTCGCCAAAAAATCAGTCGGGCCCTAGTTAAAGCCAGAGCCATTTTCAGCCAATTAGTTGCTCAAACAAATCCTGTTATAGCTGAACTGAAGTAGATGTGATACAGTTTGAAGTTGTAATGTATGAGTGGAAGTTTTAGAAATTTAGAAATAAACACCATATTTGAAAGTCCGCTACAGAGCGGCTCACCAAGGGACGAAGAGCACACACAGACATTTAAATTTTTACCTATTTAATAAGCAATAATGCTGTCGTTCCCTTTCAGAGCATCTCCAAGGTTGTTATGCACGGCTACGCAGCAAAAGAACGGCCATGGGCCCGAGGAGGAGGCTGAGAAAGCGGAGCAGAGCTCGGCCGAGAAAGTCCTGATGGAGGAGAAGACACAGTTAGAGGAGCAGCTCAAAGAAATGACAGTAAGTCAGAGACAAGTTCACCTCTAGGTTAAGTCAATACTAAAGCACTGAACACGACTTTCTGATGTGTAGAAATCTTTTAAAAAGGAAATACCGCAACTACTGTGTTGAACTACATCAGAATGTTAATGCTGATGTGTTTTCAAGCATGAATTATTATTTTTCATGTTGAAATAAAGCATAGAAATGTGGGTTAGGCCCAGAGATGAAATCACCAACAGGCAAGAGTTGAGCAGACAGAGAGGTTGCATTTGGCTGCATGTTCTCAGATGGTAATGAAATAAAAAATCTGTGTCTGCAAAGCTTCCCCTCATTGGTTTTCGGTCTAAAATAAGCTTGTAAAAATGTGCACTTAAATAAGGTTCATATTAGGGATTACTGGGAATGTCTTCTTAATAATAAGCACGTAACATTCATGCTGACCAATTTTTCTTCTATGTCTACAGGAAAAGTACAAAAGGGCCTTAGCAGACACAGAGAACCTCAGGACGAGGAGTCAGAAGATGATTGAAGATGCTAAACTATACGGTAAACACCATCTCACCTCCTGAGTGATTACATTTGCAGTCGCATGTTCATTCCACTAGATGGCATCAAAGGGGAATTTTAGTGTTAAACCAAATTGTGCTACCTTGTAAAAGGATTGGGCTCCTACGCTCTCACTCAGGTAATTGTCTCTTTTCCATCACCAGGCATTCAGGGTTTCTGCAAGGACCTGCTGGAGGTAGCTGACATCTTGGAAAAAGCCACAGAAAGTGTCCCTAAGGAAGAGGTAACAAGCCAGAACCCTCACCTGAAGAACCTGTACGACGGGCTTGTGATGACGGAGGTCCAGATTCAGAAGGTGTTCACCAAACACGGCCTGATCAAGCTCAACCCCGTTGACCAGAAGTTCGACCCATACGAACATGAGGCACTCTTCCACGCCCCCGTGGAGGGAAAGGAGCCGGGCAGTGTGGCTATAGTTACCAAAGTGGGCTACAAGATTCATGGTCGCACACTCAGGCCGGCTTTGGTGGGTGTGGCTAAAGCCCCCTAGAATTTGTGATGTAACTGTGACAAAGTGGGATTTGTTTCGTTACCTGGGGGATGTATGAGCTCGGGTACTGCAGACTGGTTAAGGCACCTCAACACACCTTTTCCCACAATTCTTTTCTGTCATCAGCCCACCCTGAGGTGCCTCAAAATGACAGGAAGCCAACTGAACTGGACTTTGTATTGGGACTATCTCCAATTTTTACAATGCACACCAACATTTCAGTTTGAGTCACTGCACAGGCAGAAATATAGAAACTCACCAGATTCTAAGGCAGAGGATCTGTTCTGTCTTTCAGCCACAAATCAACCTTGAAGAGAAGTAGTTGAAATATGAATTTCAACCCGCATATCATGTAGTGCTGATTCTGAACTCCTGGTTTCATTCCAGTCTTTTATTTCCAACCCTGATAATCTTTAACTGGACTTGGTTGTCTCTACATGTTTGTCAGTTTTAAACTCATCCTGTGAATGAAGTCTGGAAAAGTACTAAACTAAAGAAAAGTCTGGACTGATGTGGGCTTTCTAAAATCTGTATGTTACAAACCTTTAAGGCTCCTCTCACTTAGACCCAGTCTTTGTAACATCCAGGTTCCAGCGTAGTTATGCTGTAACACAAAAACCACCAGAATGTGTTTGGACCACTGTCCTAATCACCATGACATGACAATAAAGTGACCAACTCTGACAGCTGCCGGTGTGTTTTCATTTGTCTGTTGTGCATATTGTGTTAAGAATTACAGTAGTTCAGAGGAAAAAGTAAAATAGCTGTTGTCATTTAAAGGTATCTGTAGTCACTCCTGACAAATCTCTGTAAAAAAAAAAAAAAGATTCCTGCAGAACTACAAGCATTATGAGTTTATTAAAGGTGTTTATATAAGAAAAATGACAGTATTTTCCTGTAGAATTATTGGCCTTCACGGTTTATTAAAGGTGGTTAATATAAGAAAAATAGATAAAAATAACACTTTTTTCCTGTAAAATTATTGGCATTCACAGTTTATTTAATCCGTTGCTTCAAAGTTATTAAAAATCAAAAAAGTATTTTGTTCCACAACTTTTAGCATTGTCAGTTTTTTGAAGGTGTTTGATCGTAATGACTAAGAAAAAACATAAAATTGCAGTATTTACTGTAGAGTCATTAGCACTGTCAGTTCTTTAAAGGTTTTGTAATTGCAGAATTGGATAAAATTGTTTAAGACTGTATTTTTTTACACTTAAGGATGTGGCGTCTGTCTGTTATGGCCTCACCACAGAACAGGACATGAGTTTTCATCAGTCGGTTCTTTAACCTACAAGATGAAACTAACAGACATACAGTCTTTGGTGGTTTCTTCAGGTACAGACCAAATTCACCAACTATCATATTCATACACAAGCTTGAAATAATCAATTGGTTTCATCACAAGGTTTTCATTGATTTTATTTTATTTTTATCTATGAATCATTACCAGAAAATAATCCTTTTCTTTAGACCTTTAATCTTAATTGCCCAAAACTAAAGATTTTTTGCTGTTCAGTTTCTTTCAGTCCAGAAATAAGACTTATCAAAAGCATCTGTCTGCTGTGATATTTATAATTACGGCATACAACTGTAAAAAGCATGTATGAATATTTGGATATTTCTGCTTTACTAACTCAAAGCTATTGCAAAATAAAGACATTTTTCACAAAATACCAATCTTTGGAGATGCTCTTTTAGGCCTAAATTACACTCATTTTCCTCTAATGAAACCTGCAGAGTTAAAAAATAAAGACTTGTTTTTCTGTGAATGCAATCATTGTGAGCGATTTCACCTAATTGACATGCTTCTCTGGTGGATCTCTCCAAGCTTCGGTGACAAGTCCCCTCTTGTTAGGATGGGGAAGCTTTACTTTCACCGTTCAGAAAATGAAGTGAAAATGAGAATATTCAGAATGATAAAGTATCTGCACTTTTAATACATCTCCAAACACGCCTTGTTATTTGCAACAACGAAGTAACAGGACAACTCAACAGATAGACAGCATCAGACTCATCAGCATGCCACCACTACACCTTCAAAAAATGCCTCTCTGTGATCCAAATCTACTTTTTATTACAAAAGCTATAAAATTTTCTGACACAAAATACTGTACATTTCACAAGTCAGTAATTATACTTTTTTTTCAAGTTTATCTTACAAAACTATTTACATTTGTGACATTAAGTAAGCAAACCCTCCCCTTACAAAATGTGTCCCACAATAGGAAAAAAAATACAATGCCAAACACACACCACTTTGGGAACATTTGGTTGCACATGCAGAAAAAAACACCCTCTTGTAGAAACCCTAGAGTCAAATTTAGAGCTGTCAGATTTATCTGTTAGTTTTAGGTCAGCTCTTGATTGGAAATAAAACTAAACTCCCCTGAACAGCCCAGTTGCTTGATATGTTACTCAATCAGTGTTTTCAGTGAACCAGCTCTATAGAAATCTAGTCTGAACATGGAGCAAGTGTACACACTGAGATGACCGACTAGGAACGATTCAAAGATATATATTCTTTGTGTGTTTTTCGTTTAAGTCCTGTGCAAATCTACATATTAGTTCTGCTTTTTGCACTGAAAGTTGTTAATTGTGTTAGAGATTAAAAAGCCTGAAAAAAATTAAAAAAGGGAAATGTGGCAGCATACAGTCTGGAGTGTATTTCACTCTTTGCAAAGGCTCAGTATTCGCTACAGGGACTACAAAAGATGGGGGGTCATTTTTAAATCACGAGGTATCTTTGCAATACTAATCCCATTGAATTTGAAACTTGTGCCCATTGTACCCTGGAGAAAACTTTGATTTTTTTCTCCACATTAGGATAAGCCTGGAAATACACCCTCTTTTTTACTGTCGACAAACCCCAGAGAAACCAACTCACATTGTAACACGTGAAAGCTTTCTTTATCTGAAGGCATCTGAAGTCCAACAGCTTTGAAGAAAGGTGTGATATTCATTAACAGCATTAATATATAATCGAAAAGACGTACATCTATCCTAAAACAGCTGAGCTTTGTAAATAACTGGCAGTTAAAGCTCCTGTGGGGGATTTTTTTGACATTTGTGAAATAGGCTGAAATCTACACTAATGCCTATTTATGATATACAAAAATAAACAATATCATTAGCAACATAAGTGTAGATTTATACAAAATAATTTTAATGCCTGAAATTGTTGCAATGGGGGTAGGTGTCAGTCAGGCAGCTGAAGAAACAGACCCTTTTTTATATTTCACACAATAAGTACACATAGAAATATCATATATTTGACTCCAAAGTCAGTCGGTTTCAATTTTTCGTAAGAAGACACTACCCAAGAACTTTGAGGACAAAGTAAGCAAAGGCTGGATCATCTACAGGGGGCGCCAAAACTGACACAAAGTTCCTCACAGGAGCTTTAACCTTAAAAAGTATTTCAGAGTGATTCTGCTGGGGACTATTTTCAGGTGTGGATTTGCAGATATATGGTGCTTGATAAGCATTTGAGCCTGCATATAACAGTGAATGAAAACAAAATACAATGCATGGTTGTAAATGGTATTGAAAAAGCATATCATGTAGTACCAATAGCTTAAAGACAACACTATAGATCTAAAGGGTAAGAGGGTGTTGCTGAGATTTTTAAAAAATGGACAATTTTGCTGGCATTTTTGACAGTAAAAGGAATCGAGATTATCAGCAAGTTATCATTTAAAATCAGCTGCAGTTTTTAAACAGAATTGTACACAGATAGGAGAAACACGGTGATATCATTTCACTAATGACTTGCATTTTCAGCCAAAATTTCCACCACAGTAAGACATAGTAATGAGGGACAGAATATGAATCTAGGCCATATTCCTGCTTCGGTAAAATCTCCATATCCACACGCCTTTCTCGATGATTTTGGGGCTTTTGCTCCTACTGTGAAATAACATCCATTTCAATAACTTCATTTACATTTAAATAGCTCGGTAGCCACCGCTCAGCGCAGCTCTAACAAAAAAAAAAAAAAGCAGGAAAATGAAATGAGTCACCATTGCTGCTGTTATGGCGCTGCCTTTGAGACAGATGCAGGGTTAACATTAAAAACACAAACTGTCAAAGAGGGGCAGGTAACATCTGTTCTACAGACCATTTGGGAAACATGCAAAGCAGTAATATTGGGACGGTGGGCTTTCTCTTTAAATTTGACATCTTTTTTGGGTCAAGATGACGACAGAATGAGCTGCTTTTGTGCAGGATTTCAGGCAGCAGCCGATACACAGAGTAGTCCTGTGAACGTACTTGTTTTTGCTGACGATGAGCTCTCATTGAAAATCAAAGTGCCACAAAGGACACTTTTAGACGGACCTTTATTTCAAAGACTGGGATTATTACAGCTGCTCGAGTCTTCCTCCAAAAGCACCAAACTCCATTGAGGAAAAAACCCAGCAATTTAACCTGCAATATATTGACAGCTTGGCTTCAGCTGCCTCAATCAGAATTCTTTATAATGTTACAGACTGCTACACAAACACTGTCTTGGATACGAATTAACTATTAAAATCCAAAGACACACAGTAGCACAAAAAATTAACCAATCACAGAAGCAACACACCTGCAGCTTCTGTTTCAGTAAAATTGCTGTATTGGTTAATGACGTTTGGTGGCTTCAGAGGAGAGATTTACCAGCTGTATCTGACTGTAAAGATGCCTCTATCTTTATATATCTTTTTATACTTTGATCAGAAAAGACTATAATATGAGTTTTTCAGTTGCAAAAACAAGCACAAGTTTGATAGACCCTGCTACATCTACAGTGTAAACGTACTCTCTATGACCTCAAAGTGAATCATCTGCCAAAATTGGGTCCAGAAAATCCTGCAACTATAGAAAATTTTAAGTATTGTAGTTACCATCAGACATAGATTTTTAAACCCAGTGTTGTATTTCACCACCATCCAATTCCAAATGTAGAAATATAAGCTGAATTTTGCTCCTAGCTCTTGTATGAAAATATTTTTTCAGTTGGGTATCCCCCTCTTTCTGTATTCTACATATTTACAAAGTCACCTTAGAAATATTGATGAGAAACAGCAGTTTAGTCCTCCCCAAAGAGTGTATAGTAAACCATTACACTATTCCTTCCTTACTGGAAATGTCTCATTATGAGGCATCTCTAGATATCCAGCCGCTCTCTGTGAGGAAGGTGAAGATGCGCTTCTTGAGCACCTTGTCCAGGTAGCTGGGCAGTCGGCTCTTGGCCGGGATGCCCTGCCTTTTCTGCAGGTGATCCTTGATGATAATAGTTTTGACAGTCAGGTAGCGTGCCGGGCTGAGGTTCAGAGAGTTACACAGCACCTTCTCCCGGTCCGACAGCAGCTCAAAGCCCGTCAGATTCTCAATCGCAGAAAACTCGCCATCTTTGCCCTCTTCTTTGATCCCCCCTCCAACACCCAACCCTCCCGCCACACCTCCACCTCCCCCAGTTCCTCCAAGTCCGATCCCGGAGCCAAGTCCGCCCCCTCCTCCGCTGCCACGTTTGGATGTAACCACACTTTTGTTCTCTTTGCGTTTCTCTCTTTTGTGGCGCGCTGCTTCATACTCCGTAGATTCCTCCAGGCGGGTGATGCCATTGCGGCGGTATCGCTGCAGCTCACGCACCTTCGCCCTCAGCACTCGCTCTTTATGCATGTTCTCAAAGAAGTCTTCAAACTCCCTATGGGCCATGAACTGGCAGAGTCCCCTCAGTCTCACCCTCTGCTCCTTCTCTTCCTTTGTGATCTTCCTTTTGGGGGTACTTGGAACTGGGCCTGCTCCTGCTGCTGTCATGGATCCAGATCCAACAGTTCCACCTCCAGCTCCTCCCCCTCCAACCCCACCTGTTCCAATCACCCCCAGCGTACCTGGTTTCTCTTTCTCCTTGTCTTTCTTGTCTCGGCCCAGAAACCCAGGCACTAAGTTGTAGTCTCGGGCAATGTTCTTGCGTCGCTGGCGTTCTCTGAGCTTACGCACATACATGTCCACATGAGCCCGTTTCATTTCTATCTCCACATCCTCATCGTCGTAGTTCACAGACAGCCCACTGATGAGCTTTTCTGCGTCCTGATCATACTCAATCTCATAGTCATCACGTAGCGGCATGTAGCCCAGCTGCTGCTGCTCTGCCAGGCTGATATCCAGCGGTGGTAGTGGTGTTGTGAGGCTGGGAGACAGAGGACCCCCACTTGGGCATGTGTGGTCTGTCACCCTGTTGGGAATGCTGTCAGGGATGCATGCCTTACCCAAGTTTCCGTGGATGTACATGGTGACGTAATGCTCCATGACTTCTTGAGGGGTTCTGGTTGCTCCCACATGAGCAGCCATGTCCTCCTGAAAGGCAACAGGAAAGACCAAATAAGGCAAGAGTAGTGCTGACACAATTTATCAATGGGTAACCTTTGATATTTTCAACTCTTTTAAGGAACAAAAAAACAGACATCTGCACCTCTTCATGGCTGTTTTTCTCCAAATATATCCATGCAAATGCCTTTTTGCAGGTGTGATTTTGTTCATTTCAATAACTTATTTTCCAACGCAGTGCTATTTTATTTAACCCAAACAGTTCAGGGGATTAGACAAAGTGGCTTACTAACCCATCAAAAGTCATCCACCAGGTGTTGACTAAATCATTCTTCCATGTCATTTGAATCAAGGTTATGAGTTTTTTTTATCAATACCACATGCTTTAAAACAAAACATTAGCTCTTTTCATTCAATATAAAAACTGTAAAATATTTTTTTTTCCTGATTTTCCATACTGGTTATGCTTTAAATAACTTGTATAAAAGCTAAAACACACTCGCCTCACACTTTTACTGGCCCAGCAGGACTTACATAGTTTTTACCTTGACATATATTGAAGTCCCATATCTCACTGTATCTCAGCTTTACTTAGAAACTAAATTTTTTTAACTTATATTTTAACAATTTAGTTTTCTATGTCCCTTTTCAAAGAATTATACTAACTGAGTATCTCTAGACACCGAAGTGACCCTTGTCATCTCATATTTCGGGCTCTTTTTACCAGCCCAACTGTCTAATGAGCAATATTACAACTTTTATACTGAATATGAAATAAATAACATATAATGAAAGCAAATACTAGAATTTGTCCTCTGTAATAGTTTAACTCAAGTTATACCGCCTAATTTTAGTCGCCTAACTTTAACAGTCCGAGTGTATTGAGGTTTCTCATAAGGGTCACAGCGACAGTTTCACTCAACAACTTTTACCGTTCATGTTTTCTCAGCAACAGAAACTTAACTTTGGTCGGTCATTTTGGCATTTTTAAATATATGTAGAGTAAATAAGTTAAAAATTGATGTACCCAGTTTCCAAAGCCATACTGCTCGATGGCATCGAGCAGCGACTGCTCTTCCCTGCTGGTCCATCCTCCCTCCGCCTCGGGACCCCAGAGAGAGAACCGACCGCCGTCGACCTGCTGGTAGCCGTGCCATCTGCGGTGATTCCCGAGTTCCGCACCTGCTGAGAAGCATTCCGGGCACAGCTCGATGTCCGGACAGTCGGTGCAGCGAAGCCGCAGATTTGTAACGTCTGCAAGGCAGTTAACGCAGTACTTCTTCCCCAGGTCGGCCATGTTGCCTGGCTCCTGCTTCTTGTTGTTGGAGGCAGAACTCCGCGCCTGCGCACCAGCAGCCTCGCCGCACATCCTGCTTGTTAATATTAATGAGCGAGGGTCAGGGCGGCGCGGATTGGCTCACAGGGTTAGTTTCCAGGACAACCGCAACAAAACAAACTTTCACTGATTTAGGAAGAGCACAGGCATTATCGACGTTATTATTCTCGAGACTTTTAATATTTCACTATATTTGCTTTTCCTCTTCAAAGATGGAGTTGGATGCTGAAAACGAAACTAACGAGGTGACGAATAATATAGAGAAGGCAGATTTCTCCAATGAGGAAATTTCTCTAATTTCTCCAATTAATAATGGCAGTGAAACTATCCCAGCTGAAATAGTGGCGCCACATCATGATAAAGAGATCTTAGAAATTGTGAAAGCTACAGAAGAGGCCCTCGGTGGTGAGGCAGCTGAACCAGAAGAAAACTGTGAAAACCTGCCTCCTGACACAAATCAAGACCTGGATGTAGAGACAGACACAGTCAGGGAACACCTAGGGACCCCTGAAGAGAGTGTTGTTTTTGAGACAAACAGCCCAGAAAATGAAGGACCTGAAAGGCTGCATTTAGACACCCCACAACAAGAGACCACCTGTCCGCAGGGGGAGGAAGACAAGGAAGAAGACGAGGAACCCACTCCTGCTGCTCCAGACTTCGGCTACGAGGAAAACACCCAACTCCTCCAGGAGCTGTGTGAGCAGAGAGAAAAAGCTGCCCAGCGCAGCGCCCAGCTCCAAGTGAAGCTGGTGGAGTACTTCCGCAGGACAAGCGGCGATGAGACTCAGGTGGAGATGGAGAAGGAGGACCCAGAGCAGCAGCAGAAGGAGGAGTATGAGAGGTTCATGAAGATCCTGATGAAGCTGAAGCAGCAGATCAACACAGAGTCAGAGACGGCGCAGCTGCAAGTGGAAGAACTAAGGGTGCAGTGTCAGGAGAAGCTGGATAAGGTTAGTGAATTATCCTAGATCTGCAGGATCTGCATTTAAAGTAAACAGTCATCTTCAATGAAAACTCATCAAGTGTCAGTTTTTAAACCAGATTTTAATGCTTCAGATGTGTAACCACATTTCTTGGAGCTTTAAATAGTGTCCTGTTGGTCCAGGAAGGAGGATAACAAGGAGTTTACATATGCTGTATGTGGATGTGACACCCATACTAAGCATGAAGACAGTACTTTTATTCAGGATGCACACAGACGGGATGATTCATTTTTAAATAAAGATCTAAAGTTTTGAAATTAAGTTGAAGCTGTCAGTTTCAGGGGAGTTCAGGTTAAAACGGTCTCCTCTTCTCTCTCAGGTGAAAGACATATGGCAAGCGTTTATGGCATTGAAGCAGGATGTGGCTGTTTCAGTTCTCAGCCGCCGTCTGGGTAAACAAGCCGCTCAGACCAAAGTGGAGTCTATTCTCGCAGCAGAGCAGCTTCACCAGGATGAGCTGATGAAGCTACGCCTGAAGCATCTGAACCTGAAGACCAAGGTAGACATGCTGGAGGAGCTCCGTGATGAGGTCCAGAAGAAGGCCGCGCTCCAGATTCAATTTGAGCATGTGCAGGCTGGGAGACAAGTGCAGAGACAACAAACCGAAAAACAGAACGAGGAGTCATTAAAGTTGCAGCAAAAGATGAACAGCAGCTTGGAGGTGGGTTTAAGGAAACACAGGGAAGAAAAAGATTGATTAAGTTCAGAACTGAGTTGTCTTCTGCACCCCCAGGTTCTGACAAACATAAAGGAGAAGCTTTCCTGGAGCCAGCTGGAGGTGCAGGCAAAGAAAGAGAAGCTGGCCAAGGTGGAAGCCACGCTGGCTAGAAAGAGGGACCTCCTGACCAGAATCAAGAAATCTCGTGACAGTTTGCAGAGAGACAACCAAAGGCTGAAGGAGCATCGTGGACTGCTGGGGAACATGACTCTGCTGCGGGACTTTCAGGAAACTGTGGATGCCACCGATCACCTGGAAGAAAAACTTGAGAAACTTAAGAATCGGCATGCTGAGATTGTTTCAGGAGGAAAAAGAAACTGCAGACAACTTCATTAATAAAGAGATTTTAACACATGCCTCCAATGGCAGCATTTTCAGTATGAAAATAACTGATTAAAATTCAAATTCACAGTAATAAAAAGATTAAGAATGAGCTTAAAAGACTGAGATCATGTGTCCGAAAAATGTACCTAACTTCAACCTATCTGTTCACATGTAGGAGGCATGTGTATTGACATTTACTGCATTCGGCCACCAGGGAGAGCTCCAACTTTTTCCTTTTGGTAGCTGTATACTCATTGTCATTCAGTATATCAAAAATTATAAGCTTTTATGACCCTGGAAATGGATAACATTGTTCTTCAGGACAACAAATTTAGAAAAAGTTTTGTGTCTAGTTTCTTTGGTCTGTAGACACTGGACTTTTACACAATATTCTGACGTTCTGAGATGATGGATTTTTGAGTTTGGTGAACTGTAGTCATCAATATTTAAACAAAAAAGTCTTGAAATGTTTCACTTTGTGTGTGATGAATCTTTGTGCTATTGATCTTCAGGACCATCGTACTTTCACCCCTTGCTTTTGTGATAAATACAAAAAATAAAGGTTACATTTTGTGGCCTACACTTTTTATTATTACAGAGAGAGGACAGAGTTTATAATAATCACTTTTTCAGACGTGGAAAATGAATTAATAAAAAATAAATAAATCACCCAGAGCCCCATGCAATGGAAGAGGACTGTCATTTTAACCTGTGACCAAATATGTGTGATTATTTTTCCCACTTATCTATCCAATCATCTCAAATACTCCATCCTACAATTTCCAATCTACTGGGAAAAAAAGTCCCATCTGAGGTTGTCATTTGGCTGAGCTTAAATTTCCAGTTTCTCCAGCAGGATCTTGAACCTGGGTTGGGCAGAGTCGATACAGGAAATTGCTTTATTCCTCATTGTGACTCTGTGAATAACAAAACAGATATTATAACTCAATGATGGTTATGTTTTTTAATGCCTGATACAGTTAATTTAGCTTATCTGATGCTTAAAAAAACTGTGAGAAAATGTTTTTACAGAAGCAGAAAACTTACAATACCATGGCAGGACATCCATTTAATGACGCCATTATCTCGACAGCCTTGACATCCTCTGGGTCAAAGTTTTTACCATCAGGGCAGTTTATGCATATGAACTTGCCTGTGGAGAAATTAGCAACCTCAATATTGCTCATTATTAAAAATCTGAATTATCTTTATTACATGGATCCGGATTTTAAGGCTTTTTCCTCAGAGTGCTGTAAATATCCTACACTGGTAGTAGACTTGTGCTTCGTTCCAGTTGTACATTGAAGTCGGAATTTCTAAGCTCCAAGTCGTAAACTCATCTGGAACGCACCCCTGAAGTCGGATTTTTGACTCGGACAGTCGGATGATCCTCACCAACCCCGACTTGACAACGATGTCATAATCCAAGATGGCGGTGCAGTGCATCAACAGTAAAGAGTGACTGTAAAAGCTCTGGTAATGCATTATTTATTTGCACCTCCGTTTTGTTTTTGTGAAATTAAATAAGTGTTATATGTTGTACTGCCCAAAGTCTAACTGTGAACACGGTGCTATGGTGTTTTTAAGAGTAAAATACTGTGTTATACGATGTTTACAACTGGTATAGCTGACAACGGCTAACAACAGCTAAGAACGGGTAACAGTGGGCGTCCATCTTGGTTTTCCAACTTGTTCACTGAAACTCAGGTGTAACACCATTCCCAGCCCCAACATCTGACTTCCAAGGTAACTTGAACTCAGCATTAAGCTTAAAAACTGTAGTATAGACATGATCAACCTTGTTGCTGGTAATTCTTTTTGCTTTTGTAGCCAGCAGCGGTTCTAGGCACGGGCGAACAGGGCAGCCGCATTTGTGTCATGACTCATGGGGGGCGGCACGAGCACTTCCAAAAAAATAAAATAAAAGATAATAATAATAATAATAATAATAATAAATCTGCGCCGCAAAGCAGTTTTTGTATTAACTCTTGTTGTCAAATTGGTGCCCCCTGCTGCTGTAGGCGCCCCTGCTTGCTGCGAAGGTGCTGCACAAAGGCTGACAGAGTGTATGAGACGAAGCCGGGAGAGGGTCGCGGGGGACAGCTCTGCTTTTAGGATTGCTCTCACTCTGCCAGACACGGTGGTTCAAGCAGAGAGGAGCTTCCCAAAACTGAAGTTGATAAAGTCGTACCTAAGGTCAACCATGTCTCAGGAACGGCTCAGTGGCCTTGCCATCATCAATCACTTAACCCATTTAAACCGGGACAGTATGTACGCATTTCAACCTTCAAGCCGAGAGCGCGGATACGTCATTTTGTAACATTCTGTAGTTTTTCAATCATTTCTGGAGTCATGGCGAATCAAATCATCATACCAGCCTCTAATAGGCTGATAAAGCCATCGGAATCATGCTCGGATCTTGCTACGTGCTTCAAGAGTAAAGTAAACAATGACGGAGACAGAGAGCAGCTTTGGAGGAGAAACATCCAACCGGGTTGAACAACCTCTTCATATGGAGGTCTTTGGCTCACACTATCGGCGATTTCTGTGAGTGTTGCATGACTTTGGGTGAGCACAGAGATGAACACACTGTCAGCCACTTATTTATTTATTTATTTTTTATTTTTTAGTGCTGTTTTTGTACCGGCATTATACTAGGGCAGCTGTATACCCTTTCAACACTATATTTCTTTATATTTACATTTGAATTAAATGGACACTTTATCATGACTGCCACTTGTTTTACAGAAAGCAAATAGTTTATTATTCTCCAGTGCAGAGTCTTCACTTTTATTTATACAGCTGCTTTATCTTATTTAAGTTAGTTTATTCAAGGTATTTAATAATGTGATGAAAGTTTGGACAAATAGAAGATAGTTATCTTGAAAGCCACATGTATAAGCTCTCAAATACTTTTTTAATTTTGTTTCTATCTGCTACAGAGGCAGAGATATCAGCTTTTTTGTAAACCTAAACACTTCAGAAAACCTCAGGATCTGGGGGCCCTTCTTAAAATGGCCCTCAGGATTTCAGAGGCGTGGCTCAGACAGGGTTCAGGTCTTAATGGGTTAATCCCCGGGGAGTAATTTAGTCTAGAACCGCCACTGTTTGTAGCTCATAAAGAGGCATCACTATTTATCTAAATATCTCAAATAGGCAGCGAAAAAATCCCCTTTAAACAACAGAATGAATTTTGGGCAAAATTATAGATAACATGACACTTTTGTAGCTGTATTATGCACGCAAGATACAGTATGATAACTTCCGGCACACAAGATAATGAGTATTTTGCACAGGATAGCTCCATAGACTGTATATTCTATGAACAACTTTGCTTCACCTTCTGTCATTGTAGGAATTTTAAACAGAATTGCTCTCAGTATTTCTGGGACTTTCTCCACTTCCTGGAACTACCACCAGTGCAGTAGCATTGTATGCATTCGGCGGGAGAGTCGCCGTGATGACGCTCTGCTCAAACAGCGCATCCCCTCAGTGAGTGATGCAATCTATGTATGCCAATAGGTTTATATTCTGTATAATTAATTTTTAAAGTTTGTCAACAGCTCCACAAGGATGGCTGGAGGAGGCGGGATTTATGGGATTTATGACCTATACTGCAGCCCGTCACCAGAGGGTGCGGTTCTCGTGGTGGCTTCACCTAGCGAGGAGGCAGATGATGTCCATTCTATATATAGTCCATGGATAACTCGTGCAAACACATTTATAACTTAGGCATAAAGGAAAGCTGAGTTGTGTAAAAGAAAACAATTTATGCACTCAATATAAGCATTTGTGCACACACTATATGGGCACTTGTGTGCACAAATTAACAACCATGTGCATATGAAAAGTAGCTTGTGTGAGTGTATTGGGGGGAAAATCACAGCTTTTCATTTGCCACTACCCAAATTGCCCATTGGACAGTAAACAGAGCAGCACATGGCAAAGGAAGTCATGGCTTAAATCAGTAATTAAGTGCTGTTTCTCAGTGTACCTGGGAGCATTTGAATCATGGTTTGGGGATTTGGATCATGATTTCAGTCTCACCTGGTGGAGAGTTTCTGTTCGGGTTTTGTGGCGCTAAGGTTGAGCTTCGACTGTTAGTTCTGCCACTGTGGGTCAGATGAAAAATATGTTGTCATCAGCAACTTAACAGAAAAAGCTTATTAACACATCCACTGATCAGTGAATTAATGACTTCAATCAGATTGTAAATATCTGACACAAACAACATCACAGTGACGGGTAGACAGCACATTTAGAGTTTCTTTAAGTTTAGCTCTGGGTTAAACTTCATATGTAGCTCAGGAATAATATTTCCTAACAATTCCAGACATGATTAAATGGTTCTTACAATTTATTGTTGAGGTACGCCCCGGCAGCAAATTTAGTCAAACAAACCTTCCTGCCGTCAGACATCATCATACTGGAAAAAAAAAAACATAAGAATAGAGAGATGGGATGGGAACATATCAATCAATCATTAATTTATCAAGCTTTACTTATACAGCACCAATTCACAACAAGTGTTATCCCAAAAAGCTGGTTTAGACCACACTCATATAGCAAGTCACAGTGGAGAGAGGAAAAACTTCCTTTAATAGGCAGAAACCTCAAGCAGAACCAGACTCATGTTAGACAGTCATCTGCCGAGAGGGGATAGAGGGAGATGCAGAAAGAGAGAGAGATGGACAGAGGAGAGTATAAAACTTTTATTGCAGCAAAAGTTTTAAGCACATTGTCTTCTTTTCTCCAGTCAGATGGTGCACCATTTCATTTCAATCTTACGGTCAAACTTACATGAATTCGCGGGCACTGCATGTTGCAGTGGGGTTCTCAATCATCAAGCTTCTAAACTGTGGGACTTCAGATCCAAGATTTTCTTCAACCCCTTCACAGCGACACGGGCTGGAGACTTCAGGGACAGATGACAGTGAAATTTTTAGAAAAAGGATGTGCACACTGTTCAGAGCAGCAACAATCCAGATCACAATATCAAAATATCCTGCATGTCTGTAGCTGGTAAATATGCTCCAAGAGGTTTAAATGACATCTCAAAATGCATAAAAAAGAAAGTCTTACCTAATTCACCAGCAGGGGGCATTTCAGCTGTAATTTTCTGAGTGACCACCTCCTTGTGGTCTTTTTGGGTGGTTGTTTCAGGCTGTGGAGCTGAGTTCAGGTGTGTAGGTGTTTGCTGTGTGGATGTGTAAGGTTCCTGGTTGGTGGACTCGGTTGGCAGCTTGGTGACTGGTTTGGAGCTGGTCCAGTGAGATTGATCAGAAATACGCAGGCAGAACTCTCCATACTGGACAGAATCATCAGGTTCAGGTGTTGCATGTGTCTTTAACTCATCTGGTGAAAATAAGAGAAGATATAAGAAGATACATTTTGCTCCAGTACATTAGCTAAAATCTACATTGAAGGTCTTATTTTACGTAATCATTTAATAAACAATAATCACTGCAGAAGTTCCTCCATTTAATGACTTTTTCAACTTTTTACAAACATCCTGGCTGCATGAGTTCTAAGGTGAGGTGAATTTACCTACTCAGGACATCATATGTTCATGTCTTTTTTCACCCAAATAAATAAAAAGTCTTATTTTAACTAAAGCACAAATGCAGATCACTACTTAAAAGTATCTAGGGGTTAACTTTGTCATGGAGAACAAAACGTGGACTCACTGTGTGTCATGGCCAGGAGAAGAAGAGTCAGTAATGGCAGTCGACTGACAATGAAGAGGGCCATCGCAGATTTTGGATCATACCAAGAAGAAACCTCAAGAAGGAACAGGCAGGCTGAATGAGTTGACTTCGACTGTGAGTCTCTTCTTCTCACAGGATGCTTAGAAAATGATCTGATACGAAGGAAGGAAGTCCAGCAGCTTACGGTTTGACTTTACCTCATGCTGAAACACGTTGGAGATGATGAGATTTTTTACTGACGTGGGCACAGGAGACAGTTGATATGCAGTTCAAAACTTAAGAGGGAAAAAAAAAAGGGTATCCTGACTTTTAACTCAGAATTTTAAAGACCAAATTCAGAATTTAAAATAAAAATCAGAAGAAATCTTACTTTATCCAAATTATTAATATATATATATATATATATATATGTATGTATGTATATATATATATATATATATATATATATATATATATATATATATATATATATATATATGAAAAGAATTCTTTGACAGAATTTAAAAAAAAAAAAGTCAGAAAAACGTCCTTGATGTTAAAATGTCAGAGAAAAAAAAGTCAGGAATCTATAGGGAAAAAAAATCAAAATTATGACTTTTATCTCTGGTTTAAAGTCAGGGGTTTTGATATTGCTTCTCAGGATTCTGGGTTTAGAGTAATATTTTTGATGATTTCTCAGATTAGAGACAGAATTCAATTTTTTTAAAAAAAATCAGAATTTAGACTTATTTTAAAATCAGAATGATGTTTTATTTACCCCTGAATTATGAATGTATCGTAAAAATTCTGGGAAAAGTCAGTATTTCAACTATTTCTAATCTCAGAATTCTGAGATTGGTGGGAATTCTGACTTTAAACTCTCAATTCAGAATTTTATTAAAAATGCAGAATGTTTAGAAAAAGGAAGAAATCTTAGTCTCACCAAAGATTTTTAAAAAGTCACAAGTCCGAAAAAATTACAGGATTCTAGTTTTGATGACAATTTTTTTAAAAAGGCCAAAAGTTCGAAAATCAGAAATCTGTCTTAGATGACAGAATTCTGAGAGGAAAAAAACAGCTCTGAATTCTTGGATGAAAGTCAGAATCCTGAGAAAAATTTCCGAATTATGACTTCAGTCTTAGAAATCTAAGTTAAAAGTCAGACGTCTGACCTTAATCTTAGGATTTGGGGAAAATTGAGTTTAAAAAAATTGACCTTTTTAGAATTAGATTTATATTTATGTTTTAGAGGCCATTTTCTTTTCTTGTACAAACAAACATTTGAATAAAAAAGTTTTGGAAAAATTAAAAACTCCGAGCACTTAATAAAATGCGAAACAATGAGTGGATCCTGAAAAGAGTCTCTATTTTCTGACCCTGGTGAGTAGATTATCATTTAAGCACTCACCTGGATATCTTAGGTAGTTTTTTCTTACACCTGTAATTTGTTTCTGACCTGTATCAGTGCAGTAAACTGGCAAACATAATGAACTTTTGAAAAATGCTTTAGAGATTTAAAATAAATAAAGATGTAAACAGTTAAAAAAAAAAGTGAATCAAACTCCTTAAAAATGCTGCACACCATCCTATTTTCACATTGAGGTTGTACTTGTGGACATGAAGAAACCCTCCTTCCCTTTGTTTGTGTTCCTCATTTTTATCATGTCTAAGTTTAACATTGACAGTGTTGACAAACTTCTGTAGACACCATAAAAACAGAACAGGGCAGAGAGCTATAATGACTATAATGACTTGGAGCAGTAATATTACACTTCTTCAATTGCACAGGTACACGGTCTGCAGATGCAACCTCTTCTTGCATTTGGCATCTGCAGCTGTGAAACATAAAACTTGAGTTTAAAAAGAAAATCTGCTGTCAATTTGTAGGATATGCTACTTTGTTGCTGTTGTATTTGAGCATGGATGTAAAAGCTGAAACATGATCTGTGGTCTGACCACAGAAGCCTCCCCACAGTGAGCTATGATTCCTCACGAAAAATCCTCCTCGTTGTAGTCGTAAAATTCATCCTAAAAGCAGAAAAGATAAAAACAGTTGATAAGCTTTGAACAACATATGAGGAAAAGTTCTTAATGAGTATTTCATAAACCTCGGTGCTTTGTGGGATGACAGTGGGGTAAAACGTAGCCGTCTCCTCATCCTTGTCAGTCCACAGAGCATCGAAACTGGCACAAAATCTTTCCCCTGAGCTTGTGAACATTCTGTAGAGAGGAAAAAAAAACACAATAACTCAGTTTTCATACAACAGTTAAATGTTTGGTTTCTCTATTTTTGATTCAATACAGCCTTTGAATTATTTGCAAACCATCAAACTTGTTAAACTAGGTTTTTCCAACCTTAGAGTTTAGCTTTGCACTCACACAACAGCTTTAACTGGACACTCAGGTGGACCTTGATATTCGCGTCTTTTGATCAACTTTCTAAAGTGAGCAGGAATCAGAGAGTAGCTCCTTTTGCAGCAGTGTGGCGGCAGCAGCAGCGGCACTTTCAGGGAGATAAAAGTTTATTTATTGAGGGGAGGCTGTAAGAATCCTGATAAATACACAAATACACAAATAAAGACAGTTATTTGGCCTGATTGAAATAAAACACACTCCAGTCCTGGAGAAGAGTTCAACTTACCAACATAAGAAGCAGGACTCAGGTTCAGAGCGTCTTTTTCTTTGTCAGATTTGTGGGTCTCTTCAGGAGGAAAGGCCTCTGGACTTTCAGGAGAAGAGGTTTTTGATGAAATCAGGTCTAGTGCCGGAGGTTCTCCTGGAAAAGGAAATGTAAATCTCTGTTAAGCTTCTCAACAGATGGAATTGTCCTGGTACAGTTCAGGCTGCTTTGACTCTGGATTTGGTAAAACACAGTAGACCAGCAGCAGCAGATGACATGGCACCCCAAATCATCACAGACTAGGGAAACTTCTTGCTGGCTTTGGACCTTTAGAATTGACTCTGTGGACACCAATGACCCTCTGGGGCTAACCCTCTTTCTTAAAGGGGTCAGTGAAGGTCTTCTGGGTGATGGTTTGGTCAGCAGTCTGCAGAATAATTGTGGTTGCATGCACTGAACCAAACTGAGTAATTGATGGTTTTTATTGTGGATGGATTTTGCATACAAGGAAGTTGGCTGTAACTTATTTAGCTTCCAACTCTGCTTAAAACTCTGCTGGACCTGCTCTGATGACACACAATGAGACACTTATTCACAGTTAAAGCTGAAAACATACAGGATGATGATGCAAACTCACTCATATCAAAAGGTGACCTCGGATGGATCCATGTTTTAAAATTTCTCGGAGCCTCTGAACTTTTAGCAGAAGTAGTCTCTGTAGTAGTCAGGTCCGGTACAGGAGGAGATCTGGCTGTTTCCTTATCGTCTCTAACATTGATGAACAGGATAGAGGATTTCAGAGGGTCAGACCGTGACAGAAAACCTGTTTCACATCAATAAAGTCATAATCTGAGAGAAATAAAGTTATTATAATTGAAATTATTATGGTTATAATTGAAGAAATGAATTTGCAGTTAGGTCATAATGCTAAAAGAGTTATGTAATTTTGTGAAAAAAAAAAGTAAATTAAAAATTTACTTTATTTAATTTACTTTATTAATTTAACTGAATTATAGTAAATCATAATACAATGAGAATACTTCTAGATAAAAGTTTCACAGAAAAAGTCACTTTTGTTGAAAATTAAGTGGTTATGATACAAGAATAAAGTCATAATTAAATGATGTATTTAAAACATAATGACATCATAATTCAACATGTAACGCAAGTCTCTGTAAAGTTTTTATGTAAGGAAATTAAAGTGGTAATATTATCAGAAAGAAGTTGTAAAGTGATGAAAATTTGGCCATAATTTAACAAGAGAAACAGTCACAGTTGATTCAGATTATAATTGCATTCTGTGGCTTTGTTGTGAAAATGATAATAAATAATAGTAAAAATACTACCTAATTTTAAGAGATTGAATTAATAGCAAAGAGAGATATGACTATTAGAAACATGAAGCTGTTTTGTTTGAAGATTACAGTCAGAATTTAAGTCATGATAAAGTCCTAGTCTTGGTTCGCGGTGAGCAGCCAGTTACAAGTATCAGATCCATAGACTGTTAATACTATCAACAACTTGGTTCTGCCTTCTATCATTATACGTACTGACGTAATTTGTGTGTGGGTGGGTGGGGGGGGGGCACGAGGGACATGTCCCCCCTACTTTTTCAAAAGTCTGCTTTGGTCCCCTGCAATTTTAGCAATCTGAAAGCAATGTCAGCAATGTTTCCCTCAGTTTAAACCGCGAACAAGGTCCTTGAATGGCTCTGCAGCAGGGCCACTTTTAGTGTGTGATTGTCTACCCCTGCCGTCAGTCATTCCATGCCTGCTAGACTAGTGTTTTGAAAGTTGCTCGTTAGAGTCAGTCCATGAACACTGCTATTCACCAATGTAAGTTTGCAAGAGGGCGGCGTTCATTTTTCCTCCGTAACGTCACATTCATCGGAGGTTTCATTTACATCCCTGTATCTGGTCAGTACTTCCATCCACCTGCTGACCTTACTGCCTCCTCTGTTACTGTGTGTGCGAGATGTGCTGTTGCAGTCATCATTTAACTATGGACATTTCATTCATTCATTATTTATTCCTCCCCTCCTGTGATGGTCCCCAGGTCACCCCATCTCCATGATTATACAGATTTGAAGCCGAATTGCTCTCAGTATTTCTGCTACTTTTCTTCACTTCCTGAAACCAACATTGTTGGCTCGACTCAAACAGCGTATCCCCAGGTAAGCTACGTAATCTTCATACCCCCATAGGCTGTATCAAGTGTCAATCATTGAAAACATGAACCCCTAAAAACTTTTAAAAATGGAGCTGTACAGAAAAAAGAGGACTTGAGCACAAACCAGTCTTACATTAACTACATGTCAACATCACAACCAGGGGGAGAAAAATATTTGAATTTGTCATGCCTTAAATTGGTTTGAGGGGGTAGCTGTTGGTGGGGCAGCCCTTTTTTCAACCTTTTTACATTAAAGCTGCTGTGGGGAGTTTTTTGACATCTACAAAATAGATTGAAATTCACATTGATGCATTTTTAAGCTATACAAAAGCAAATAAACTAAAAGTTACTCATGGGAGCTTTAAAAAATTCATAATGAATAATGCATTTGGCAATGAAAAGTCAGGAAAATTGAAAATAAAGTAATTTTTAAGAATAGGCCTAAATGGGACAAGATGTGCAAAGATTGTTTGCCACAGGGGGTGCCAAAACTGACATCAACACAAAATTACTCACAGTGAGCTTTAGAGTGAGTAAAAAAAATGGCTCTAATATTTATTTATAACCCCAAAAAATGGGAATATCTACTTACATGGCGTTTGTTTCATCTCCGCCTCCTGCAGCTGAAGACATCAGGTTGGAAAGTTTTGTTCCTTGTGAACATACAACACAATAATTTGAAATATAGATTTTTATTCAGCTTTAGATGGTAAAGACAAAAAATTACCCTCAACTGTGTTGGCCTTGTTGCTCTCTTTAGTGGAGACCTTCACTCCTGGAGGTTGAACGCAAAACTCTTCAATCGCCTCCTCCTCGTTCAAACTTCGCCTCTGTATAAGCACTGCAAAACAACACCTATATCAACACGGGACCAAGGTGATGTGAAAAAAAACTCAGTAAATAAATTTTCTCTTACCATGGGAAAGGTCAAATGTCAAAAAGAGGACGATCCATATGACGTTCAGAAGAGCCACAGTGATCTGCACAAACCGCTGCATGTTTTCTTTCTGCAGGTTTGAGTCACTTTTAACTGGAAACTCAGCAGCTGCTGATACATGTGCATCTTCCTGAGCAGAGAGTAAAACGCTGCAGGATTGAAATACATATATATCTTCATAGAAAAAGAGCCCATGACTGCAGAAGTGACGCGCTTCATATCTTAAAACCACAAAATGATCATCAAGAGATAAAAATGCTTCAAATGAAGAAATACTGGTGCACCTCTTAAAAAACGGATCCATTTCAACCAGACCTGCACATATGAGTGTCACAGTCAGACGATCATTGTTTATTATCAAAGAAACACACTCAAAAAAAAAGAAAGAAAGAAAGAAAGAAAAGGAGCTGAGAAAGAGTGTTACTCTCAGTGGCGTGGCTGTAAATCTGATTGGCCTCCCCAGATGCCATCGCAACTTTGATTGGCCAAGAGGTGGGACTTCTCTTAATCTGCATTATGTGATTTCACCCTATTTTAGTCCTAGAGTTACTATTTTGTGTTTTATTACCTCTTTTTTTTCATAACTTTCTTTTATTGTTTGATTTTAAGACTGTTTTATTGAATTAACTTTGAACGATTTATTATTGTAGTTGATCATGGTTTTATCACTTTAGTCTAAGGTCCAGTATTTCCTCATTTTTTATCTCTTTTCCTCAGTCATCTGTGGTAAATTAAAGGATATACTGTGTGTGTGTGTGAGCATGTGAGTGCTGTATGTGTTGACAGGGGTTTGGAGGGTTAGCAGGTTCTAAATTTGAATATTTATTTATATTTTATTTATTTTATATTATTTTTTGAATGGACAGCACTTCGTACTGCATTCTGTGTATGAAAAGTGCTTTTTAAATAAAGTTTGACTGATTGATTCTGTTAAAACTGATATGTGGGCTGTGTATTGAGAAGTTGGTTTCATCTGCTATTATTTAGAAAAAACTCCATGAATCACAGAACAAACTCTTAGTCTTCATCATTATCCCTAGTTTATGTCCTTAAACGAACCCAGTGTCCACCTCCTCTCTGTGTGGTGAAAATGTCTTTTAAACGGCAGCTGTGCATGCATCAGTGTGATTTCTTCCTCCTTCTGCGGTTATGACAGTCACCTGGTTGCAAAAAGAGTAAAACCTAGACAATGTTCAGGAGCACTGTGGCAATCTTTGCTGTCCAGTGCATGTTTCTGTCTGCTGTCTTCTGATGAGCGTGTTGCAGAATACATCTCCTCTCTGATGAAACCCAAAATAGTTAGTTTGCTCTGTGTTTGCAGATGTTTTTTCTGTGATGAGAAATGCGTCATTTCCTTTGAGCTGCAGAAAGTGTGACTTTCTCTCCCACAAAAAAAGTTATACGCTCACTCTCTTTATTTTCAACATATGACAGAGAAACACTGTGAGACATTTCCGAGTTAGATAGCTCAGTAGCTTCAGAGACAAACTCTCTGTTTTCATGAATCTTTAAACCACATCAGCTCTTGACAGTTCATGATATTAATTTATATAGATTAAACCAGAGTTTCATCAAATTGAAGAAAGCATGATTATATATTTCATACAGCATAAAAACATCAACTTAAAATCTTAATTTTAAAGCATATTGTGTAAATGGCTGCTTAGACTGCATCTTTTGTCAGGCGTGTGCTTCTTTTTCTTCTTCATTCTTTGTGTTCGATTAAAAATTTATTCAAAACGAGGTAGGTCAAAAACACGCTTTTCACCCACTCATCCTCTGGATCAGCACATGTCAGTCTTCCATCGTATGTTTCAAATCTGTAGAGAAAAGAGAATCTCTATGACTGAACTTGTGTGAACTTAAACTTCATTAGAAATTGTGTCACTGGATGTTATGCAATGTAAGAACATCTGAAGATTATGCTGTAGCATATGTCCTGTCTAATAAACTACAACTCGTACTTACATGTAGGCATCAATGTCGCACCCAGAGTCCCTGGTCTGTAAGCTGTATCTTTTAATCTTCCATGCGTATATCTGTTGTGTGGAGTACTTAGAGCAGCAACCTGTTGTTAATCCATCACCAACAGCATAGAAAAAAGGCATGTGGAGTGAAAGAGAGACATACTTTGATTAAGTCTTGGTCTTTTGCATAACAAATAAATGCCATCCCATTGTTACTAAAATGATGATTTACTAAATATAAAAAGAACTTTATGTATGCTTAAGGTAATTTCTAAAACAGTTCTTAAGAGGTTTACACTAACTATGTGCTGAGATGAGAATTTGATCAATATCAGCTCCTAGATTTCATCATCAGGTAAACGATTATCAGTAATAACAAAGTTCAGCTTCTTCGATAAGAAAAGAACAGAAACCAAACTTCTTTGGCTTCCACAACACTTTCATATCTAAATGGCCACAGCTGAGACACACGTAAGTGGGAATAAAACCTAAATAAAGGAAGGATCTTAATTTATAGTTTGTTTAAAGAGTTTTTAGAGGTGATGGTAGAAAAGCTATGATGAGGACATGCACTCACCAAATAGACTTGTTGGTGCTGCTGGGTCCTGTTTGACAGAGCTTTAAAAAAAAAAAAAGAAATTAAAATCTTTTCAGCCAGTTAAGTTGCAGTTCATTCTATGTCTGAAAAATGTCTGAAATCTAAAAAGGAGAATCTGATCTGATCATATAAAGGCTGACTTTTGCAGAATCAGGGGTGACTGATTTTATTAACTCGACCCCAGAACTTACGCAGGAGGAGGACTAACGGCAGCTAAGAAATCTTCCACATCAACACATGCCTCCACGGTGGGAAACGTCATGCTGGCCCAATAATACAGATAAAGAAAAACATGAGAGTAAAGTCCATTAATACGGCTTATTTTCAGTGTTATCATATCATTGCCTTTCAAAATACTCTTGCTGATAAAGGAAACATATAAAAATGTATCAGATATGAAATAAAGTGACTTACATGATCTTTGGTTCACATTCTGCTGCAGGAGGTCTGAGAGCTATGTCCAACAACTGCTCATCTTTTTGCAGCCCTTTCCCGTTGTTGCACAGACAATCCTTCACAGTTTTGGTCTTCTCAATGGTCTCAACTTCAGGGGATGAAAAGTTTCTCTGTGTGATAGCTGTGAAAAAAGTTGATGGACACAAGTTGAGGAATAGTTACCGGACTATGACCATGTGGGAAAGTAACAACAGGAATACAAGACAAGTTGCTCATAGAGTTGGTTTAATAATCAGCATTCAAAAAATTAAGTATTGCAACTTGATGAAGAGTGGAATCATTTTTAGAGGTGAAGACAGAAAGATTTAAAGTAGACATCTACTCACCATGTTCAGCTGCCCCTGTCGCTCCATCTGGGCCTTTTGAATGATGGGTGCTTGTGAAAACTGGAGCAGCTGAAGGTCTGGTCTCAGTCAACCCGGGGTCTGGGGTAACTTTTGTTTCAGCCACATCAGGACTGACTGGAGTGGTCTCATTCATGTCCCTGATGTTGTAAAACAATAAACAATGTGATTCTGGACTTCTTCAGATCCTTATACATGCCTTTGAGAAAACCAGTCAAGCTGCAGGTATTATCAGTCAGTCAAAGTCGGCTCTTCCAACCAAATCTGCCACCTCAGAGAAGCCCCAACCTGACCAACATACAACTGAACAGCTCACATACGGGCCGGATTTTCTATATTTCTATATTTCTATTGTCTTTCTGGTTAAACTAATAATAATGAATATTGCTGCAGATCCAGGACTTACACTGTAAGTAGACCAAGTTCAGCAAAGGAAGTATTCCCATCAACACACACCTCCATGTTGGGAAATGTCATGCTAGAACAACGCAAATAAAAGAAAACATGAACAAAAATAGATGAATGTCACATGTCATTGCATTTAATGCTCCCACAAAAATTAGTCAAGTATCTTCTTCACTTTAGCTGCTTTTAGCACAATCACATCACTGCTTTAAACAAATACATACAAGTAAAATCTGGTTCAGACAAACAAACAAACAAACAAAAAACTATAAACTGACTTACATAATGTTTGGTTCACATCCTGGTGCAAGAGGTCTTAAAGCTATATCCAACAACCGTAAATCTTTGAGATGCACTGTTGTCTGGTTGCACTGGCAGGCCTGTGCAGTCGTTTTAATTAAATCAACATCAGACGATGTAGAGTTCCTACCTGAGAAATAATGGATGGAAATTAATTAACAGCAGGATTAATTAACAGACTATGAACAAATCAGTTTATTTCCAATATTTTTTAATAAAGTCTTTCTCAGGTTTAAAAAAAAATGCAGTGATTTGATTGTTTGCCCAACACTATAAAAATATAAATCAAGTTCCCCATCAAGCACAAAGTAATAATAAACATAAAATGTTTGATCAAACTTTACAAGTTCCCTGTTGACAAACATAGCTTGTGTTTTCTGGCAGGTTTTCATGTGTGAAATTGATTATTAATTATTTTTAATGAAAGGTGTTCCACAAGGATCACTCCTATGCCAAGTTTTTTTTTTTCTGATTTATATCATCAACATTGTCTCTCCTGTAACTAACTTAATTATCCTTATTTTGCAGACCACACTGTTTTGTATTGTCCTGCCAACTCTGCAACTATCCACACTGTACGTTAAAAGAGTCCAAGCAAACACAAATTAATTTCTGTGATTACTAACTTCACATCTGTGCAGATGCATTTGTGCTCATGGATTACATATTAACTCCACACAAATGGTCTCCCAAGTCAACATGCCAGAATTGCACATTTTTTCCAACTCAGATAATAAATTGTGTGTGCAATTTTGAAAATTGCACACACAGTTTGCAAATGTGTTTAAGAATTGCAGATAATTTCTACGGCAATAAAATTATGAAAATATCAGAAATTAGATGACTGTCAACCTACTGCACAGCAGTGTCAAATCTCCTTCAATAGACACATTCAAGCATGACTTTATAGAGAAATGACCATGTATGATGCTTATAGCTAAGCAAAGAACGCATTGTTTAAAAATCGCCAGAGAATTTTTCTGTAGAAAAGTTTTAAAAATTAATATATTAATTAAATTAAATTAAATTAAATTAAAAAAAATAATAATAATGTAACATACAAGCAGAAAAGCCTGAACTGACAGAACTGACTTACCTTCAGCTGTCGTGTTGGTCATGTTGGTTTTTCTGGCAGTAACAGTGACTGCATGTGGAGCTGAAGTCCGACTCTCATCAAACTGTGGCTGAATACAAAACTCTCCAAAGATCACCTCTTCACTGGAGCTTCTTTTGTGTAGAAACACTTTAAAAGCACATTTAGGACAAAACTAACAGAGTGCACAGTATGATGTGATAGTGAAGATTTTTAACTCAGTTGTTATTTGATGGTGGGAAAGTGACTCAGACAAACAGCAACACTGTCATTGAATGTTTTTATAAATTTGTAGCTAAAAAAATCCCAGTTGCATGAAAGTCTTACCTTCAAAAGGATCTGGTTGCAAAAAGAAGAAAACCCAGGCAAGGTTCAGGAGAGCAACGGCAACCCAGCTTGTTTGATGCATGATGCAGACACCTGATGCACCTAAACACCCACTGAAAATCTATCTGAGTGAAATACATGTGTGGCAGAATATATTATCTGTCCATGAGCATCTAAAAAAAGATCTGCTTTCCGTGTGTTTGCATGTGTTTCTTCACAATTCTGAGTTAGGAAATTTAACATGAAACCTCAAAACCAACAGCAGAAGGTGTGATTTACTCTCCCACGAACATATCATGTACTCTGCCTCCCAGCTGAAGAGGTTTGACTTTCATGTGAAACAAACATTTCAATTTGTGAAATGATGCTGAAGCTGTAAAATAAAAATAAAAAAACAGAGCAGTGTAGCTGATTTAAATACGTTGATATATTTATTCTTAGTTTTAATTCAAAACCTAATTTTTATCAGTAAAGGGGATATTAAACAATTAAAAGAGGGTAACAAGTTGTTTATTGGTAAAGGGGTATTAAATTATTAAAATATAATAAAATTGATTTATTTTGTTGGTGAAATGGATATAAAAGCATCGAAACAATAAAAAAAATTATACAACAAAATATTTTAGTTTATTGGTAAAGGTGATTTGAATCCATTATAATGAGACCCAAATGTTTTATCTTTAAGATGAAATAGGATTATTTTATTTGTAAAGGTAATATCAATCCATTACGATAAAATAACACAGGGTCATTTTGTTTGGTAACAGGTGATATAAAACCCTTAAAATAAGATAAAATAGTTGGGTCAGAGATGAGATCCTGCCCCAAGTGGAGGAGTTCAAGTATCTCTGGGTCTTGTTCACATGTGAGGGGAGAATGGAGCGGGAAATTGACAGACGGATTGGTGCCGCGTTAGCAGTGATGTGGATGCTGCACAGATCTATCATGGTAAAGAGGGAGATGAGCCGAAAGACAAAGCTCTCTGTGACGGAAAGAATAAGATCAGGAGTACAAGCGGCCGATAGAAGTTTTCTCCGCAGGGTGGCTGCTCTCTCTCTTATTATACTGTCTTCCAACAGCAAAACATTTTCTGTCATCAAGTCTCTCTACCACAATGTAATAATACACAGTGATTACGTGTCCATTATCCAACAAAACAGTGAGGCTGTTCCTTTTCATTACTATAGTGAACTGCTCTGAGTAATACAGTTCTCCTTTGACGAAAGTTCTACTGAATATTTTCACAACCATATCAGAGGTGACTGAAAGTTTCTCTGCCATCGCCAGTATCTCTTCACCAGTAAGTTTTCGTACATAGTGTAAACCAAGAGTCACAACTTGATCTGCTACTCTTTCAAACTGTGTCAGCTTTTTTCACCAGTCAAGTTGTTATACATCTGTCTACGTCTAGGCACAGCATTTCTCAGTGCACCGTTTTTCAAAAGAGGCCACACTTGTCTATATGTAAACTGTTTCATTATTTGTATGGGAACACACTAGGTGCCATGAAACATCTTCAGTATCTCCCCATTAAAAGACTCAAAAATAGATTCTGAATGTGCCCACAAAGGTCCCCAGTTTCTCACAGTCAGGCAAATGAAGACATAAATGAACATTAAATGACACATTTTCCTTCCCATAATAGGCTGCTGCCCCCGCAACCCGATCCCGGAACAGCGATGGAAGATGGATGGAGGGACATTAATCCTTGAAAACAAGATGAAATTAGTTCTTTTTATTGATTAAAATAATATCAAACAATAGAAATAAGACAAAAACTGTTTCATTTTGTCAGTAAAGCTGTAGTTGGGCTGAAGTTAAACTTCCATGTTAAAGGTTTTCATAAAGAAACAGATGACCTTTAATTTTCATATTTTTTCCTCTTAGCTCACTTATTAGGCAACAATAAACTTAACTTCTACAACTTTTGAGGCTTATTCATACAAAAAAGGGGTTTTATTGTGTTAAGATAAAGCAGATCATGTAACAGGATAGAAAGAGCTCTGAACTTTAAAAATCTACTGAAAACAAGCAAAGAAGGAATATATATCAGTCAAAATAATGTTTCCTCATCCATGGAAGCCATGACTGAATTACTCTGAAGAGCTGCACATTAATGTCTGTAACCTTTAATATGCAAACAAGTTTCTCTGTGTGTGCAGCACAACCTCAAAGCTGGTCACAGAGAGGATTCATCGCACGGACATACGATTGCTCAGTCTCGTATCTTAAAACCACAAAAATGTTCATCAAGAGATAAAAATGCTTTAAATGAAGAAATACTGGTGCACCTCTTAAAAAACTGATCCATTTCAACCAGACCTGCTCATATGAGTGTCACAGTCAGACGATCATTGTTTATTATCAAAGAAACACACTGAAATAAAAAGGAGCTGAGAAAGAGATGTGTTACTCTCAGTGGTGTGGCTGGAAATCTGATTGGCCATCCCAGGTGCCATTGCAACTTTGATTGGCCAAGAGGCGGGACTTCTCTTAATCTGCATAATCTGCAAAAGTCACCTGGTTGCAAAAAGAGTAAAACCCAGACAATGTTCAGGAGCGCTGTGGCAATCTTTGCTGTCCAGTGCATGTTTCTGTCTGCTGTCTGCTGATGAGCGAGTTGCAGAATACATCTCCTCTCTGATGAAACCCAAACTAGTTAGTTTGCTCTGTGTTTGCAGATGTTTTTTCTGTGATAAGAAATGTGTCATTTCCTTTGAGCTGCAGAAAGTGTGACTTTCTCTCCCACAAAAAAAGTTATACACTCACTCTCTTTTTTTTCAACATTTGACAGAGAAACACTGTGAGACATTTCACAGAGTTAGATAGCTCAGTAGCTTCAGAGACAACCTCTCTGTTTTCATGAATCTTTAAACCACATTAACTCTTGACAGTTCATGATATTAGTTTATATAGATTAAACCAGAGTTTCATCAATTTGAAGAAAGCATGATTATATATTTCAGACAGATTTTAAAACATCAACTTTAAATCTTAATTTTAAAGCATAAAGGTGTAAATGGCTGCTTAGACTACATCTAATGTCAGGTGGGTGCTTCTTGTGTGTTCTTTACGAGCTCTTTCATCAAGTTTCTTCACAGCTATTTTCACCCATTTATTCTTTGGATTAGCACAGAACATTCTCCCACGGCGAATAAAAAATCTGTTGGGAAAATAAGAGAATCTTATGACTGAAGTTGTGTGAACTTAAACTTCATTAAAAATTGTGTCACAAGATGCTATGTCATGTAAAAACATCTGAAGATTATGCTGTTGCATATGGCCTGTCTAATAAACTACAACTTGTACTTGCATGATGGCATCAATGGGGCACAGTCCAGAGCGTTGTTTGCTGTATCCCCTTATCATCCTTAACGGTATCGGGCGTGCTATAAACCTTGTGCAGCAATCTGTTGCTAATCCATCACCAAAAGGGTAAAAAAAAAGCATCTGGAGTGAAAGAGAGACATACTTTGGTTAAGACTTGGTCCTTTGCATAACATGTAAATGTCATTCTGTGATATTGTTAATAAAATGATGATTTACTAAATATAAAAATAACTTTATGTAAGCTTAAAGTAATTTCTAAAACAGGCTTAAAGAGTTTTCCACCAACTATGTGCTGAGATGAGAAATTGAGCAATATCAGCTCAAAAAACTATCACCTGTTTTAACAAAGTTCAGCTTCTTCAATAAGAAAAGAACAGAAACCAAACTTCTTTGGCTTCCACAACACTTTCATATCTAAATGGCCATGGCTGAGACACACTTAAGTGGAAACACAACCAAAAAAAAGGAAGAATTTTAATCAAAAGTACATTTAAAAAGCTTTCAGAGGTGAAGGTAGAAAAGCTATGACGAGGACACCCACTCACCATGTACTCTTCTCGGTGCTGACTTGACTCTTCTGACTTGGTCGTCCTGTTTGACAGAGCTTTAAGAAAAAAGAAAAGAAAGAAAAAACTTTTCAGCCAGTTAAGTTGCAGTTCATTCTAAACTTTTCTTGATTCATGGAAAAATTTCTGAAATCTTGAAGGAGAATCTGATCTGATCATATAAAGGCTGACTTTTGCAGAATCAGGGGTGACTGATTTTACTAACCCGACCCCAGAACTTACGCAGGAGGAGGACTAACGGCAGCTAAGAAATCCTCCACATCAACACATGCCTCCACGGTGGGAAACGTCATGCTGGCCCAATAATACAGATAAAGAAAAACATGAGAGTAAAGTCCATTAATGCGACTTATTTTCAGTGTTATCATATCATTGCTTTTCAAAATACTCTTGCTGATAAAGGAAACATATAAAAATGTATCAGATATGAAATAAAGTGACTTACATGATCTTTGGGTCACATTCTGCTGCAGGAGGTCTGAGAGCTATGTCCAACAACTGCTCATCTTTTCGCAGCCCTTTCCCGTCATTGCACAGACAATCCTTCACAGTTTTGGTCTTCTCAATGGTCTCCACTTCAGAGGATGAAAAGTTTCTCCCTGTGATAGCTGTGAAAAAAGTTGATGGACACAAGTTGAGGAATAGTTACTGGACTATGACCATGTGGGAAAGTAACAACAGGAATACAAGACAAGTTTCTCCTAGAGTTGGTTTAATAATCAGTATTCAAAAAATGAAGGATTGCAACTTGACGAAGAGTGGAATCATTTTTAGAGGTGAAAACAGAAAGCTTTAAAGAAGACATCTACTCACCATGTTCAGCTGCCCCTGTCGCTCCATCTGGGCCTTTTGAATGATGGGTGCTTGTGAAAACAGGAGCAGCTGAAGGTCTGGTCTCAGTCAACCCGGGGTCTGGGGTAACTTTTGTTTCAGCCACATCAGGACTGACTGGAGTGGTCTCATTCATGTCCCTGATGTTGTAAAACAATAAACAATGTGATTCTGGACTTCTTCAGATCCTTATACATGCCTTTGAGAAAACCAGTCAAGCTGCAGGTATTATCAGTCAGTCAAAGTCGGCTCTTCCAACCAAATCTGCCACCTCAGAGAGGCCCCAACCTGACCAACATACAACTGAACAGCTCACATACGGACCAGATTTAATAATGAATATTAGTGTAGATCCAGGACTTACACTGTAAGTAGACCAAGTTCAACAAAGGAAGTATTCCCATCAACACACACCTCCATGTTGGAAAATGTCATGCTAGTACAACGCAAATAGAAGAAAACATGAACAAAAATAGATGAATGTCTCCTGTCACAAGTATCTTCTTCACTTTAGCTGCTTTTAACACTATCACATCACTGCTTCAAAGGTCCCATATTATCCTACTTTTCAGTGAATTTTGCATAATATGGGACCTTGAAACAAATACATACAAATAAAACTGGTTTAAACAAACAAAGAAAACCTATAAACTGACTTACATAATGTTTGGTTCACATCCTGGTGCAAGAGGTCTTAAAGCTATATCCAACAACTGTAAATCTTTGAGATGCACTGTTGTCTGGTTGCACTGGCAGTCCTGTGCAGTCGTATTAATGATCAATGATAAACCAACATCAGACAATGTAGAGTTCCTCCCTGAAAAAGAGTGGATGGAAATTAATCAAAAGCAGGAATATTAAGGGACTATGAACAAATCAGTTTCTTTCAGATATTTTTAAATAAAGTCTTTCTCAAGTTTAAAAAAAAATGCAGTGATTCGATTGTTTGCCCAACACTATAAAAATATAAATCAAGTTCCCCATCAAGCACCTAGTCAGTAATAATAAACATAAAATGTTTGATCAAACTTTACAAATTCCCTGTTGACAAACATAGCTTGTTTTTTCTGGCAGGTTTTCATGTGTGAAATTGATTATTAATTATTATAAATGAAAGGTGTTCCACAAAGATCACTCCTAAGCCAAGTTTTGTTTTGTTTTTTTCCGAATTATATCATCAACATTGTCTCTCCTGTAACTATCTTTATTCTCCTTCCTTTGCAGACGACACGTTTTTTTTATTTGTCCTGCCGACTCTGCTAATATCCACACTGTACAGTAAAAGAGTCCAAGTAAACACAAATTTAATTCTGTGATTACTAACTTCACATCTGTGTGGATGCATCTGTGCACATGGATTACATATTAACTCCACACAAATGGTCTCCAAGTCAACGTGCCGGAACTGCAAATTTGTTCCAACTCAGATAATAAATTGTGTGTGTTATTCTAAAATCTGCACACACAGTTTGCAAATGTGTTCACAAATTGCAGATAATTTCTACAGCAATAAAATTATGAAAATATCAGAAATTAGATGACTGTCAACCTACTGCACAGCAGTGTCAAATCTCCTTCAATAGACACATTCAAGCAAGACTTTATAGAGAAATGACCATGTATGATCCTTATAGCTAAGCAAAGAATGCATTGTTTAAATATTAACACAGAATTTTTCATTAGAAAGGTGAAAAAACTCTGTAATAAAAAATAATATAACATACATGCAGAAAAGCCTGAACTGACAGAACTGACTTACCTTCAGCTGTCGTGTTGGTCATGTTGGTTTTTCTGGCAGTAACAATGACTGCATGTGGAGCTGAAGTCCAACTCTCATCAAACTGTGGCTGAATACAAAACTCTCCAAAGATCACCTCTTCACTGGAGCTTCTTTTGTGTAGAAACACTTTAAAAGCACATTTAGGACAAAACTAACAGAGTGCACAGGAGGATGTGATAGTGAAGATTTTTAACTCAGTTGTTATTTGATGGTGGGAAAGTGACTCAGACAAACAGCAACACTGTCATTGAATGTTTTTATAAATTTCTAGCCCAGAAAAAAAATCCCAGTTGCATGAAAGTCTTACCTTCAAAAGGATCTGGTTGCAAAAAGAAGAAAACCCAGGCAACGTTCAGGAGAGCAACGACAACCCAGCTTGTTCGATGCATGATGCAGTCAACTGATGTACTTCAACAACTGCTGAAAAACTATCTGAGTGAAATACATGGGTGGCAGAATATATTATCTGTCCATGAGTATCTAAAAAAAAGATCTGATTTCCGTGTGTTTGCATGTGTTTCTTCACGATACTGAGTTAGGAAATTTAACATTAAACCTCAAAACCAACAGCAGAAGGTGTGTCATGTACTCTGCCTCCCAGCTGAAGAGGTTTGACTTTCATGTGCAACAAACATTTCAATTTGTGAAATCATGCTGAAGCTGTAAAATTAATAAAAAACGAAGAATTTCTGAACAAGCAAAACAATAGCGCAGTGCTGCTGATTTCAACACGTTGATATATTTATTCTTAGTTTTAATGAACACAGCCATGCTCAAACAGTCAGTCTGCTCTGCATCAGTGACAAAAAAAAAAGAATTTCCTTTTGTCTTGGATTTTTTAAAGTTTGACTCTGAGTTTGGTGCTTTGAGTGTAACACAAACACTCAGTGTTGGGGCCCCTGCAGAGGGATGAGTAACATGTTGTGTTGATATGAAAAAAGGACAATCAAAATAAGACAAATGAAGTTCATTTTTATCAGTAAAGGGGACACTAGACCACTAAAAGAGGGTAACAGCGGATTGTTTATAGGTAAGTAGTATTAATTAGTTAAAATAAGATAATCAGGTTCATTTGATTAGTCAGAGGGATATTAAACCAATAAAATAAAAATTAAAAATAGGTTATTTTTTTATAGTAAAGGTGATATTTATCCATTAAATAACACAGGGTCAATAAAATTAGAGAAAGGTGGTATAAAATCATTAAAATAAGATAAAATAGTTTATTGTATTTTTAAGGTGACATTCATCCTTTAAAATAAGATAAAACTAATTCATTTTGTTGATTAAAATAATGTCAAATAATTAAAATAAGACAAAACAGTTTCATTATGAAGAAACAGATGACCTTTAATTTCCACATTTCTTCTCTTTGCTAACTTTATCATTGATCTCAACGGTGCAACTCATTAGGCAACAATAAACTTTTGGAGCTTATTCACACAAAAAAGGGTTTTTATTGTGTTAAGATAAAGCAGATCATGAAACAGGATAGAAAGAGCTCTGAACTTGAAAAATCCACTGAAAACAAGCAAAGAAGGAATATATATCAGTCAAAATAATGTTTCCTCATCCATGGAAGCCATGACTGAATTAATCTGAAGAGCTGCACATAAACGTCTGTGCTGCACACACAGAGAAACTTGTTTGCATGTTAAAGGTTACAACCTCAAAGCTGGTCACCAAGAGGATTTATCGCACGGAGATACGATTGCTCAATCTTCAATATATTCGAAATCATCAAGATAATCTTCAATCTGAAAGAGGAAGAGAGAAAAAGTGAGGAGCTCAAACTCAAAGTGGCACATACTTCCGTTTGTTGACATGTTGGATAAGCTGCATGATCATGAATCAGCAATAACACTGAGAGCTGAGAAATTTTCTGATTCTGGTTTTGGTTATTTTAAAGGAGGAGTGAAAGCTTCTGCAGAATAAGCCACTCAAAACCCCCCGAAAATCAAAATGTACATGTAACATTTAGTGGTGAAGCAGTTCAAAAGCTTTATATTTGTCTTACAGGAAAAAATCCAGTCTTGGTCGTGTCATGGTGGTGTCGTGCACTGTTTGATTCAGAGCAGTGTGTGTCACCCGATGATGTTACGGAAAGAAAACAGGAATATTAGTGTCACAAAGACTATCAAATGCACCGTTACATTGTCATATTTTCTCATTGCAGTTTATGGATTTGATGTTAACTGTGTGAGGAACAGACAAAGCTGATAGTTTTGCTTCTTACTCACAGAAAAGTTCCAGCCGGACACTTGGATGAAGGCTCTTGATTTATTCTGGTGACGACTTTGAAACAGCAGGGAAATCAGCTTTAAAAAAGGAATTTCCAAAATTGTTTAACACCATGGACACTGTAAATGTTTAAAAAAACCACTCACCAACAGGCCCCGGGTCAAGACCTTCATCGCTGACTCTCTGAGAAGCACCAGAGCTTTCAGTGGAAGTAGGAACGGCCTCTGAGGGAGTCATGTCCGATTCAGGAAGAACTGCCTCTTGCCCACTCCTGATAGTAAAAGTACACTACTTTACTTTTCTGCTGCACAGGTAATCAGATCACTTTGAAATGAGGCCGTTTCAGAAACATGAAGGGAGGTGAAATCAAGACTGATGAGAAACTTTTGTATAATCTCTCTTCAAACCTCTCCAGCTTTTGTGAAAAAGTTCCCCAAAAAATTCTGAAGATCTCACATGAATTCTATCATCATGCAAAAGTCTCTCTTAATCTTTGAAAGTTTCTTCGACCTGCAAACATTTGTTAACCATGTCAAGAATCTTGCAAAAAGTTTCAGGGTTTTTGAATAAATCTTACAAGAGATTGAGATCCTGTAGTTCTTGCTTAAATCACTGTGGGTCTTGCAAAAGTTTCTTAGGATCTCCATATGGGTAACTAGAATCGTGCAAGACTTTCTCAGGATCTTGCAAAAGTTTGTCATGGACATGTTAAGGTTTCCAAAAAGAAGTTACTTTGGGTCTTGTTTAAGTTTCCCAGGATCTAGAAGAAGTTTTCGAGGATCTTGCTAAAACTTCTCATGATATTATTTAAATTTATAAGTATCTTGCAAAAGTTTCCCAGGATCTTGTTTAAGTTTCTAATGGTCTTGAACGTTTTTCAGGATCTTCCTAAAGTATTTTAGGGTTGCAGAAATGTCTCAGGATCTTGTTGTAGTTTTTAGGGGTCATGCAGAAGTTTTACAGGCTCTCGCTAAGGATCCCTTAGATATTTCTCAACTTTTTTAGAATCTATGTTATAATTTCTCAAGATATTACTCTTTTTGTTCTCTCTTTTTTAAGCATTTTGCCAGAATTTCTTTAAAACTCGCAGAATTATCCTAGGATCTTGTTTAAGTTTCTTGGGGTCTTGCAGAAGTTTCTTGGGATCTTTCTCAAGGTTTTTAGGGTTATGTAGAAATGTCTTGGATCTTGCGTATGTTTTTTAATGGTCAAGCTAAACTTTATCAGGTTCTTACTAACAATCCCTTGGATCCTGCTAGAGTTTCTCAGGATCTTGCTTAAACTTTCTCGATTTATTACTTACATTTTTAGGGTCTTGCCAGTGTTTTCCCAGATCATGCAAAAATTTCTCAGACCAATCCTTTTGTTTGTGAGAGTCTTGCAAAACTTTCCCAGGTTCTTGCTTAAGTTTCTTGAGGCCTGGAGGAATTTCAAATGGTTCTGCAGAAGTTTTAAAAGGATCTTGCAAAAGTTTCTTATTGGGTCTTGCTAGAGTTCAGAGGGTCCCACAATAAGTTCCCTCAGCGCTTGAAAATGTATTTTTTATAAACCTGCTTTGTACCAAGGTCAGATTCACAATTTGGTGCACTTATAGGCTGAACCGGCAGACATAATGAGTCAGGACCCTTTAGCCCTGAAACTGGATCATTTTAATACAATAATAAAAATAATTAGAAATTAAATTAATTGAACAAGAGTAAGAGTGCAAAGATTTCACCCATGCTTCTTCTGTAATTATTAATTAAAATATTTTACATGTAAACAATAAAATGTAAATTCATTAGTTGTGAGATTTTGCATGTAAGTGATTAAAGAAACAGTTACTCACATTTCAGGTGCTGAAGACTCCGGGGTGGAATTTTTGACTTTTAGTGCATATAAAAAAAAAAAAAAAACAGCCAGGTTTATATACAAGTATACTTTATATACTTACTTAGCATCTACTTACTTTAGCATCTGACCGTAGAGACAGACTCACCCTCAGCTGATGTGTCGGTGTTGTTGCTTTTGTTATCCAGCTGGATGCAAAACTCTCCAAACACGATGTCCTCATCTTCACACCTTCTCTGTGCAGGCACTGTATATCAACATAAGGCAGCTGAGCTTTACTGACATATTAAAGCCGTTTTTGATGGTAAATTTTACCTTATTTACTGTAATAACCCTGTAGTTAGTCTTTTCTTTAGCTTCACTCACCTGAGAAAGGATCAAATGTTAAAAAGAAGAAAACCCAGATGATGTTCAGCAGAGCCACAGTGACCCTCACAGTCCAATGCATGTTTCTGTCTGCAGCTTTAGGTCACTTTTCTCAGGGTGCCACACTGACCGTGCGCTTTCTCCTGAGCAGAGTTAAAAATGCTGCAAAATCTGCATATCAAGTGAAACATCTCAGAGAAAAACAAGCGTGCATGTAAAGAGGAGTTAGATTCATCTTAAAACCACCAAGTCTGCAAAGATTAACGATGGATTAAATGTTCGTCTCTTTACCATAAACTCCTACACTGGCAAACCAATCTGATTTGAGATGAATGCAGCATATTAAATAGTTTGGATGTTTTAAATCTGACAGATTTGACATCTATCATTTCTGTCATGAGTAAATTTAATGCTATGCTGTAGATAGTCTGATTTCTTAACATGCAGGCTTCCTCGACTTTAATGTCTTACAGTAAAGACTAGAACTATGAATATGTTCATGCTGTGGTGGTGTTTGTCCACCAGATGTCACTGTGTTCAATAAGTTTGAAGTTTCAAACTTTAAAAACTTTCCTTAAGCATTAAGAGACAGAAAGCCCCAAAGTTTCATGAGACTAAAACTAACTTTAGAGAAAGAGCAAGGGTGACAAAATGTCAATAATCTGAATCTGTACATGTAAAGATCACTTACAAATGTAGCAGAACCAAACGAAAGTTGTTATGTGGACCCAAAGTAGAACATATTTTCCTGATACTATTCCAAGTTTCAAAGAAGATTACCTAACTGAGAGATTTCAACCACTACAGGCCAGTGGCTCTGATGAAGACCCTGGAAAGGCTGGTTTTGTCATTTGTATCCCCCTAATGAGCTCATCAGTGGACCCACTGCAGTTCACCTATCAGCCAGGCACCAGGTGCCCTCTGGACCCTGTTGAGGTGGTGGACAGGAGGATGATGGCTAAGCGCTATCATCTCTCACAATGTTTCCCACACTCTTACAGAGGACTGTAACAGCACTGGGCAGCTCCTTAAGTCACAGTGAGATACTGCAAGTCCTTCCTTCCTGCTGCAGTCGGTCTGTTTAACCAGAGTTCAGGTTTGATACCTCTATGTGCAATATTGACAGGCCAGATATTTATCTATGAGAGTGGAAATCAAAATGAGAGAACAACCCACAGTTTGTCAAGTTTACTGCATTTTCCTGTTTTAAAATGATCCAAACTGAAATAAAAGAGCAGTGTTTTAAGCATATTACAGGAGTTTCATATATTATAAAAACACAGTATATAAAAAATAAAAATAAAAAAGGTAAATGAGATGTTTAAAAAAAAACAACACTGATCAAAATTAGAGAACACGTTTTTTTATTTAAGTGATGCAAAGCAGAACATGACAGGTGAGGGACAACAAACTAAGAAACAGATGGGGGAGACAAGACAAAACAGACACAAGCTAGGATAACAGTTTAACTTTGTGTGTGTGTGTGCGTGTGTGTGTGTGTGTGTGTGTGTGTGTGTGTGCCTATATGAGTACTTGTTTTGGGGAGTTATATGAAACAGATAACATTTAAAAATAATAATACTAACTAATAAAATTAAAAAGAATAATGCAACAGAATAAAGGGATGAAGCAAAAACTAAATCAAATGAAAACTAAATAAAATAAAATAAAGAAAGAAAAAATAAAATAATGATATATGAATATATGCATACATATAAATATACCCCCTGTGGTTTGGGGAACGCTGGACTTCTTCCAGAGCTACATGGCTGAATGAATGCAAATGTTCATATTCACCTTCTTTGACCACATATGATGCCTTCCCTGTCACACAGCAAAGCAAATAAAGCAGTTCCTCGAACCTGAAAACATTGGGATAATGAAATGGCCAGCCCAGAGTCCTGATCTGAACCCAGTCAAAAACTTTTGGAGAATCCTCTGCAACAAAGTTACGGCCAAGAAACCCACTACAGTCATCAAACTGTGGAAGAGACTGGAAGAAGAGTGGGTGTAGATGTGCTCAAGTCATTCAAAGCAAAGGCCTTCACACTTCTCGCAAATTTTTGACCGTTTTTAACCTTCCGAAAATTTAGTAGTAATCTGTCTCTGTGCTACAAACATTGCTATTCTTTAATTTTGATGATTGTGTTTCCCACAAAATATGTTTTTTTGTTGAAGGTCCTTGTTTTGATATAAAACACTGCTCTAGTAGCATGGTATTCAAATGTTGAGGAATGACGATGACACTTTTTTGGAGTAAATCAAGTGTTCATTAATTGTTCTCTCATTTTGATCTCGAGTGTGTACTTCTACGTTTGCTATGCTGACCCTTGCTGAACAATTTCACCACAAAGTTCTCCTCCTGTTTGTCAAGTTCGTACGGGGCCCGGGAGCTGACATGAACTTTTTTTTTAAATTCACTCATGAGATTTAGTATCTCGCATTTGCGTTTTATACATATCCATATGTGCGTTTTATTTGTATCTTGCGCATGCGTTTTTGTAAATAATCCTCTGCGTGCCTTATTTGTGAGAGGAGACAGACAGTGTCATGGACAGAGAGCATACTGAAGCGCATGAGCGAATAAAAAAAAAAAAAGTTAATGTCCCCTTCCGTGCTACGTAAGTTTGAGAAATAGAGAAATTATTTTTATATGTTCCTGATTTGAATACAAACCTCTGACTGTGGTCCTCTAACTGTAGTGATACATAAAAAAACAAAACATAAAAAGAGAGATAGTGAGAGAAATTTATTATAAAAATATTCAGAATATAAAGGGAGTAAGAAAAGACATTCAAAAACAGAGGGTAAATTAGTCAGTGCAGCGCTGAGGTTATGAATGACATATTTGCACATTCACTTCAATAGAATGACCAGGTGAGATGATACATTCAGAAATACATGATTTAATAAAGCGACAGAAGCTGCAGAAATGTCATGACGGACATTAGAAGGAGTTTTCATCCACGCTTTTCATGATGGCATCCACCCAGGACATGTTGGGATCCACACAGATGTGACGACCCTTATTTGTGACGAGGCTGAAAAGAGAAAAGGTGAGTGTGAGAGCAGATCCTAAAGAAGCTGTTTATTAGAGTTGTGAGACAAATTTGAAGTCTGGAGGAAACAAACATTTTTGTCGGAGCAGCTTTTTGAAAGGATTGGGGGAAGTCAGAAAAAGTACACAACATGTGTGAAACAATTTTCTAAATATAGGTCAGATTGACATTCAGGCATTGTTATTGTGGTATAGAAAAAAATCAGGGTGTCTGTGGTTCTCAGGGAAATCAGGCTTGGATTAATTACAAATTTATTTGTCCTTTAGGAAAGGTTCCCTCAAGGAAATTAAAAACAATCAATTTTGAGGCTAATTGGGAAATTTGTGACCCTTTGAAACTTAAATCATGTTTGTTGGGTCTTAATAGAGCTTAAAATTACTCAAATTTGAGAAAATAAAAATGGTGCAGGAACCTTGAAAAGAAATCATAACCTGTTTTTGTAAAAACAAACAAAACAAGCTGAGGGGTCTGTGAAAAGAAAAAAAATGTACATAAAGTGTTGTAATCATCAGAAAATTAGAAGAAAAACTATGTTGATAGTATCAGAACATACTTAAGATGGATAACTTAAATGCATGGGATAAAATGTTAAAGATTTGATGCACACAGGTTGAAAATAAGCAGAAAAATTAAATACACAGACTTCAAAACATCAATTAAATAATCATGACATATCAAAAATAAAATCAAGTTCAAGTTAATATATATTTTTTTAAATGCAGTCATGTTTTAGTGTGAATATCAGTTTTTAAAAAAGCTCAAAACTCTCACATGGCTCCTAATTTTGGGCAGCGGTAATCAGTCATGTAGTACGACTTGATCAGGTTTTTGTTCAGCCGTCTGGGGTAGATTTTGAAGCAGCAGTCATCCGGACCGATCGCATCTGAAATAAAAAGTTACAAAAAAGTCAAAGAAACTATCAGATTATTAAACCAAGAATATATCTGACTGAAATTTTCTTACTGTTGCAAAGGACGGAGGAAAGCAGAGCAGCTCCCAGCATGCACAGCAGGAGGATCTGACCACTTGGCATGATGAAGATCTGATATTCACACACACACACACATACACACACAGCTGCTGTTCTCCACCTGAAACAAAGCACCTCTAAACAACAGCTGGTGCGGTCGTCACTTTATCATGATTTAGAAAAAAAAAGGTGTCACTGATGTGGAGGGAGGAGGAGGAGGCTGCGGTTTTCAAAGCCGCCTCATGAAAAACTTTCCACTCGGTTTGTCAGAGGTCGAGCGGTAGAGTGCAGGAGATGCAGATGTGGTTATTGTGACAGTATAACAGCAAAATTGAAGTCTTCCAACCTCTGAAGATTCCTGTCATCGTGAAATTAAAAAAAGAGAAGCTTTATGAAGATGCAGGTTTCCTTTCCTAGCCCCAAAACTCCTAAAATCCTCTTTGCATGAAGAAAAACTCACTCGTCTGAATATGTACAGCTCTTTATTTTAATAAAACCATTGTTTATGTACATTTCAAGTGAGATACAGCTGCATGGTAACCCTCTGCTGTCTCCATGTTTGTCTATCAGTCCTCTACAGTACACGGGTCTCTTCGGGGAACACAAAACAGACAAAAAACAAGAACTTACACATATCAGGAAAATCATTAAACAGTAAAATGCAATTCAATATTCAATTCAGTGTGATTGGGTTTAGTTTGTGGGTGGTTCAGTGTTTCCAGTGCGAGTCTTTGTAGTGTCAGTAGAGCGTCATACACTTTTAATGTAACATTTTAATAGTATCTGACAGAGCCAATGCTGGAAATCAACCACACATTCACACAAAACACATAAAACACAGAGTCCTGCTGGTTTTCTACGCTGATTATCACTTCAACACACAAAAAATAAAGAATGGGAAACTGACAACCCATTTTAACCTGCGAGCGACGACATAAAGTGGTGATGAGAGGCACAACTCAAAGGCTTACATGAATGTGCAAAAAGCTTTATTGCAGTCTCGCGGTGTGTCGCCACACAAAGGGGAGCAGGGAGGGAGGAGTGCATCGAGAGGGGGGGATAGGAAAGTCAAGTCTGCATCACGGTGCAGAGCTGCAGAGGTGATGGTTTAATAAAGACACACACTTCCTGTTTTTAAACCCAGAGCTCGTTCACTTTCTCCTCGGGGGGTGGGGGTGGGGAGGGGGCAAGACAAAGACGCACACGAGACTCGATACCGTCACACAAAATTTAGGAGCAAGACACGTGAAGCAGCTTCAGAACCTAAAACAAGACACGGTTTCTTCTTCCAAGGTTGACTGGGACACAAACTCCAAATATGATGTTTTCAGGGACAGACTCTCAGCTTCACAAACTTCATTTGATAAACAGATCTGTGCAAAAATGGCAAAAGCATAACAAAGCAGCAGCCCAGGGTCTCAAATGAAGCAAAGAGAAACAAAGTTTTGAGGAAACAGCTTCAAAACAGCCTGTAAATACACTGAAAGTTCAAACCAAACATTTTTGTGGCTAGAGTCTACATTGTAGCAACTGCAGGTCTCGACCTTTTGCTGCATGTCCTCACTGAAAAAGGCAGAGGAGAACTCACAATGCAATACCTGAAACATGGTGCAAATGAAGGACAATGACGTGCAATTAGTTGTTGCATTGCACTCTTCAAAGCCACCAAACTCCATTGAAAAAAACAGCGATTTAACCTGAAAGTTGATCTCTTTGTGGACACTTTGCAGCTGCGAGTTGAAACCAAACCCAAAACTTTTTGCACCTTTAGTTCATTTAAAGCCCTGGAGCACAGTTTGTGAAGATAGTGCCGATGTTTAAAGACACTAGAATCACCTTTTTGGTTCTGAAATGTCACCCTGATGGAAGTGTGAAGCCTGTTCACACCCTCTGATGGTCGGGATGGAGTGACACTTTAACTACTGTGTGAGATCAAAAGCCACAATGTGGACAACACCCACAGCTCGGACCAACAACAACGACAACAACTTTTATCAATAAGTCAATTTTTGTCATCAAGTTGCTTGTTTTACTCGGCCTCAGGACCAAAACTTGTACTTAGTCAACTCACAAGATTCAAAAGAAAGCTGCAAATCTCCTCAAATAAGACTGGTCAGCAAAAGGGAATGATTATTTGCACTTTAATTTCTCGTTGATTAGCTTGTTACGTCGTTTTATCCGCCTCATGTTTCCTGTGCTGTCTCTGATCGGAGGTTTTTCACACTTTGAGGTGAGATCTGGGGGAAAGGTGCAGCTGTAGAAAAAGTACGCAGATGATTTTTGTGGTTCATCTGCTTTCATCTTTCAAATGAGGACAGATAAGGTGCATTTGCAATTTGAATTGATGGTAAAATGTATATAAAAGTAATTGATTTAACCATTAGAATCAATGAAGTGTTGTAAAAATTACTTTGCAGCTTCATGATCGTAATTCCAAGTTTAAAGGGATAGTTCGGTATTTTTAAGTTTTTTTTTGTAAGAGGTACTTGTCAATAGTGACCTGTGTGTCAATCACCTGATTGGCCAATCAGTGTGCTGCAGGTCGAAGAACACCTTTGTTTTATATCCATGAATAGTGCAAAAACATACAGGCTCTCTGACAGCAGGGGAAAATACCGTAAATTTTCTAATATACTGCTTACTGTTTGGGTTTTTCTAAATTGCCATAAACGCTAGTGTAGAAGACACACTTTTAATACTGTTTTTGTCATCTTAAAAGGTATGTGATGGTGGAAACTCAACCACTTGGATGGATGAGATGGAAGGATCTAACCTGCAGAACAGCAGCTTTCTGTCCTCAAAGGCTTCCATAAATCCACTAATGGGAGGGGTTAGCAAGGGGGCACTATAAAATTCTCATTTTGACACACTGTTCCTTTAAAACTTTGCCCCCTTTGTTAGAGTTTAAACTAACAGTGGGGTAAAGCTAAGTAAACACACCTCCTGACGTGATGGTGTGATTGGAATGACTTCAATTCAAGAGGAGTGGCCAGCTACACATCAGCATAAAAACTGCACATTGCTGAATGCAATAAAAGTCTTCATGCAGGACCAGAGTTTAACCCTTTCTTACCTCATCTGCAGTGATTGACAGCCAAGCTTCAGGGCAGATATTCCTTGTGGTTTCTTAATAAAAGGGCTGAGCTGACTGGTATCCCTCTGTGGGTGTTCCACTTGTTAGTGACAAGTACCCCCCAAAACCCCCGAACTATCCCTTTAATCTATCTTTAATGCATTATTGTGTGCGTTTAATAAAGTATGGTTCAGTTAAAAGCATGGAAACATGTTATAGAGGGTATAATTCAGGGTTAGGATACCGAATGTTACAACACTTTAATCCTTCAGGTACACAGGTCATTAAAGGAGCAATGCTGTCAAAATCAAGTATGTCCACGTAGAAGCCTTCATTAACCGGAACAAGCCAAGTTCATCATGTCCCACGGTTGCACTGATAAATATTAAATAAATACAAACTACAAGCTCACACATAGAAATCAAGAGTCAAAACACGTTTAGCTCGGATAGACGCGAAGCAGGGAGAGCAGCGTCATATGATCACCCACTCCAGCTTCACTGACATAAATATTCTGCAAACATCGTACAGGCAGCTCAGGACCTCTCTTTTTTTTTTTAGAGGCTTTGACTTTCATGTAACAACGTGGCGCTCTCAGAGACGCCAGACAAGTCTTTGGGTGAGTGTTTGTGCATCGTCATGATTATTTTAAACTTGCTCCACGACAGAGATGACGTTGTGGAAATGTTTAGAAACATTCACAGGGAGTGAAAATCACACTGAGGTCAAAATCAGGAGGGAATGAGTCGAGTTTGGAAAGAAAGAAATGAAGACGCACAAAGACAAAGAACAGAGACAGACTTTCATTCATGAATCTGACTGTGCAGGTGTAGTTTTATCATTTGACTCCCTTATTTTTCACTTTTAGAGACGGGGACTTAGGTGTTACTCTTTAAGGAATAAATGAGGGGCCGTGTGGTGGGAGAGTGTGTCGTATGCAAAGAATTAAAATCAACATCCAGGATGTTGGTTTCCAGCCTGATGGGTGAGTGTGTGTGTGTGTGTGTGTAGGAGTGTGTTACATTCTTCATCCTCCTCCAGCTACACTTTCAATTCCTCTGCTGGGCCTCCAAGCAGAGGAGGGGGTGATGGGAGATAAATAAGGCCTCATATTCCTTTTCACACCCCCTCCTTTGTCACTGACAGACCCCGGTTTAGGGGTTTTGGGGTCCAGTTCGAGCAGAGACACTCTTAGGCTCATGAGGTTTGTCTGACCTGGTCAGTTTGTCTGGTTGAGTCTGTGAGTTTCTGATGGTTTGACTCAGCGCTTCAGCACCGGGCTGCACCGCTCCTGATCCTTCTGTAACGCCTGCAGGACCTGGAGAAGACAGAGGAGAGGACAGTCAAATAATGTGGACTAGAAGGACCACAAATCCTCAAAAAAAAACACGCTCTCACCTGCCCCCACTTTCTGTTCCTGCTGGTCATGTGGATGGAGGCGATGTGCTGGAAGAGCTGCTCGGCGGGAATGAGGTCAGGCAGGCGCGTGAGGAACTGAGCCATGTGGATGAAGTCCATGCAGGTGAGGACATCCTGGTAGAGACGCAGCAAACCCAATGCCGTGCGGAACAGGAACTCCTCTCCGTCTCTGCAGAAGACGTCCCACACCCGGCACGCCAGGTCCAACGGCAGAGACTTACTGTACAGGGTGAAGATCCTGGGAGACAAACACAAAATGGTCAGCTGGATTTACACAGCTACAGAGCCAAATACTCCAGATATGGATCTATTTCTTAGCAGTGATGCAGAGACTTATATCTTGATTTAAGAAGAAAACGAATGTCTCGAAAAGAAAATAAGAAGCAAAATGAGAAATGATGGAAAGGTGAAAGTTTTATGACAAGTGTTTTATTTTGAATAAAAACACCAGAAAAACTTTAGCCTCATTTTTCTCATAGCACAGAAACAAAATTAGAAACATGAACTGTCATCTGCTCGACCACCGCTTTGTGGGTTTAGTATGGTAGGAGTGAAAAAAGTTAAATATGTGAAGTGAGAAAATAGAAATGTAGAAAGTACCTCTGCCGGTGGGTAAAGACCACCGACACATACACGCACACACACACGCACGCACGCACACACTCCCACAGAGCTCATCCTGTTTTCTCAGAAACACACCTGACTCTGAAATCGTGTCAGCTTAAAGTGAGAACAGACTCATGTTTCCATTTTATAAGACAACCAACGTAAAGGTGTGAAATGACACAACGGCAAATCATTTCCTTAGAGCGTACTTTCAGGTCCCAAAGGGAGGGGGGACATCAAGAGACTCACCAGTCGATTAAATAAATATCAGGGGTCAAGCTGTTTTTCTTGAAATGTGCAAAGAGCTTTGGTAGATTTTCTTCAAAGAACACTTCAAATGCGGAGAAGTACGTCAACATCTGTGGAGAGGAGGAGAGGATTGGAAGAGAGAGGGGAGGAGAGGAGAGGAGAGAGAAGAGGAGATGAGATAGGAGAACAGAGGAGAGGAGAAGGGTCTGATTATAGATTACAATCACAAAACACACAAAAACCACACTGTGTGAGTCATAAGATAAGAAGAACTTTATGGACAGACGAGTGGTTCTGTGTTGATCAGCTTTACCTAACCAGAGAGATTTTACTGAGGGCACAGTGACATGAAAACACTGATGGAGGCAGACATGGACCAGGAGCTCCTTTGTCACTTAAAGCTACGAGTTTTTCAGCTGTAAGGGAAGAAATTTAAGAGCTGTTTCTGGGTAATAAAGGATCTGATTTTCTCACACATGATTTTTAACACTGAGATGATTTTCACCATCAAAAATCAGAAGTCGTTACGTCTGATTTCATCATACCTTTTAGTCAACTTTCTCAAACAAAATATTGCAGCTGGTTTTCATAATTTCTGTGATCGCCCTTAAAACTGAGAAAAGTGAAACTATGAATTAGGTTCAACTCAACAGTCTGTTTTTAAAGCTAGAAGTAGTATCATCAAGTGAATAACTTTGAAATGCTAGACCTTTCTCAGTCTGCTTCTAGTCACTGCTTATTTATTTACCTTGCACACATGGTTTGTTACCATGCTTTGACTCTTTTCTGTTAAGGAAAAATACCTGACAATTGACTTAATAAAATAAAAAATAAAAAATAAATAAAAAATAATAACAGAATTAAGTTTCCTAAAATTAAAAAAAAAAACATTTTATATCAAAAATTTAAGTCAATGTTTTCTTCCTCTTCTGGCACATAACAAGAAATTAACTTCTCATTTCTGGGGTGTAATATCTGGAAATAAAACTTTTCTGGACTTTTCAGCTGACTGTGGCTTCAATTCAGCCAAAAAACACATTTTTCAAAAGCCACTAATAAGACAAAATCACTGGCTAGTATTTGAGTTTTTGTTGTGTTACTATCTTAATCTAGCACTAATTATAAGCTCCGTCGAGAAACCAGTTTGTGTTGATTATGGCGCCGCCTGTGGTCGAAGATGGACGCGTTGTAGATTTGTTTATCTTGTCTTACAAATTCTTCTACAAATTCTGGCTTCACAGTGGAAATAAAGGCTGAAATAATGAACAAAAATCCTGCCTTTAAGGATTCAAAAAAAAAACCCAGACAGCTAAAGAGTTGTGTGTGTGTGTGTGTGTACTGACAAGGCTGTGGTCGACTCTGAAGAAGGCCATCTGACAGGGCTTGTTGAGCAGGTTAGCAAAAGCTATGAAGGCGTCAGCTGTGTCCAAATTCAGGATCAGTACTGCTGCAATGAACGACATTCCCTGCACCTGCACATGCACACAAACACACACATACACACACACACACAAACACACACACACACAAATATGAAATAAACTAAAAAAAGTCCATCTATATCTGCAAGTTAACACCCTTCAAAAGATTATTTTTTGCAGTTAGGGCATCATTTATACGATTGTTTAATGACAGCTTGATATCGTCTCATTTTAAGATCGTCTATAGACTCATTTGGTCGCTGCAAAGAGAGATGAATCGTTGCAAACTCATGCAGAGAGCAAACCCCTGCACACAGAGGTGGATGCATATTCAGTGTGGGTAGCAGCTCATGAGTCGGGGTCAGTGCAGGAAGTCAGACTCATTTCTGTCTTAGCAGAGACGGCGTAGGGCGAACCACAGCATCTTTACCGACATGTGGCTGTGACTTACAGAAATGCAAACACAAGCTCAATCTGTTAGCCACTGCGCATAATTTTGAGAATTTCAATTAAAATTTAAGTCTTATTAAGCTGAACAATGCATGTAAACTGAATCAATGGTTTTCATATTATAGAGAAACGACCCAGCATTAAAAAGGAGACTTCAGTGGATCACCAGAGTCCTGTAGCAGACAATCATGAGTCCCGAGATGAGGAACTTTCCTTGAAAGTACCCGTACAGTAGATTCACGGAAAAAAATATGAAATAAACTGCGGTTTGCAGGCTGGAAATTACACCGACAAACTGTAAAAAAAAAAAAAAAGGTCTTCCAAATTTACCAATCACCCCGCTGCAGAAGGATCTGACACCTAAAAGAAAACTCACTTTACCCATTTAAACACGGCAAAAGCTCAGACTTCCCCAAGTGTTTTATTATTGACATTTTTAATCAGAAATCTCTGCATCAAAATAAAAGTCTTCAAACCTTTTTGAACAAAGTTTGCCTCAAATCACAAAGACGAGACAAAAAATCTTTTCACTTTCAAAAGTTTCAAAAGAAAAGAAAGTCAAGGATTCAGAAATCATGTTAGCATACAAAACTCCCTCTGCAGCAAAAGCACTACGAGATATCTACGAAAAAGAATAAGGGCCACATGAAGAGAAAAAATTACTACAGGAGGGAGATTTTTTAAGTTTCCATTTTTATAGTCAAAATTTTAAAAAAGTTGAAATTTCGACTATTCACTGTCGACTTTAACCTTGAATTTTTTTTTTTAAATCTTGAAATTTCAACATTATTCACAACATTTTGACATTTTGTAATCTCAAAATTTCAATTTTAATCTTGAAATATTCACTTAATTGACATAATTTCGACTTTATTAATCTCAAATGTTTGACTTCAATCACGAAATTATGACTTTAATCTCCTTCCTGTATCAATGTTCTCTTCATGTGGCCCTAATTCCCTTTCCATAGATACTTGCCGCTGTTTGAAAAAACATCTTTCATGAAACTCCTGAAAAGTTCAACTGCTGCAGCATTAACCAGAGATCACTGGATCTTAGTGTGTGATCAATACTATCTAAAAATATCCATAAGTGGGACATTTTAGAATAGAATAGAATAGAATAGTCCTTTATTGTCACTGTAACCAGTACAACGAAATTAAAATTTTATGCATGCACTCCTGGACATTTCTGAATGTGTAGCAGAGTAATCATTAATGAAATTAAAAAATGAACAGCGTTTAATAATAAAAATAATAACAATAACTTTATTTATATAGCACTTTTGGCCATCGCAGAAACCCAACCACAAAAACCTGAGACCAAGGCACTGAAGTTTAGAAATGCATGTAAAGGAGAAGGAATAATAACTAAAAAATTAAGGGAAGTAAAATTGTCAGTGGAAAATAAATGTAAAAGAGTAAGTCAGAGGAAGGGAACTGCTAAAGTGATACAAGAATCAAAAATGAATAACTGAATTTATATGAATTTATATAACCCTTGCTGGGTTATAAATCTTTCACCTGTGGATATGTCAGCACTGATAGAGAACACAGTGCTGCAGATTGGAAAAGCCAAGAACAAAGAGTTTGTGTGTGAATCAGTCTGTAAACTCTTTCCAAACTGTCAGGTAAAAAAATCACCTACAGTTCCTTTAATGCGGAGTCAGAGGTTTCGGCTTCACACTGAGGGAAGATCGAATACTAGAAGCTGTTACTCATCCTGACCGCAGTCAGACTCTGGTACCATGTGTTAATAATAGATTGAGGAGGTGTTATGTGGGAGATAACAGTCTGAGCCCAGCATTTTTAACCTTTAAAGACATACAAGTAGTACTACTGTGCAACTACTCTCCTGTCTGTTTACAAATGTGCATTACAGCTCTTAATCCTGGTCTGTAAGCCCATTTAAATGCTATACTGTCTTAATTTTTAAAGATTAGGTCATAATTAAATATCCGAGATACGATTTTGGCTTCAAATATATTAATTGATCCAGATAAACGCAGACATTGGATGTTCTGCCAATGCAACTATTAGTATGAGGGTTTTCTTCTTCTGTCCACTAGAGGGCAGTCCTGCGTCACCCAACTGAAAACTAAAAGGACCAAACTGTGACAAACAGGCAGTAAAACGGGCGAGGAAGTAAAATAAACTCATCACTTGTGGAGCAGGTGAGCTGTAAAACAGGCAAAACAAGACATGCATGTCTTTCAGTCTATTTTAACCTCTCTTCCAGTAGTAGATGCAGGAAACAGGAAACAAAAGGAGCCAAAATAATACTAAATCCCCAAACTAAAACTATTCATAAGTCAGTCATTGCACTTAAATAAGGTAAAATAAGACTAACTTCAAATTTGAGAAATCAGTGTCTTATTAGATGGTGTTTAATACATTTATAAGCTTTTTAACAGCTTTAAATTTCACAAAATTGACTTTAAATACTTTTCAAGACCCCATGGACACCCCAATATATCGCACCGAATGATAAGTAAAAGTATAAACACATAGGTCAAAGTTGATGTCACCAAAGTGTCACAAAAATACAAGAATCTAATGAAGAAAAGCCACGAGCCACGTATGAAGACTTTAAAGAAAACACACGGAAAAGGAGAATCAAAGGTTCTGGTTAAGAAAGGTGTGAAGGTTTCACAACAGGATGTAAAGCTGAGTTATGTGTCAAAGTGTGTGTGTGACTTACGTAGCCAACATCTGGCCGGTAACATGTGTAAGCTCCCAGAATGCTGTGCAGCACGTCATGATATGGTCCACCCTGATGATGACGATGAAAGAAATGTTTAAGAAACTGAAGGATAAGTAATCGTAATGTTTCTGTTAAAGGGTCCTCCCACTGACCTGCTGGAAGATACACAGGTGTGGGAAAGTTCTGGAGATGTCCAGCTTGATCAGCTCCAGACTCGACTCCCGGTCTGAGGAACCGGCATCTGAAAGATATGGGAAAGCTTTAGGAAACACAAGAGTATTTCTGTAAGGCACAACAACACATTAAGTGACTGGTGAGGAGGAGAAGTAGAACAACAACTCCAAAAATTTGCAAGATAAAATTAATAAATTAATAAATAAATAAAATTAATGAAAGGCAGATTTTTTTTAAATGCCTTTCAAATCAGTGTTATGGTTTTATTTCTGCAGTTAGATAATCAAACATTGTCAGAGGTCAGTGCTGCTGTGCCTAGAGTTTTAATCTTTTCCTATAAACTCAGTGAAAGTTTTGAAGCCATCACACTGACCTAAGTTGCTCTCAGGACTTTAGCTTTACCACCATATGGCCTTAATTAAAGTTAAATCCTGTTACATGAACAACCTAGCTACCTACACCTGTAAATTTACAAAAAATCCTCAAGTCTATTAACACACTTGGGTAAAATACCTGTAAATCAAAGGGCTGCCTGCGATGCTGATGCTGTTTCATAAGACATAATAATTGCTGTAAAACCCACTCGCTTTGTGAGACCGTCAGCTTTTCAGCGTTAAACTGCGTTTCTACAGAGCCTGCATTCAAACGCCTGATTTATTTCTTACGACTGTCCTGATCCAATCCCTGAGATGATTTATGTTTGAATTAGACTGAAATATACTCAAAAGGCACTACCTTCACTTTCCAAATAAGCATGAAACCTTCACGACAAGTCTCTACCTTCAGTTTCTGTCTCGGAGGCGGGCGCTGGCATGGTCTTCCACTTCTCCTTTGCTCGCGACAAACAGATGTTATAGAGCTCTGCAGGGACACAGAACAGCAGAGCGGAGGCGTCAATAACGAGAGAAAGAGAGGATCACAGCAGCTCTGAGACTCTGAGGGGAGAACATGATGAGTGGACAGAAACCACTTCAGGTGATAAAAGGCTTCAGCTCTTCACATTACTCTGCAGCAGGAACACTAGAGGTGATTACAGGGAAAAGATCAGCCTCTCTTTGTCAGGAGACGTTTTAGTTTGCTGCAGCATATTTAAAGCTCCCTGCCCTGGCTTTGACCTGCCGTCCTCCTTTTCTGATGAGACGCTGGATTGAAATAATTAGCTTTCAGAGACACAACATGCAGCTCTGCATTGAGGTCCTGACCTGGTGGAGTCTCCACACCTAATGATTAATGGCAACAAGCAGAAAATGGCAACCGCAAAGTCATCCTGTGTAGGGGTGGGAGAAAAAAACAGATACAGCATAATATCGCGATATTTTGTCTGGCAATATTTGGTATCGTCTCATTGACCAAGTATCAATTTTTTCAAATTAATTGCTAATATAGAGTCAAATCTATGATAATTGAAAAATAAAATCAACAGTTTGTCCAGTGAGGTTGGCAGAGGTGACATCATAGAGCAGGAGAAAGTTAGAGCGACAAACATAGCAGCACCTTGGGAAAGACATTAAGAATGCAGACAGGGTGCAAATGAGATGGACCTGACACATAAGGTTTGCAAGATGTGTTACGTGGAAATAAAACACTGTATATAAAGACAAACATAAAGGAAAGACAAATGCTAAATTAGCTAAACAGTTGAAAAAATATAGTATAAATCGCAATATATTGTATTACAATACTCACTGTATTGCAGAATGTTAAAAATCGCAATAATACTGTATCGTGGTCCAAGTATCATGATTATGTCGTATCGTGGCCAAGTATCGTCATAATGTCTCATCGTGGGGCCACTGGTTAATCCCACCCCTACTATGTACTTTGTTTTGCACTTTATTTTCCACATACTTTTTTACTGTTCGGTAAGATGCAGCACTTATGCAGTCAATTAAAATGGTATTTGTTGTTTGAAACAAAGTTTTGACTCAGTTTGTCCTTGGATCAGTATCCTCATTTACAGGTCCTTGCAAATATACAGCCATATTGTATTGTATCGTATCGAATCGTATCGGGACACGTGTATCGTGATACGTATCGTATCATGAGGTCCTTGCCAATACCCACCCCTAATTCTGTGGAAACACACAGATTCTTTATAATGTGAATTTTTACAACACAGTAACACAGAAGTACTTGAAGTAATATCAGCCGCAGTATTAAAACTACTTTAGGAAAAAATGGGACAAATCTGTAACTGAGCTGCTACTAAAGAGAGGATAGACCACTCTAAAGAGGAATGAGCTTCAAGTGTGTGTATGTGTGTGTGTGAAGTGATAATGCACAGCTCTGTGCTCCATTTAAAAGGCTGAGCAGGACAAAGCAGAGCCAGCTCAGCAGTCAACCAGCCAGTGCTTATCTGCAAGGAGCCCCAAGGAGCTTTAGCTGAGCAATTTCAAGTTGGTGCTTCCACACCGAGTGTGTGCGTGCATGTGTAATTCTGTGTGTGTAAGTCTGTGTGTGTGTCCGTTCAGTCTCCAGAACTCATTGCCATGCCGTGCACTCCCCTCATGCACTGTGGGAAATCACTGAGCCGTGCTGCTCTTTAAATGGACACTCTTTCTTCGTCTTGTTTTTTTATCTCGCTGCTGTTTACTCTTCGTTTTCAATTACAGAAACACTGAGACTAATTGCTACACGAATCTGTGTGTGTGTGTGCGAGCGTGTGCTGTCCTGTTTAATCAAACTCCACTGCTGCATCACCATCTTAGACAGTCACTCTTACGTACCGTGTGTGATGTTGAGCTCGTTGCCCACAGCCAGGCTCCACACTTTCCCTCGGACGCTTGGAGGGATGCCCTGCCACCAGAGGTCTCTGACCCGTCGAGATGTACACCTGCAGTAGAGGGATACAGGCGGTCAATGGTTAACACACCAGAGGCTGCTTTAGTTTACTGTGCAACTTCTAAGGTTAGGAATTCTGCAGTCTGAACTCGGACATCCTGGATACCCACATTGTACTCCAGTTAGGTAAGATCTCTTGATTCCAGGTCTGGGCGGCCGTCCCGATGCTTTCCTCGAGTTTACAGCGATCCTCCAGCTGCTTCTTCCTCTTCTGAGCCTCCTTCAACTCTGCAGAGAGGAAAGAGGAGAAGTGGATCAACACACACCAAAGAGAGAAACCACACAGGTTCTTGACTCTGGGTTTAAAAAAGGTCCTCACCTCTCTTCTTGGCCTGGGCCACCATCTCCTCATACTGCTGTCGGTGTTTCTGTGCCTCCTCTGCTGGTTTTGCAGGCAGATTACTGTAATACACAAACACAGATGTAGAGAAAGGGTTAAAGGCTGTTTGTTCTCTGAGCTTAACTTACATTATTCATGGTGAGGAGGGTTGTGTGGTACATCGTGAAGAAGCACATACAGGCAGAGGAGCAGGAGCTTATTTATTTACTCTAAGAACATATGTCATACAGCCAGTCTGTCTGCACATTTTATAGAGCTGGTAACTAGCACTGAAACAAGAGTTTGTGCAAGCTCCACTTTGGTTTTATACATAAAGACCCTTTAATAATATCATGAAAACACATAAAAGTATGCCTTTCTCAAGCTTTCTTTGCTGTTTTCTTTTTTTTGTTAGGATAAAAATACCAAGCATGCAGACAAATATGACTCTCATCACCCTGTCAATGACACCTATCATTTATACTAGAGTCTTGTATCAATTATCTAAAATCCTGTCGTAATCGGTTGTAGTTTTGGGCTCATGAATAGACTCATACATGTCCATGTAAACATGCTAATGTTAAATTAATAAGCTGCACAGGCCGAGTATGAAAACATTAGGCCTAAACTTCAACAATATGTGATAAGGGGAGTTTATGCTCGGTAAAGTAGGAGGGGTCAGAGTGCAGACGTGCAGTGCACTGCAAAGATGGTAAACACAAAGACAGTCTTAAAGTCTCACTATGTTTAAACAATAATAACACTCGCAAATGTTTACAAACTCTGACTTTCTGTATGTGAGTAAAGAGAAGTTGTAATACTTCTAAAATTAGGCAAAAAAATTGGTGAAATAATGAGATCATTGCTTAAAATTTTACTAAAGAGTAAAACTCATGCAGATCTGATATTTATTATTAAATTAAACAGTGATAGAAGTGATTATTTGTCAAAAAGAAAGAAAAATGAACTAGCTTGATAAACTGGCTGTTATACAGGAAGAGTGGAATTAGCCTGAGTGTTATTGTAGCTATGACTCTTTTTAAAAAACACCTGAGACTGAGTGCATCTGAGCTTTTTCTATGTCAAACAGTTAATTATTCTGGTTTCTGGGGACTATGTTCCTAAAAAAAGGTGAATAAGAGAGTCTGTCTCGGACAGTAACTTGCAAAATAGTCATAAAAATGATAACAAAGAGAATGGTGATTCAGCCATGTAAAACCAGGGATGTGATATATTCAGCATATCGCCCACCCCTACAATGCATGCACAGATTTAAAAAAGGCCTAATCCAACAGAGATTTTAGAGAGGCCAGCATCTTTTAGATCAGAATACATCTCCCTTGGTCACTTCCATTCAATATCTACATACAGTCACTTGTGGGGTCCCCCAGGGATCAATTCTTGGCCCCCTACTGTTCATCTTTTACATTATTCTCCTTGGTCAGGTCATCAGCCATCATGGACTCTCATTACACAGTTACGCCAATGATACACAGCTCTTTATCAATGCCGCAGCCTGTTGAACGCCCTCCCTGACACCTTGAGGGCACTACAACCCACTCACTCTTTTAGAGAAGGACTCAAAACAATTCTTTTTAGCAGAACTTTTGTTCCCCCTTTTTACATTCTTTTCTTAAACCTGCTCATCTTGCTTTTTGTTTTTCCTTTCATGAGATGTTCTTATTTTAACCAATATCCTGTTTTTATATTCCTTTATTGTTATGATTCTTTGCTTTTAACATGTAGCCCTTTGAGGTCTCTGGATGTGAAGGGCACAACAAATAAAATGTATTATTATTATTATCGTTATTATTTCATATTCATCATAGTTTTATTCTAGAGATTTTGTCTCCATACTATAGACTTTAAGGAGAAGAGACGGGAAACATGGGAATAAGAGTGTGGAGAGAACAAGCATCAAGGAGTCGATAGCAGGGGACTGACCTGGGATTGTGTTAGGGGCTGAGTGGGCACCTGCTCTAACAACTGTGGCCTTTTAATGACAAGTGTATTAAGAGTAGAGTGATAGTCACATGGAGGCCTGCTATCTACTCCTCTAAACTTTAACAATATTTTTGAGGTGTTTTACCAGCAGGGGGAGACAGTAAAGAGGGGAAAGATAGGAGGCAGCATGCAGCAAACCTTTCTGAAAGAGAGATCTGAAAATAAACTTTATGTTTAAGAGATTTCTGATGATAACCAAACGACTGATTTCACTCGCTGTGTCCCCCAGATGAAGTTCATTTGTGTGCTGTACATAAACTGAATACTAAAGAAGCAGCGCAGTCGAGCCAGGCCAGAGAGGGCTATTAAACTTTCAGCAGCACTTCTCTTTCAGCCTCTTAACAAGCGGAGACACAGAGAGAGCTGAAACAATACTGAATAGAGTCGAATGACCGGGCAGAGAGGAGAGAAACTGATAAAGGAGGAAAATAACAGAAGAGGCTTTATTGTCTGACAGTATACTATACTGATAGAGAGGGGGGTGAAAAACGTGGGAGTGTCTGACAAACCAAACATCTGAAACAGTGTGTGTCCCTGTGTGTGTGTGTTGACATACGCAGGTCTGTCCTCCAGTATAAGTGCAGTGGTGGAGAGGGGCTCAAAGTCCAGGTTCTTCCTCACACTCTTCCTGGGAGACGTCGGGTTGCCGGGTCCAGCTCTGCCACTTTTTGTTTCATATTCCTGAAAACAAACAAAATGGCGCTATTTACACACAGGAACTTATTAGAGAGGAACAGTTGTCTTCAGGCAGTATTTGGTTTAAAATCACCAACAGCAACAAGAGAGTTGAAACATTTGCATACAAAGTGGAGTAAGAATGGGAAAAACTGGTCTGGGAGTCACTTTTTAGTCCATTAAAAGATCTGACAGGATATCCATAATGCTGCAGAGCCAAGATTTAAGAGCTGGTTTAAAACAGATTAGGGAGGTTTGAGACAAAAACACAACAACACAGAGGGAACTATAGATACACATGTTCAAAAGGCCTTCTTTCCTTTGAATATTTTTGAGTTTTAATGACTTACAGGTACAAAAAGTTTCAGGACTTCTCATTTGATCTGCTTTAGCCAACAGGTAAGTGTGAGGAAGCCCAACACAGTGCAAAAAGTAAACAGAGAAGAAGAAGCAGAACTTTTCGTCAGAGATGATGAACAGTAGACTCTAAAAAAGATAAATACTGCCTCAGTGATGTAACGCTTGTTTCTAACAAGTTGTTTAAAAGCCAAAAGCTGACTTGATCAACCAAGAAAAAAGACAGAGATGACGAAAACTCCTTACACAAATCTAGTTATACTCTTACCCTAATTAGATGTGATCAATTTCACCAAATATGCACATTTTTTTAAGAACTGATGCACAGCCTCTTGTGGAATTTTGAGGAACTACAATTTTTTTTTACTTGAGCACTAACATCAGAGAGTTTGCTTTCTACAGAGGAAGGAGTAAAGCAGCAGCGTCTGTTTCCTTTAAGGGAAAATATCTGTTTTGTCAATAGAGCAGTGGCTTTAAAGAGAGTGATGTAAGGACTGTTTATCATTTTACAGCAGGTGTATATCCATAACACGGGTCTATTTCTGTGGGCTCACACACATTATAATGCAAAAAAGTCAGGGTGCATATATACAAGGCTGTCAGGTGAAAGAACCCGAAGTGTTAGTGAACAAATGGTGAGTTGGTTAGAGGCACATCCAACAGCTTTATTTAGCAGAACTCCTCAGAGGAGATCCCAAAATGATTGATTAACTGATTTATATGGTTTTATAATTAATGAAAGTCCTCAATTTAAGTCCTTAAGACCTCAGAACAACTATAAGAAACAGACTCCAAGTGTAAAAAATCCTCTATTCACACGGAAACCCTTTAAAATAACTTGACAGCAGTGTGACGCCGCTCTTTTGGCCTATGAGCTTCTGTCAGCTCGTGTCTAATGACTCCGCTGAACTTCTGGGAGTGAGAAACTGCCCTATAGAGAGAGGGAGTCCAGGCTTTGGAGCAGTTTAACAAAAGGTCACCCCTCAGCTGACTAACAGGTCGAGAGTGTTATGTGTGAGTTAGAAGCTCTGAGTTGAAACATAAAGTCAGCCTCAGAGAGCTAAGAGAGCTCGCACAGTTCAGTGGAGACTACTCTTCACTGTCTAAATAGTTAATTAGGAAGTTACTGTAAATAGGACAAGTGCAACGTGAGCGCATGAGGCCACACACTCCTGAGTGTGTCCAAAATGGCCTCCAGTGTTTGTTAATAATGTAGAATGCAGGCAATCAGCTTAACACTGTGCTGCTGCCACACAAACGTCAACATTGACCAGAACAGGCCACAATACAGAGGGGCAAATCTATTCCCACAGCGGAAGTGTGCATGTGTGTGTTTGTATATGTGTGTGTGTGTGTGTGCATGGCTGTTTGTGATGCCGCCCATGTTATTAATCAGCCACTGTGTTCTCGTCTGCTGCAGCAGAGCCCGCTCGATGAGCCTTCAGGGACAAATAAACGTAATTGAATCAGACTATGTTTTGTGCTGGAGGAGGAGGAGGGCAGGACAGGAGTGTGAAAAGAGACATGAAAAGACATAAAACCTGCATGAATTAATGATAAAGGCAGTAACCTTGAAATATGGAGCAGTTCAGTGAGCTAAGTTTTATACAAGGTCAATAAAGGTATCGTAAAACAACAGAGGAATCACTAACAGCTGTTCTGAGGCACCACGGTGCTCTCAGTTTAAAGATAAGGTCATTATACTACAATATGAAGAATGAAAACAGCAGACGGTCAGATTTTTCCAAGTATTTAGAATATATTACAGCCCTGCTACCTAAACTGAGGAGACACAAAATGATGATGAAACCGATAATTCAGACCTCTGTCCTGGACACTCAAATTAAGATACAAAAAGCCCAGAATTAAAATTGAAATGTAAAAACAAAATCCTGATCAAAAATCTCTCTCTTTTAGGGAAATTCAGGGTTTGAATGACTCGCAAACCATCAAAATAGTGAGCCTATCTTTAACCTAGTATCTGAACATAGAGAACTTGGACCTTTTCCATGTGTCACAGCGTAGATTAAAAGTTCAACCCTGTCCCTGCTGTTAGCTGCAATATGGTAATTATGGCAGTGTAATTTATCTAATAGTGCATGCGTGCTTCGCATGAATGTGGATCAAAGTTCACCTTATTCCCTCTGACTGAGTTTGTTTTATTAGTGCCTTATAAAAGGACCACAAAACCTACTATTAAAGAGTAAGGGGTTACCTGCAACCATAAGGTGGGAGAAAAATTGATACGGCATAGTATCACGATATTTTGTCTGGTGATATATTGTATTGTCTCATTCACCAAGTATCAATGCTTTCAAATTAATTGCTAATATGAAGTCAAATCTATGATAATGGAAAAATGAAATATTTTTTTTTGTCCAGTGAGGTTGGCAGAGATGACATGATAGAGCAGGAAAAAAATTTTCCAACAAACGGAACCAGGGGAAGGATATCAAGAATGCAAGCAGGGCACAAATGAGATGGAAATAACACGAGGTTAGCAAGAAGTGCTACATGAAAATATAATATTGTGTCAATAAGACAAACATGAAGGACAGACAAATGCTAAAATCAGCTAAGCAGATGAAAAAAAATGTAAAAATCGTAATATATGGTATCATGATACTCACTGTATCGCAAAATGTTAACAATCGCAATAACATCGAATCGACACCACACAAGAGCAACCTGCACTTAACTGCAGAAATTTATGGAATTTACATAATTGAATATTTTTATGCCAATATGCTTTGGGACATAAAGAATAATGGGGGTATGAATGACGCTTTTTTTTCCATCAAAGTGGCTCAAAGGGGGATGGAGGAAGGGGATGATGAGTGACAAGGGGATGAGCAAGGCCGGGACTTCAGAGTGCTAATGGAAACCCTTTCCTCCCACTCCCACTCTGAGATAGGAGCAGACTCATGGGTGAGATCAGACTGAGCAGACAGATGAGAGCGGAGCCGCACAGCAGGAGGGGAGTGACCGCTTTTATGTGTTTACGTTACCCTACTCGTCTTTTCCTGAAGAGGAGGTTTGAGAGCCTGATGAGGAGGCTTTTTACTGACATTTAATTTTAGCTGTACAAAAGCCGTCGAGCAAACAAAGACAGAAAGCTCCTCGTAGTTAAGCGGCATACATGCCATTTAAAGACGTCAGCTTAAATACTTTGGTAAACAAAGGCTGACATTTGTGTTTGTGAACAAAAACTTAATGGTTTATTTGTAGAGTCCGACGTAATGAGTAAGTCTGCGTGTCTTTATTTACAAACCACAGCTCTTTGTGAGGCATTCAAAACTCTGAATGGAGAGAGTATAGAAACTGGATGTAGATTAAGTGACAACTTCTATTGTTTTGGACTCTCTGGATACACCAGATGGTCAATAGGTTGCAAGCAAACCTAGTTTACTTTGAAATGAAACTGGACCTTACAATGCCTCTGACAATGCTTTATGTAAAACTGTATTCATGCAGAAAAAGTACAGTAAATCACTGTAACTCCATTAAACATGATGGATACTTCTTATACAATTTTGTGCAAAAATGTCTGCTTCAAATGAGTCCAGATTGTTGGCTTTACATAAAAATAGATGACATTACTGAATCCCATCCGTCAGGTCAAAACCCTCCTTTTGCAGATTGACTGCAGTAAAGGTCATAAAGCCGGCCTCCTCCATGCAAACAGATGAGACATGGGTTGAACTTAAAAATCAAACTGAACACAAGGTAAGTCTTTCTCAGACATGAATTAATGTTGAGGTTTTTATTTTGTTTAAAACTTTAAAAAAGCTTTGTTTTGATTCAAGTTTGATTAGGGTCATTGAACGTTACTATATAAGCCATAAATAAACATATATATGCTGTAAACAGGACAGGTAATATGCACATGCTGTGCTGCTGCTTGAATTATAAGAAACGTTTTCTCAAGGGAGCAGCTGCAGGTCGATTAAAGAGGATAGAGGGAGCTTTGCACCCTGAGAGTGGATGCACACTGCAGATACAGAGGCAGAGGAGAGAAGGGCAGACAGTCAGCGAGGATAGAGGAAATCTGGCTTGTGTTCAACAGCCCTGCAGGTGTTACCAAAAAGGTGAAACAAGAGACAGGCTATGTGTGAAGATGAACAGAGGTGTGTGTCTGAGGGAGGGAATGTGTGAAAAAGAGCAGAGACTTCCTCCTGCAGCTGTGGGGTTACCTGATTCAAGCTTGCGCAACTCATCTAAGCAGCCAAAAGATACAAAACTATTATGCTACCAGGAAATACTGTCAGCATCTCATTGTCAACTTCTCTGATGTTTTAGAGTCATGGCTGTTTGCTCAGGATGTCTTTGATTGTAGCAAACTGTATTATTTTACTGAAGTCAAGAGTGTAATTCAATGGTCAGGTAACAACAAGAGCGCCCTCTGCTAACATGTCATCATTGATGAGGTTGACTTAAGGATTTCAGATTGGATATCAGTTCCCCTTGTGGAAAAAGTGTGCCGTATTATGTCCCATTTAGAGGACCTGAAATCCAAATTTGGTCATCTTGACACATCTGATACAAATGAGGTTGACTGAATCCGCTTTTTCTTTTAAGGATTTGAAAGAAATGTGAGTTGTGTGGACCAATCCTGCACTGTAAAAAGTGGATTTCTGAATCCAGATCATCCTAACCTAGATTTAAGATAGTTCAAGGGGCTTTGGGCCTTTATTGGATTTTGAAAAACTGAAACTGTGGAGACAGAGTGGAATGTCATGCCCCACATCCTTTCTGGACTGGGATCCAATCCTACAACCAGAGCAACAATGACTCTTTCTTCCCTTACACATGAACCACCAGCTACAATAGCACCTTTACATGTTACGCTGCTAAGTTACTCTGATTACTTTACTGTAAAAAAAAAAGAAAACCTTCCTTCTCTTCAGCTCTACTTCTCTCTCTGCATGTTTGGAATAGCAACTGTTTCCCGTGCTACAGTAACATGCTCCATCACGGTGGCGTTCACTTCAGTCCTCCAGTTTCCTGGTAGAGATGTGAAAGCTCTATGGGTGCCAGAATGGACTGACAGGCTGTCATATCGGCTGCTGATGATTTATGGGATTTAAAAATATAACTCTGAGAAGCAACATACTGAGACATGACTCTGAGGATGTCATGTAAAGATGTAAAGCTTGTATATTCACATATTGCAGCCAAACATTAATCCTTGACTATTATATGGTGTGTGAAAAAATCTATAGAGAGTTCATCCCTGCTGTTAAAACAGGTTTACTTTAAATTGGTGCCTTTCTATCGTAACCGCATGAAAACACCCCTTGCTTTCTCAATAAAGCAATCTGCGAGTTGAAGGCCACAGCGGGGTGCTTCATCTTGTTTCACTGCATGCCAAACTCAGCTTTAAAGTGGAAACAGCTTTAGGCAGCCCTGCAGGGTTTTCCACTGCACCTCAAAATCAAGAGTGACTGAGTCAGATGGGGTCTGCGGTGTTTCCAGGTGGCAGGTATGTTTGTCTGGTGGGTTATAAGTTCACTGGTATGATCTGTAACGCAAATTTCACTGCAGTTTCATTATTCTGAGTGATTATGATAAAAGGAGTCATTAATCAGACGGGTGACGTCAGATCACACTTTAGTGAAACAGGAGCAACAACTGTTAACTTAGTGAGTCTAAAAGTGACATTTTTGTGTTTACTGTTTCGACCCTTTTGCCAAATTTTGCTGCAACTGGTCCTTTTTGTTTTAGTTTAAGTTCAAAGGGTTTTGCCAGGAACTAGCCTTACCCCCCTTCCTAATGCCTCCTACTGTGATTGAAACTTGTAAAAATACTAAATTCAGCTTTTCAACAATGTGTCTCTTTGAAACTCTCCGGATTAGCTTTGGAGACTGCGCACTGAGCTGCATATCACCCTGGCTCCCAAGGTGGATAAAATCTTTTATAACACAGGTAAAAACAAAAGCAAACTAACTATGTGGAAAAGTAAAAATATGTGGCTCCTGTAGGCTTATCGGGGACAGTGGTCAACCACAAAGTAAAATATAGGGATGTCAGGGGGGCTCTGAGCTGAGCTCCTCCACTTTCTTTAGGTTTTATCTGCTAAACATTAACAGTTTAAGGTTTACAAAGGAAAGAATCAAAAGTGTGTTGCCCTATTTTAGTTCAACATTTATGCTATCTCAACAGGCTTAGTGGGCTGTGCACTGAGCTGCTGTCCACAATAACGCCACAGGTGAAAAAAGGTCTGTTTTATAGTCACAAACAACAGCCACATATAACTTAAATATGCTGAAAACTCTATGGACTAACTAGGGGTGGAAGAAAAAAATTGATACAGCATAGTATCGCAATATTTTGTCTGGTGATTTTTTCGTATCGATTTTTAAAATTAATTGCTAAAATGAAGTTAAATCTATGACAATGGAAAAATAAAATCAACTGCTTGTCCAGTGAGGTTGGCAGAGGTGACATTGAGCAGGTGAAAGTTAGTACAACAAATATATATAAGGATTGCAAGATGTGCTACATGACAATAAAATACAGCGTAAATAAGACAAACATAAGGAGAGACAAATGCTAAATTAGTTAAACAGTTGAAAAAATTGTATAAATCACAATATATTGTATCACAACACTCACTGTATTGCAAAATGATAAAATCGTGATATATCATTTTGTGACCCAAGTATCGTGATAAAATCGTACCGTGGGGCCACTTGTGATGACTAACTGATAAAAGTAAGTCTTAAATATGGATGAAATGGTCATGCAGGAAAAAGTTGAAAATATCGGTCAAAACTTCTGATGAGAGAAAATTCTGGGTCAATGCGACTTCTGTTTATCTTCCTCACTCAAACATCTACTAAATCTGAACTGACTCTATTCCCTTCATAATACATTCACAGCAGTCTCTAAAATCTCAACATAAGCACGCACAAGGATGTTTCACAGAAAGACCACCATCAAAGCCACCAATTTCTCCGCAAATCTCCCAGAGAGGTGCAAAATGGTGGTAATTCAAAAGCATGTCTAACTGGTTATTTCTGCCCATGCACTGATTTCTTTCTGCTACTCAGTCACATACACACAGTGTGGCAATAATCAACTTTGATGGCTGAAACTCAAGCCCCATCGCAACATGTTTTACAGTCATCCTTTGAAAAATTAACCTCAACGTGAACTTGATCTGCTGAATGTAGGCCGCGCACATCCTTTAGTGTCACTGTTATCCTATCTGGTTACTCAAAGTGACAGAAAACTGAGGCTGACACACATTGAAGATCTGATAGGACACTGGAGAACAGAATGGATTTCATACAACGACGGCACTGTTTTTTGGTCAGATCATGATGATCTGGCAGCATTAATCTGCAGATAAACAGGAGGACTCTAGAAACCACTCAGATATAATCCTTTTTTTAACAGAGTCCCTGTTAGATGAGCTGTGTCTCTTTAACTGCAGCAGAGATAAAAGGAGGAGGAAATCCCCTGACATGCTTCAAAAAGCCAAAATAGAAAAGAGGTGCACGTGCGACAGTGTGAGAGCACCAAGTTGGTTGAGTTACATGGATAAACACCAAATTCATCCTTCCAGAGACATCCTGACTATCGTCACCCCGGCACGAAGCGCAGAGCTACAACGAGCTGAAAGAGGCGATTATGTGAAACCCGAGCCGTCCTCCTCCTCGGCTGCCTCTCTTTCACCCTCCGACTACTGATGCCCTCTGATTCTGCCAGACAAGGAGAGAGACAGTGGGTCACCCGCTTTCCAAATGCTCACTCACCATGAACGCTGCAGTTCCTTACAGACCAGCAGTCCTCCAGTGGGATGGGGAGGGGGGGTTGTTTCCAAAACCTTAGCCTAGCGTCATTGCTGCTCCTGAGGGCTCACTCCTGGCAACCATATACCCAGGAGTGAGAACAGCGCGAGGAGGAGGAGACAGAGGAGGTGAAAAAGGAGGGCAGAGGGACAGACAGGCTGCCGACAGAGGGACACACCCCGCATTGGAAACGATGCAGCAGCAGCAGCAGCAGCATGATACCCCTCTATCACCTCCACCCCCCTCTATCTATCTCTCTGAGCAGTGACGCTACTCTGAGCCGCTCTGCATCAGGTCTATCTCTGCTGCTCTGTGACTGTGTATGTGTGTGTGTGTGTGTGTGTGCGCTTGTGTGTCAGCAAATCAGCACCGCCGTGTGTTATTAGTCACCATCCCTGCACTGAGAGGAGCTCTGCACTCTGCTGGGTCCTGGCAGGCATTGTAATCAACCTCAGAGTAACGGATCAGGTTTCAGCTGCTCAGCTTCCCTGGTCAGAACTGTAAAAGCAGCTGAGGATAGTGATACTTGATATCTTACATTAATGCCTAGATTTATGGCATTATTATAACACGTAGAACTCTAATAATATCTGATTAGATCAATCTTTCATCAATCATATTAAAATAAACATCAATGCAAAAAAATATGCTGAAAACTTCCATCTGAGTGTTGAATTCAGACTTTCTTCCTGTGTAGAAACTTTTGAAATGACTCTGCATTAAAATTCAAACTCCTGCCGGGATTATTGTCCAATTTTAATTCAATATCCCACTTACTGAGACATGCCTGGGCTGCCACAGAGTGATTCAGAGGCCCAGCAGGGTTACAAATGTCTTACTTAATTACTTTTTCAGCAGGTATTAAAGTAAGGCCTCCCCAGACTCACAGAAACTCGAAGCCAGTAAATCCCATTATAGGACTGGATCCACAGCGTTCCTCTGTGAGGGGGAAAAGGTTGCAGGTGGAAATAACTCACACTTTGTCTTTTAGCAGCTGAACAATAACTTAAGCAAATAAAGCAACCCCCCTCCCACACACACACACACACAAACAGGTTTACAAACCCGCCTTTAAACTGCAGCGTCAGAGCCGAGACAAAAGGTTGTAAGCTGAGCCGTGTTAGCCGACTCCTGAGGTCTGATATTAGGTTACAACCACACGCGAGATGAAGTTAAGGTGTGGGTGCGTGTGTGAGTGTTTGTATGTCGATCCTGAGGGTATGAATTCAAACCAACAACTAGAACAAGATATTTAACATTACAGACTATTTAAAGCCGGGGCGCAGATTTGTCGACTGTTTGTCTGTGCTCTTTGTGCTGTTAATGTGCAATTCAGAGGGTCAATGGTGGCATGATAACAGGTTTCCACAGGCTCTGATTACAGGCTGCCATCTTTTTCCTTGGTCTGTTTTACCAGCAGGGAGCTGTCGAGCTCTTTACTCTGGATATTTGCCTTCCTGTTTTCTGGAAAATGTGGTACCGTTGTTCATGCACTGGCTGACTGCCTAACAAAGGGCTCTCAAAGACCTTGACATTTTGAATTTCAGCACACAAACACTGCATCACATGCTCAGGGGGATGCTCCTGCAGCCCCCAAGCTTCCAGTCTGACCGATGAGGAAGAATTATTGTCTTCAAACACCTTCAGAGTTGGACTGCAGGGAAAACTGAAAACCACCCAGTATGCAAATATGTATTCACTTTAAGAATAATTTTTAATCACCTACTCAAACCCTCATTGATTGATAATGCATTGCCTAGTCAGCAGCACAGGGGGTCCTTTCAGCAAAGATTGATTATGGATGGTTCATCCAGTGTACAACTCGAAAACCAGCATCCCTTTTAGTATGAGGATGTATGAGAGCACAAAGCACGGATGAAGTAAACATCTGGAAATGCACGATTGATGCTATATGTATACAGGTTATGGAGCATGGACTAGGGGCCATCCAGACAAGGCTTTTACATTCCAGTATGACAATGCCAAACCATATCCTGCAACAGAATATTACAACAGCATGGCTCAGTAGTAGAAGAGTCCTAGTGTTAAGCTGGCCTGCCTGCAGTTCCACCTCGTCACCAATAGAAAAATACATTTTACGCATCGTGCTGAAAACATCAAAGCAAAAAGGAACTTGAAGTGTTGAGCAGCTGAAACCCTGTATCACTTCTATAACTCCAGAAACTGGTCTTTGTGGATCCCTAACACCTACAGAGTTGTTGTTAAAGGGATATTCCGCCGTAAATTTAAGTTATGGCCAAACACACCATAACACCGAGTTAGACACCCCCTCGAGAGGTGAATGTTGCCGACTGCTTGCTTCTCTAGTTTTACCAACTTTCATAACGACCGCACGATAGCAATACACAGCGATCTTTGTCTCCACCCGCAAACCTCAACCAAAAAGCCACTCTATAGCCACATATAATGCTCAGAACAGCACCTAACTTCTGCAACAGTACATACAGCGTCCCAGCCATAGCACTAGCCACAAAAAATATTCTTAGCTTTGCCTAATCTCTTTAGCAAAGAGACCAAACACAACTCACCCACTCTCCTCCAGCAGCCACCTGTTTTTGGGGGAGCCCTGACGAGTCGATCACTGAGCGCAGCGGAGTTTCGCAGCCCAAGGAAGAACATTTATGATTATTACTTTATGGAAATACAATCAGACCGAGACACTTAGTCAGAAGAACCACCGCTTCTGCAGTGCAAAATGATTATTACTTCTTAGAAATGATACGGTATGTTTGACCATAATTAAAATTTACGCCTTGAGTAAACAATAAAGTGGTAAGTGATAAATTTAAAATGAGCACATTTAAACCAATTAAGTTTTAACTTCATTTTTGATATGTTGTGCTGCACTTTGTCTAATGATATATAAGGTTCAACGGATTTGCAAACCATCTTGTTTTTTTCAATGAACAGTGTCCCAACTTTTTGGAATTAGAGTTATATAATTATATCAAATGCAAAAAGGTTTAGATTTTAAGTCTGTTAAAAGTGATCAGGCGATTCAGTGTTTCTAGAAGAACTGCTGTGAAAAAAGTGCTGACTCGCTGGTTTTCTCTGCACGTGATCCTCTAATAGTAGCAAAAGATCTTCAATGTGACTGATGGGAGTGTTCAGGTTGTTGTGTTACAGGTATTTCAGAACACACCTGGGAATGTACCTGGCAACAGCCCGTCACTACATAATGTTCTCGATAATTAAGACGACTCTGTTATATAACACACTGTGCCTGTTATCTGTGCTGAGTCAGAACACTTATGACTTGTTGGTCTTTGTTTTCCCCAGAGTTCAGCAATAAGCTCTGCTAAACAGTATTGCAGCCATTTTCTCATCCATTTGACCTTTAAACAACAGCTGCTCTGAAACACAGGCCTCCAAAACCACAAAAGAAATTACAAATATACCACTGAACCATAATCATTTAGTCCACTTGATATTTGGAGAAGTTTCACTTAATTTTTGCATTCCATGCCTGCCCTCTCTCATCCTTTTAGTTCTATGTTTTGGAGTTATTGTCCACAAGACACACTGTTTCCTCGTGTACACAAAAGTCCAATTGGTAAAGGGTTAAGCTCAGGGAATCAAGAAGGGTTTTATTTTTTGAGATCTTGCAAGTTAGGCCATTTTATTTACGTGAAGCCATCCAGGGAGCACATTCAGAAATAAGTGAGAAAATGAGGGCAGTCACCAAACAGATCTGGCTCTTACTTTGAAAAGCATCCAAGAAGTGCAACAGTGTAGGGCTGCAGCTATTGAATATTTCAGTAATCAAGTATTCTACCGATTACTCAACTAATCGGACCCAAACGGCAGGCTCACATACAGTGAGAATTTCTACGTCACAAAACCAAGCTCCGCCCCTGAAGCCCCGCTATGAAGGCCAGACTTCATAGAAATAGAGAGGACAATCGCGGAACAAGTGTGTGCGTTAGCAGTTTGTAATGCTTGTAAGAAAGCTAATTATGACATTAACTTTCATCATGTCCCCAAAGACATGAGTGTCTGAAAGCTGAATGGCTCCTATGTTACCTCTTTCTGCTACTTCATCGACAATGTTAGGCTGCAAGCTAGCGTAAAGAGGAGCGTGAATAGGAGTGTGCAGAGCAGCGCTGTCTCCGCCCACGACTCAAAGGTGAATTGCTAATGAGCTACTGGAGCTCTGCAAAAGAAAAGTCCCTCTTATTCATTTTTTCTGCTCCGCAAAACCAAAACCTGCTTACTCCTCCTTCTGCCGTGATGACGTCCGCGCGTTGTGTCACCTTGAAAATAATTAGTGCGAAACAGTGACGATTTCAGCTTATAAACGAGTATTGAGGCAGGGAAAATTCCTGGATCATTTTTTGTAATCGCGGTACTCGAGGAATCATTTCAGGCCTACAACTGTGTTTTATATTTCATGCCTTCAAAGTTTCTGATCTAGAACAGATAGATACACTTATGGAGGATAGTAAAATCCTGTTTGAGTCCTGCTGATAAAAAATAGTATGTAGCATTCCCCCTGTTTTTGCTCTCCATACAGGCTCTTCTCCTACAAACACTAAATCCTGCTGACACATTACAAGTCCACACTACTTGAACTGCAAACAGAAACCTGAACACCTCCCATGCTGAATCAAAGCCTCCATAACCATTCAACATTTTCATATAAAATCTGTAACCACATTTCACAGAGCTGGCTAGTGTTGTGGTTTATAAAGCTGTCATTGATTGCTCACACTTAAACCATCTGGCCCTCTTGCTCAGGTGGACCACATGTGACAAACACAAGTGATTGCAGCAACACAAACCACAGCTGAGGGGCCAGAGCGAGGCCAGAAAAACAAAATTCGAACACACAGAGTTTTTTGCACAATGGCTGGCCTAGAGCCTGGGAACAGAAAACATGAGAATCAAAAGAAGGAAGTTGATAAAACATATAAAAGGAAAATAGAGGAAAGTTCTGGATTTTCTTAATCTTCGTTAAATTAATCTTGTATGTTTCACACTAAAAGAACAAAAGCTCTTCCCTGAACCATTCTCAGCTGATCAGCTCTGACAGAAAACACAGAAAAGCAAACAAACAGTCTGTAAACAAACAAAAAAACTCTTGTTGTTTCGTTCGACAAATATTTGTTGGAGGGGAGAGCAGTGCTTCAAACATTTGCCTGAGGGAGCGATGAGGGCTCGATATAAAATTCATCTATAACTGAACTGCAGAAAACAACATGTTTTTAATGGAAATGTGTCATTTTTTTTGTTTATTTTTGTGTATACTATCTCACATTAACCTTGTGTCTTGTGTTTTTTCTTAATCAGAGGTTTAAGTTGGTGGTCTTCATGTATGATGTGACAGTGACTTCAATTAAAAGTCTACCTTCTGGATTCTCTTCGGGTCCTTGGTGGGAGTTTCCCGTGGTGGGACTTTTCCAAACAGCTTCCAGCCTGGATCTCTCTGCTCCACCGGTCGACTCTCCTTCAGCCTCCTGGCAAACAAGCTCCTGAGGAGAGATGGAGGACAAATAAATATGGTCATTGCACCCCAGAGCTAAGATTACAGTGTTTGCTGGGTCACTGGTGGGACCTGCAGAGGTGTGTTAAGAGTGTGAGTACCCCTGCAAAAAGACAGGCTCCCAATAACTGTGAAAGCAGAAACACAGGAGGAGCATTTTAACAACCTTCCTTCACATTGTTTTAAAGCCTCAGTGAGAGATTTAAGGTCTTTTAATGGTCTATAAAAGCAAAGCATGATGCTTTTATGAAGTAATTCTTAATATGAAAAATTAAACAGCAGGAGGCACCTGCAGGCAAAATAACGGCGAGTTTCAACCAATAAATCTGCCATAAAGTTGAAAAAATCATCAAATAATTAAATCTCTTCATTTCACATTCCTGCCGGACTGTCTGCTCTCCAACGCTTGAAACCAGCTGGTGTTAAAAACCACATGCAACGCAGCAGAAAAGGCTCCTCTCTTTCCAGCAGGTTTCACAGCACCATTTAGAAAGCTATGCCTTTCATTAGCTTTCACAGAGCTGTTAGCGGGGGCTTTAATTAGACGCCTGAATAGAGGGGAGCTGTGAAAAGACAGGAATAAAGGGTCAGATAAAAAGCCTCTCCAGGCCAGGTCATGTGACATAAACAGGCTGCTGTAACATCAAAGGGTCTGTATCCTGTGTTTGTCTGAGCTGAATCTCATCTACAAACAGCTCACCTTGATCAGGTGACTGTAACTCTCCAGAGATAGTTTATCTTATTAGCATAAATCAGCGTTAAACAAGCTGTGCTGAAACCGCACTCCTCTGTCCCTGTCGACCCTGGAGTGGTGGAAGTTTTTTCTCAAACCGACCTTTAGCCTACACAGCTGGTCCTGACCTCTCTGGTTGCCTCCTGGGTGTTGATGACAGGAAACAAGCTGACAAGATGAGAGCAAACGCAGCTACAGGTCGTAGACTGAAGGCTTCATTCGGTGATAACAGACCATGTCTGCTGCAGGCTCCTGTGTTTGTCTATGAAACAGCTGTCAGTTAGACACACAGCCTTCAGTCTGTGTTCAACAACTACTTTCACAAAACAAGGATCAGAGGGGTGACGATTGTTTGAGGCCAAAAAGAGTCACTGAACTTATTAAAGGAAGCAACCCCTAAGTTTGTGATGCATTTTCATATTGGTGCAAAATCTGTGAACAATCCATGTGCAAAAGATCTTTTTTTTGGTACAATTTGGTGTAAAATAACATTAATGCATGGATCAGTGCTTTTGGGATCAGTACTGCCTCCATCTCAAAGTCTGTTTTTATTAGGGGTGGGAGTCACCAGTGGCCCCTCTCTCTCTCTCTCAGTTGTCCTCAGACGAGCTTCCATCGGAGCTTAAAAGTTTTGCACAAAATCAGCTGTTGCATTTGCATATTTAAAAGGAAAAGTGTGGTGTGAAAATCTGAGCACTGCACTTCTGAAAGTGCAAAGTTTTCATGAGTGTAGAGAATTTGTGAATGAAGCTTCTGTGAGCCACTTGCAGCTGTTGCAGCTCCACTCTTTCATTCAAATATCTCAAATACAAATAATCCCTCAAACCAAATAACTGTGAGTGTAAAAAAATTAAGCTGCATGAGTGCATGTTATATCCCTGTAAAAGCCTGTTATGCAATGGCTGATAAACATAAGCAAGAGTCAGCTGCAGAGTGAGCAGTCAAAGTCAAAGACGGGTCAGCTGATCACACTCACAGTGTTAACATGTAAAACCGAACACAGGTACACATTAACCTTGTCTCTCTGCTGCGCGTCAGGACATCAGATAATCTGTTACCTTTCAGCCCGGAGACAACAGTCTGCTTCTCCAAGTGCACAATCCTCTTCATGAATCATGAGCCTCTCATGTTTCACAAAAACCGGCTCTACACTTTTCTTCACAAAAAGGTGTGCATGTACAGGTGCAGCCAGAACATGTGAATGCATTATCCAGCACCGCACCTTAAACATTATTTACTTTCTTGCTTCCCTGCTGGTGGCATGTTTCACATCACTGCCGCATATTTCCACTCTGCAAACAGAGACACTGGAGTACACACAGATGGTACTAGCTGAGGGAGGTATTTCCTCATTCTGTGGCTGACTTCAGCCTTTAATGAGGAAGTGGAGTGACTGCGTAGATGTTAAAAGCCGGCACATGACAGGTGTGCTAAGAGAGGCTGTGGAGAAAGTACTAGCAGGTTTTTATTAAATGTTCTTTTCAAGGAGGAGACACAGAAAAAGGCTGAAGCACAAAAAGCGTGCTGCACTTGAAGAGCAAAGTGTTCAGATTTCAATAACAGCTTTATCAAGCCAATTTCAAAGAAAATCCATCAGCGGGCTGACAATCTAGACAGAAAATTTCAGTTAAGAGAGAAGATTAAAAAGAGCAAAAAACCTCTAAAGCTAATCTAAACAAGAGGAAACAAAAGAAACAAGATTCTGACAGGTAACAACCAGTGAGGTGACGATAAAATACCTCGACTCAAGGTTTACCGTTGGGTTTAAACTCCAACTGTCAATGTTTTATCAGCTTGTACATGACTGATGCTCATCTTGGCCCAAAGTTGAACTTGTGATGCTTTTCTGCACCTGAATCTGCAGAAATTTATTTCAAATTGTTCTTTTGAAGAGGCGTACATAAAGATATTGGCGCAATATTGGTGTTTGCAGAGAAAAGCATGCATCAGAAATGATCTTAAATCCTTCAGTCAAAGCCTGCAGGTGGAGGCTGTTTGTACTGCTTACACAGAGTTCGGTGTAGTGTAGGAAGATGAAGAGTTGGAGACTGAGTGAAAAACATACTTTTTTCTCTCCTGCACTTGAAACGTCTTCAGTGAAAACACGTGAAACAGCCAGAAACCCATCAGGCATCACATCAAGCTTCATAAACCTGACACTAATCAGTTAGAAAATGACGTTTTACGCCAGGATACTGATCTCTGGCATTCCTATCAGAGCATTCCTGCACGTGCACAAACGTAACTCCTATACGACTGAGCTTGAGTTCTTTTTAAGGGCCGATGAGTGAAAAAACAGGAAACAGATCATTTAAAAACTTAAATTTCTGTTTTAAATCCAAAGAGACGATATTCTGCTCACATCAGAAGTTTTTATGTCAGTCAGATTTATGTTTCCAATTCATTTCAGCAACAGACTCTGGCACCCTCTTCCACTGTTGCCGTACCGCAAAGCTGTTATCAGTGTGTCAACTCATGTACCTCTAACAACATGTATGAAACAAGGCTTACTGCTCTGAAACCAGAACAAAGAGTTCTGAAGGGGTCTAACAGCTGACAAAGTGATAGTACAGTATGACCTCAGTATGTCAGGGGCAGAGTTTCACAATAGTGAGGCCGGGATCTGGGAGCATCTTGCAGAGCTGTGGGGTCAAAAGTCGACTTAAAGCTCAAGAAGTAAATAATGAAATCTTACTGTGTTTTTCTCTGTGTTTGTTAAAAGGTGTTTTGAACCGTCTGGAATCACCAGTCAAAAGTAAAAACATAAATCTTGAAGGACTTCTTACAAGTTAAAATCAAAATCAAAGAAAAACATCTTTAAAGTACAACTACACTGATGTGAAAAGATACTGTAACCTGGCTTTGAACTGCAGGAGGAAGATGAACTTGAGTAACCCCTGAACCGCCATAAAAACAATCCTGCAAAGATTAACCTGAGAGCCATCTTTACACAGCAGAGCCTGACTTTAAGACTAAACTTTGAGCTCTTTAAACCCCAGGCTTTATTATAACATCATATTTTTAGCCCTCCTGTACACTAGCAAACAAACTTCCACAAAACAAAGAGCATGATTTGAATTCAGAGCAACCAAATGCGCCTCAACGTGACAGCTGAATGGCTGCAGCTATGGTCCACTGCTCAAGTGGAACAGCCAGAACATCCATGAGGGCTGCCAGAGGAGCCTGGGTTCAAACTCTGAGTGTTTGTAGTCGAGTCTCTGCAGAATATTTAGGATTTCTAAACCCTTGTGTTTGGTCTTGTGTGTGCAGAGAGGTGATAAGAGCTCCCAGAGGTTCAACTACGCCTCAAATAACAAAGAGGAGATCTGGCTCTGAAATCCTAAACAAGCCGGTACAAGAGGAGGGAAAGCAGAGTACGCCGAGTCTCTTTCCCATCATGAAAGAGCAGAAGGAGCAGGGCGTAGAGCTGCTTTTGTAGGAGTCAAACAATCAATTCAAAAGGGCAGGATGTTTAGAGGAAAAGCTGAACTTTAAACAAATCTGTATCTTACTGGAAAAGGAAAACACTGAGGTGTAGTGAGCCTTGCATTTCTCACCTGTCAATGTACAGGAGAAGTGGTGGGGCTGCCATTCTCAAAACACTGATGTGAAATCCACCAAGAAGAACAACCAAAGGTGTGAATAAAGAAGTGCAAAAAAGAAAAAACCCTGATGAATTCAAATGTCTCCTTTAGTCCAGATCCAGGCCCATAGTTTTACTCCAGAGAGGAAAGAAGTAGTCCCATACAGACAGTAAGTTCAGGCAGAGTGAAACTGTGAAGGAAGAGGCACACAGAGGCCTGACTTCACAGATGGGAGGGGAGGAATGGGTGTGAGGAGAAGAAGTCTGAAGGGCACTGAGGGAATGAGTAACTTCAAGTGAGGGAGGAGAGATAACAGGGAGAGATAAGATCGACTGAAGAGTGAAAGGAGGAGAAGGGGAGGGTCGTTAACATGTGATAGGAGGGAAAATCTATTTAATCTTCAATCAGTTGAAGGAAGTTGACAATGTGAGGAAGACTGAGGTCAACTTTTCCACCAGGTTTTAGGACTTAAATCAAAGCAGAGTCACTTTTTCTCCAGTGAACACTCAAACAAGTCTGCTACGATAAAAAAACTGGAGGCTGCAGGTTTTCCAGAGCTGATTATAACAGAGCAGGTTGGCTAGCGGCTGATATAAGATGCTGATAATGCATTGTTGCCATTGTTTCTTGCATTTGATAAAATCCAACAATTTAACAAAGCCAAAAGTAACCAAAAGTGTAGATGTGTACTATAATGCCCACGGGCCAGCTTGCTCTTTCGATTTAAAGCTCCTGTGAGAAGCAAACAGTCACATTGAGTCACAAATTTCCCAGTAAAATGACAAGAGAGGGATCATTTTTGTCAATAAACACCACATTAGCAACAACATTAGGGTTATTGTTTTGTCCACAAGGGGCACCAAAGTCAAGACAGAGAGAAAGTTACATACAGGTAGAGGTGGGAGATAATCCTAAAATTTACCGATACCAAAACTTACAAGAACCAACGTCATTTTGCCCATATTAGTATATTCGTTGTCAAAAAAATAAATGAATAAAAGTTGGTTTTGGATGTGTGTAGGTAGGCTCTGGTCCCATGTCCCTGTAAGATGCTGTTCTACAAAGGAGACGTGACTTCACCACATCCAGTCTGTGACAAAGAGGGAAAGACAGGTGAGGAGATGGAGGACGGTTCAAAAGTCGTAGTGGCTGGAGTAGACGAAGTTAATGTGGGAGGGGATGAGCAGCTTGTGAAGTAGTTATCGTCCATTATCGAGGTAAACTGCTCAGTATATCGTGATATTGATTTGAGGCCATATCGCCCAGCTCTACATAAAGAGGCTTTAAGATGCCATCATTTAAGAGCAGTTTTTTTAAACGTTTAAAGATACCGTTAGTAGGTCACATCTGCAGAAATTCACTTTGAGAGGAATTTGGAGTCCATTTTGCCCCTGTTGTTACTTTTCTTAATACAGAGATGGTATTTTCCAACAAAAAGTCTCACTCTCCTGTCTTGTAAGAGTCAAATGTGTCGCTCGTTGTGATTATTTGCCATTTAAAACATAAAAACAGATTGTGGGGCATGCTGTCAATCATCTAGTCTACCCCTACCCCTTCTCTGCAGTTTCACATAAAAAAACAAGGACACAGAAAGTATCAGTGTTTTTGCTAATGGTCTTGTTTGTTTTTGTAGGTCATAAACAGGCATCAGTATCGACCTCCATCTGTTTCACAACCTGTTACAAACTCCTCACATGACTTTTGAAACAACTGATGGCTCAACACGGCTAAAACCAGCCGTCCTAGATATTTACCACTTGGTGCAATCGCTGCTCCTCTGTATTTACACATCAATCTCTGTAGAGGCTTCATATTGGTATCCAAGCGTGTGATTTCACATTGTCAGGATACGAGGAGCAGGGCATGTAACCATGAGGCAGGAGCTTCAAATGCAAACACACTCAGACCAAGTCAAACACACACACACACAAACACACACACACACACAAGGTTTTCCACCCTGCCACAAATCGGTGCCGCCAGAGATTTCAAACCCGACTGAAAATATCACACTGGGCACTTATAATACAGTGTACACTAATTCAATCCACAACACTGAGTACAGTTGTAAAAGGCATGCATCAGGAGTAGGGCTGGGCGATAAAACGATTACTATATAATTATTTTCCTCAATATCAGTATAAAACATGGTCAATATCCTGTTTGATAGCCGGCATTCTTCCACGTTTCAGTAGACTATACGAATAGCCAATGAAAAGAGAAGTTGCTCCGGGTTGCACCGCACTGCAGCTACACGCAACCATAGCACTTTAGCATGTCAAGCCGACAGCACTGTCAGTGAGAAAAAAAGAAAATGAGTGCTACCCCCGTCAGAAATGCAGATGAAGGCTAAACAGATGACGAAATTGTCACGAAAATATTGGTGTGTAGAGGTAGCGGCAGGCCAAAGTTTCCTATGTTGATTCACATTAAAAACAAAGAGGAAGGTGGAGAAAATGAAGTTAAGAAGATAATAGAGTGGATGTACTAAGGCACTGTTTTACATTTTATTCTACTCGTGCAAATGTTATGTAATGATCCCACAATGAGGGTTGACGGTTTAACAACCTTGTTTTCACGTTTCATTACCAAACTGCTTAATGATAATGACAGTCATCTTTATTCAATCGTAAAAGCATCTCTCTCTCACAAACCTTGACAAAATGCTTGGCTCTCGTTCAGTCTCGCACACGCGTAGAAATAACAGCGCAGCGGGCGTTATGTTACAGCTGTTACAGGAATCACTCCCAGAGGCCTCGTCCAAAATTAAAAACGTGACAGGTTGACGAGCTGCTGTAAAACCTTTCCACCGCTCATTAAAAGGAAATCTGGAGCTCAATAAAATGGGAATGTAACAACACAGGAGTTTAAAGGCCGACATGTTAATCTTTTGGGGCTTCACTTGACCGCTGACAATAAATCCAAGTTTAGAAACACCTCAGGGGGGTTTCATACAGCACAATAAACTCAAACATTATCATTATGTTAATATGGCCAAGAAAAGCCCATCAGTACTATGCAAATGAATATGTGACCGCAGAGTGCTAATGAAATGGGTTTCTATTTCTCCTGTTAAAAAACAACTTTACTTTTGTGAGTTTGATCCTTTATTCTCAAAAGCCTTGTGATGAATTTCTCAGAGTCAAGTCTGCGTGAGCATTGGACAACAGAGTGAACATCAGCAGCTGCAGATGTAATTTCTGCTGCATGGCTCATCTTTAAGTCCCTTATTTCAACTTTACAAATATTCTGCAGTCACAGGCTAATGATACTCCATGAGACACAATGTGCACACGGTCTTTTCTGATCAAAACACCAAAGCAATTACTCACAGGGTGATTAAAAGGCATGTTAACACTTTAAAGGCTGGATAACGTGTCCTCCTCCTCCGCCTGCTTTGTCCTCAATACACTTTTATTTGTGTAAGAGGAAGATGCATCGTCACACGGAGAACTGAGAAGTCACTCTTGCAACAAACAGAAACTACAGTATGTGTGCCAATCAGTAACGGAGGGACTCTTTCTCAAGTTGATGAATGAAGAAACTTGGGGGAGTGTTTGTAGCTCAGGTTAGCACAATCACACGTGATGTTAGCTCACCCCAACTCGTGATCACACTCACTTCTTTGCTGACGTTAAACCTGGCCTGTTTACTGCAGAGTAAACAGGGCTGTGTAAAAAGTAACACCCCTAATTTTATACCACTGGGAAAAAAGCCAATACGAAGCATTTTAGGCAGACTCAACAGTGCCTTTGTATTGTACGCATTCGGCGGGAGAGTCGCCGAGAGTCGCTGTAATGACGCTTGGCTCAAACAGCGTATTCCCCAGGTGAGCTACGCAATCTTCGTACACCCATGTTGGCTGTGTCAAGTGTCAATCATAGAAAACATGAACCCCCTAAAAACTTTTAAATATGAAGCTGAACAGAAAAAAAGAGGACTTGAGCACAAACCAGTCTTACAGTAACTACATATCAACATCACAAGCAGCGGGGAGAATAATTAAATTCTGTGTAATTTTGCTGGAGGAGGAGGGATTTATGACCTATAAAGCACTCTGTTTCCGACACGTAAACAATAACCCGGTCGGTCATGTTGGATATACCGTGAATCAAACGTTGCAACAACATGCAATCTGATTGTTCAGAAGTGGACATACAGAATGCAAAACTTTAAAAAATCGACCATAATCCGAAAAAATAAATCCTGCAATATCGCAGAACGGCAATATCGTGAACGCTTGTATCGACAGGATACGGGTTCGAAAAAAAATAATGACGTGCGAAATAATCGCATGTAAAAAACGGTCCCAGTGTGTAAGGATCTTAAGACTCCTACATCAGCCCCGCCCCCCACGCCAGATCCGGCCCCTATAACAGGCTGATGGACTGAGCTGTGTCTTAACTTACTTGTTGAAGAAACTTGCTAGTGATCCCAGTTTCTTCTGCCTTCCATCCCCTTCCTGTTCTGCAACCCCTGAGCCTGGACTCCACAAGTCTCTGGGGTTTCCCGGTGATAATGACGACAGGGTCACGTCTGAGAAGGAGGCAGCGTTGCTGACGTCGGTCTCTAAGGTAACAATGGCGCTGGAGTCTGAGGTCACAGTGAAATCCAGGATGTCTTCGTTGGAGACAGAAAGCTCAGTGCTCATGCTCGACACGCTGCACACAGAGATGTCGTCGCTGCGGTTCAAGGCTCCGCCCCCAATGGTCATCCCTGTGGTGGTGGACAATCTGAGGGCGGGGCTAAAGAGGCGGATAGAGTCGTACCCACTGCGAGGGAAGGTGGAGGACTTGCGGATGGTGTTGCTGTCAGAGGGATCATCGTCCAAAGGTAGGGTTGCAGGTGAATCATGGTTTGAGTCCAGGATGAGGCCCCCATCACCTGAGCGCTGGTGGAGGATCGGTTCTGGGGGGTTGATCTCCAGAGTTGGGATCCCTGAGTCCTGAGAAGACAAGCTGTGGCAGTCCTGGTTCTGGTCCGAGCAGCTCTTTTGGGGGCTGCTGTAGTAGAGGGGGGTGGAAGAGCAGGTTGGCATGTAAGCGGGGAGGATGGGCTCACTGTGCATGATAGGAACATGGCAGTGGTTGTTGGTTTGAGTGGAGGGGTCGGATGCAGACAGGTTTTTCACAGCACAGCCGTTTTCCACAATGGCTCCTCCATACACACCTGCAGATTAAACAGAAGATTTCTCACATTTATCACTTACAGACAGGGAATCTTATTACCTCATATATTTTCATGCAGCTTTTTGAAAATGCTGCACTTCAAGTTTTAATGTTTTAAATCTTTTTTGGTGAATCTTGAAACCGTAGATTCAAAACCCCACAACCCTTTTGCAACCTTGGCTATCCCCTGCAACGATCTTGCAACTGTCCCTCATGACAAAAAAGGGACAAACAGCATAAATCAAAATAATAACATACACATTTTTCTGACATAACATTTAAATTCTTCTCCATGAGGAGTTGTATTCCAGGGCAGCTAACCCCCCCCCTTTTGTTCAGTTCTTACACTTTTTTTTCAGCCTCCAACCAAATGCTGCAGTAAAACCCAAATTACAAGTTGCCTCAGGTTATGCTAGTCCTGTGCAAAAACACTCAAAGTAATCAATAAAAACTGCGAGAATCCAATAGACTTAACATACTTATGTGTAGTGATTCTGCTTACTGAGGCTGAGATCAGAGAAAATTGGTGCAGAAGCATTTAGAGGTGAAAACTAATCCCCTAGTGACCAGCCTGTAACAAGAGGCTGTGCTGTAATGTGAACAGGGCCACAGCAAGGCTACTTCATACTTTAACACCAGCTGGGAGGCTAAGCTAAAGCTAGTGTGTCTAAGCTCCCAGGCTGCACTAATCGAGCCCTTGACTTTGATGGTTTGAGGCATTTGGACCCCCTTTGTCACAGTCTGAATGAAATAAATCCTCCATAAATTGTTTTTGCACGCAGACAGGTGAATGAGAGTGATATAAACTGAACACACTTTTGAAGTCAAACCCTCACGCAAAGCAAAAACAATGTTTTCGTCATGGTTCAAGCTCAGCCGGGTTCTTGGAGAGCTCTAAACCCTGACCTGCAGGCTGTCATGTGAGCCTGGCTGGTAGACTTTGTCCCAAAACACAGCAACAGGTCGTTCCTGTGCCACTGTGGAAATAATCTACAACCGTAGGTTACCAACACGGCACACTCTGAGAAAACTCATTACTTCAGCACACTGCTGGGGAGCTGGACGCTAAGTTTGAAAAGAACAAGATTTTAATGAAAGTCACCTGTCAGGTTTGAAATCAATCAGCATTAAAACATTAGCAGTGAAGTGTGGAGCCACACCGGCACAGTCATGCATGCTCTTGTTCTACCCCACCAAGGTTGTTGTTTCTGTCTACTCCACCCATTACAGGGCACGCATGAATCTCACCCTGTAAGGTATTATATTATATTAATCTGCATGATAGGAAATGCCTATTTCAGGTTATGCATAATAACTCAATAATTATGACATGCTGGAAATGCTAAATTTATTTGGCTACATAGTTTCCACTGGGCCAAAAAAAAAAACAAAAAAAAACCTCAGCAGCAGCCAAAGACTGGAATGCGTAATGAACATAATACAGAGCACATGACATCAAAACTATTTAAGTCAGCTCTGGTTTTCTGGCCCATATACATCTTTGAGCCTCATTTCAGGTCAGCTCTCTTACTGAGTGCACCAAAGATTTAATGATATCACCCAATTCAAAGCAGAAAACTATCTGCTCATAAGTACTTCAATTATAAATACTTCAATCGAGTCAGCAACATTTTCTATTTTTTGTAACTAATTTGTGCTGAATCAGGATTGTCCGTAAAATACATCATTATTTTGTTAATTCTGAATCAATACGATATTAAAGAATTCATTTGGCTTAAACTTAAATTTAGTTAAACAATTACATGTATTTGGTATGAACAGTGCAATAAATTCAAGCTGAAACAACCGTGATGAAAATGAAAAATGCACAACAAATGTAAAATGAAGTATGTTTGGGAAATTTTTCAATGTGTTTAAAGTAAATGCTAACTTTAAGACAAGTTTTAACTACCAGAACAAATTATTTTTTTATACTGAGTGTCCGGATTAAGATATGAGTCAAATATTTAAAGATGAATGTACCTTAATAGCTCTTAAGTGGAATTAAATGTGGCTTTTTTAATACTTGTTTAATCAATATGTTGCACTAATTTTGGTCCAAATCACTTAACAAGCTGCTAAAATAGTTTATGCGGTTATTGGTTTATATATATATTTTTTCCTTTTTTTATTTTGCGTTTTCGTGTGTTGTGTGAATGCCGAATTGAAGACTGATTTAAATTCATATTAAAAATGTATTATCTCGTGACAACGTGGCTTTTACAGAAAAATATTGGAGGATGTTGATAATTTAACATTTTCTTAAATGCGGTTTGGCGTAGAGGGAGAACAGCATCACAGCACTGGGGCAGAGTTCATGTTGTCTGTGCGTTAAACAGAGGGAAACCTGTGACAGCTGGTGTTAGCTACCTACCACAGTGGCTGTCTCTCCGGCTCTCGGTTCCGTGGGTCGTGTTCGCCATGCTGATGCTACAGGTGGGTGGCAGGTATCTGCCGCTGGCCGGGGCGGTCCATGGTGATGCTGTGAGTTAGAGCCAGTCCACCATCACCTCCCTGCCTCCTCAACGCAGCTTTGTGCACACAGACAGCTCCAGAGTTAGGTCTTTCATCGGGATTTAAGCAAATATACTCACCCGTAGAGGCAGGTAAACACAAACAGCACGTCCAACCGGACTGACTCGCAGAAGAGTGCACGCGCTGCTGACGTTACTCTCTGATTCAACAGTGCTTCCTCAAGTGCAACAAAAAATACTTAAAATTCAAGCGGTAATTTCCGCTTCTACAGCATCGCTACAGGGGGGATTAAACTTCCTCTACACTTAGAAAGTATACAAATTAACACCTGTCTTAAGTTTATCCGGCATCGTTTATATTTCATACCTGTCTCGATGGTTCCGCCGCCATTTTAAAACAAAGTTGTGCCGTGAGTGCGGTGTAATCGAGTCAAGAATGTTCACCGTCGATGGAGATTCACCTGTTTGTTGTGTGGACACGAAGGCATTAATAATCGACCCCGCAGCCTGCTCACGCTTCATGGTGACGTGTCGGCTAATAAATTAAACTTGAATTACTGTTGTCCAGCAAGATTTCATATCTAATTTTTTATTGCTTATAAATAGTGTTTCTTGAAATATACATATAAGGGAAATACACTTAATAAGATCCCGCTATAAATAAGTATAGCCAAAATAGTAGAGGGCGGTTATTTTTTGGTCAATTTAAGCATACAAGGCAATCACTTGGTGCTCTGGTTGTGTTTCAGCTGATCGGATATTACATACATTTGTTGCTAAAGCAGGTAAAAACTCATATTTGCGCTCCAGGTACTCTTTTTTTTCAACTCTAAGTAGACAAAATGACACGTAAAATAAGGGTTTATCACCTCTTCTGTTGCCATAACAACAAAGTGCATACTGGAAAAATATTTATGACTCATTATTAAACCTCAGCAACAAAATGGGTGTTTTCCAAACCAATATCTCACAAATGATTGATTCCATTTTAAATATTCCAGCACAGCAGTATGATTTGTGTCAGATATGTAAGCCCAAAGGAACAAGAGTTAGGGCATCATGTAAAATGTAGATAAAACTGAATTTAAAATACATTATTTGCAAGATTTCACACAAGTGATCATATGGTTACTGCAGTGGCATCAAAAAAGTTCCCTTTTTCTCCTAAGATGAAAACCCACTGCATAAAAAAATAGTTTTCAATGTTTTCTTTGAAGTCTGACAACATTTAAGGTAGAAATACTCAATACATAAGTATGACAGTGACTATACCAAAAGCCTGCTTACACTGCCCTCTAGTGTCAAAACAAGGTTACACTGCAATAAGACTAAAGAAAGACAGCTGAGTCCACTCTCTGAGGTTTGGTTTATTCCTTTATTAGATGTTAAGAAAATCCACAATGAAACAAAATAATTTACTCAGGGTGTACATGAAATTAGAACAACAGAGCTACTCGGGACAGGTGGGGTTCAGGAATATAGAGGAGGGTGGGGAGGGTGGAGGAGCGTCAGGGTGGGAATGAGAAGACGAGGAGGTTTTCAGTGCTGGATATGTTCTTCAGACCACAGTGCAACTGAAACCCTGTAACCCCCATTTCTGTGTCGTTCCAACTGCATATAAACCCGCACTGAATGCATTTTCTCGTCTTGTTTACTTTTCTTTTCTTTTTTTTTTTTTTAAACACAGCCTATCAAAAATGGAAGAATCAAATGGAGAAAGGTGTGATGCGTTCCTTTCAACTTCTAAGTGCTTTTTGTGACTCATTCGCACAGATTCACACTCATACTTTTAATCACTGATTTAACCTCTTGTATTTAAGTAAAATGTTTCGTTAAACCAACAGAAAAAGATGGAGTGTGATGTTTGCATGCTGCATTTTAGAGACATTCCTCTGTTTAGTTTTTTTTTCTCTCTCAGGTGTCCTTCACTCAAAATCAGTCAACATGCAAAATTAACTGAATGACTCTTCTCCATATATTCTTGAATGTTTACATGCGCCAAGGTATTGCATAGGACCTCTTGTATGCCTCTCTGCATTGCTTATGCAACCCACGATGGCTTAATTTGTTTTTTTTTCCTCTCCCCTGTAAACCCTAAATTAAAGACAGCCACCTGTGCAGTTTGCTTTAAAAGCACTCCTGTCGATAATTTCTGCTCTACAATCAAAGAAAGGTTTTACATTAATGCATCAATGCACTGTCACAGGTCTGAGTGTAAGATTATGCAGTATGCTTGTATTAAAAAATTCCTGAGTGTCTGATGACGGTCAAAGAACGGCGACGAAGACCCTGAAGTTCGAGTACCTCTCATTCAGCTACTTGGGGGTCCGTTGAGTTGGCGTTGGATTGAGCAAACCTTCCTGTACAATCTTTTCTTTCCTCTCTCTCTTTTTTTTTTTTTTGCCATTTCTAAAGCCAGAAACACCTTCACCTGCGACAGTGCATTACAGTGTCGGCTCACACTGTTGGCAAAGTTTTAATTTTAATAAAGGAGGGGTGGTTTTGACTTCTCTGTGCTTCAGTTTGAAGGTTTAACGTCACGAATCAGTCGCCTGCCACTGTCCTCTCAGCAATTTGTGAAAAAAAATGATAAACTAAAATAAACAGCAGGTTATGAAAATCTGCATTTGTTAGAGCCTGGCCAATAGAATTCGAGACGAGAAAAACATATTCACCTTAAACAACCTGCGCTGTTTAATAAATCTTAAACTGGAATGGCAGTTTTTTTTCTGTCACCACAGTGCAGTGTCAGCCATGATCCACTGCTTCATGAGTGTTCAATGAAGTCCTGGCCATACCAGAAGGGTCTCTTTTATCTGCTGACCAACAACAATTCAACACCTACAAGCTGCTGTGTGAGTTCAGAAACACTTCCAACACATTAAGAAACTCAGGACCAAGTTTTTATGGGTAAGCAAATAGACAAACAGGTTTCAAGAGGACAACTGTACTCCCAAAAAAAAAAAAAAAAAAAAAACTTTGGGATCCTGAGACTCACTCATATGGACTCTCTTGACGTTTTACCACTAATCTCCTTACAGTCACACACTTTTGTCCCTTCTGATGGACTCAGATTGTATAAAAGACTCATTATGCCCTGTCTTAATAGAAGCTGGACCCCACTGTGCCACACAAACAATGTGTTTTTCCTGCATGTTCAAAGCTCTTCATCATGGTTATGAGAACAAAAGTGATATATCAGCCAGGCTCTAACACAGCATCTACTGGGGCTTCAGATTCATTTGTTTTTAAAGCACTGGTCATTAAAGAGCCAACCAACACATGCTTGGTATTAAGAATCTAATTCGTTCACTTTATGACGAAGAACAAGGGCCACATTAAGGATAATTATTTTGAGGATATAGTCATAAATTTACCAGAATAAAGACATGAGAAAAAGATGTCACATTTTCAGGATTAAGTTATAAAATCAAACTGTCTCTTCTCTTAATCTACTTAGAGATTTACATCTTAACTTTAGTACAATGACAACTTTTACCTCTGAAATTTACAGCTTTATTCTCGTGAATGTACAACTTTGGTCTTGGAAAATTCGGCCTAAAATGTCAAACAATTCACAACTTTTTTTTTCTATAGTTCTATACAGTGGCCCTGAATGTTCTGCCACAGGTTTAATTAAAGGGGATGTTGGCATCATCTATGAACGTACGTCTATGCAAAAAATTCACGTTTCTGCAAGATAAAGTTTAGTAACACTCGCTCTGAACCAGTGCCTTCACAAGTTCAACACGCACGCACACACTCCCACAAACACGCGCACGCACACACACACACACAGTGAGACGTTACTCAGTATTTCAACAAGATATATCTTAAACCAAAGAAAAGAAAGAAACACACCTCATATGGAAAAAAGCATTTGTACCTTAGTGTAATAATTCTATTTATGTTTTTGGTTTGACCATCACCCCGCTGCTTCTTTTGTTAGATGCAGCACGAGCGACTGACCATCTGATGGTGCTGATCATGCCCATTCTGGAACAACAAACTGAGAAGATGAGATTTTAATACCTGCGAGTGTTTCTGTTTCAGCTGTTACAGGCCTTACAACTGAGTGGTTTCCTTAAAATATATATTTAAAAAAAAAAAAAAAACCCACATTCAGCAAGAAACTTTTTTCTTCTTTTCACAATTTTCCGCAAAAAGATATTCATGGAGTCTGACTTTGTGGACTACGAACAAAACTAGGCTCTCTACTTCTCACAGCGGTATCATGGAACTGCAATTTCAAATTGAACATATTTATAGCACCAATAGTCTGTACCATTGACATTACAAAAAAATAAAACATTGTTTCATTCAGTTGCAACACAGGTGTCTGCAGAAATGGCTGTAGTTTTGTCTTTTCGTGATGGGGCTTTACCGCAAACACAAACTTTTTTTCTTTTTTTCCCCCTCACTTTTACAGCATTGCATTTCAAGTAGATTAGTATTTTTCCAACAAAACTTATTTTTGATTTCCTGCTTTTTTTGTATTTTTAAAAGGATTTTTTTTCTCAATTTTAGCCTCACAAACCATACTAAGTCTACTACTAGCTTTTGTAAGACTATCACCATTCAAAAATCAGACTCATTTATAATAACTTTTCACACATGGGGGAAGCTGAGGGATATTTAGGAGAAAGCTGCACACATTCTCTACTTCACATTCAGAAAGTCGTCCAAACAAACTATTTAAATTAAACTCTCAAACTCTTACACAACTCAGAAACCTCAACATCCTTGTATAATCTTTCTGAACACAAGATGGAAAGTAGAGGATGCGATAGCAGTCGTTTTCACACAAGATCAGAAAAAAGAGGAGTGAGACTGGCTGGACGAACACACATGCACAACCATTCAGACACCAACAACTACCAGTATCCTAGTTCAAAAGCAAAAATGATGGGAACAAAACTGACAAGGATAGAACAAAAGTTGTCCCAACTATCTAACTGTGAGACTCTGATGAGGACCAGTGTACAGAAGAATCAAATGAAACAAATTCTAAAAACGCCTAAAAATGCTTTTCCGCACATGGCATCACTCAAAGACAGAACATATTTTTTGAGTTTTCCTATTTTCACTCACTTTTTGTTGATCTGATTGATTACACAAGGTTCGAAGATAGTAAATGAAAACCAGCAGGGTTATGTGTGGGGTGTTTTGGTTGGGCGCTCTCAGAAAATTAGCCTACATGAGGTTTTCCAGCTCTGAGATGACCCTGAATCTTTGCTGGTAGAGGTCCAGTCACAAAAGGAGAGGGAGGTTTCCCCTCTAACGACAGGTGTCCTCTGCAAAACTGGAGTATTCAAATGTTGCTGCTCCCTGGAAGAAGACATGCAAATAGTTAGTTTTTTGCACACATACAGTTCTAGGGCTTTTTCCACCTCTTGCCTACAGTGAGTTTATAGTATCAGGTTTCCACAAGTCTTCATTTGGTGTTTTAAACCTCGGTCCTAGTCTGCAAACTCTGAGCTCATTTAACAATTTTAGTGACACTCGCAATGGATACTTGCCGAAACTATACCAAGTGCTACTCCACAAAGTCACTTCATTTTGACATTTTTGTCATTTCACTTTGCAGATAACAGGAGATCATCTTCTGATGGTGCCTGAACCATTTTGCTGATTTTATCTACACAAAAAATTGTAACTGTGCACTCTGATGTGGAAAAAGGTTCAGTTTCCAACATCATCACTGAACAAAATTCTCTACTTGTTTGGAGAGCGCAAACCTGAGATTCATGGTTAAAGGCTGAATTTTTACCAGCAGAGTAAAGAAGACAAGGCCAGGAAAACTGCAGAAACTATTTTTCAAGAAGGTCTGTGAAAGAGACATCCACCAAAGTGAAGAAAACTGCAACACAGTATGGACTTAAGCAGGGTTTCAGGACTGGTTGAGTGAGAAGAAAATGCAGACAGAAAACTGATGGAAAAGGAAACTAATTCAGAGGATTCTGCTGTTTTCTGTCGGTTAAGAAAGCCAATGGATAAACGCTTCACTACTTCACTATAAATGGGGATTTTTATCTTTATATATATGTGTGTATATATATATATGTGTGTGTGTATATATATATATATATATATATATATATATATATATATATATATATATATATATATATATATATATATATATATATATATATATATATATATATATATATATATATATATATATATATATATGTATATATATATATATATACATATATATATATATATACACACATATATATATATATATACACATATATATATATAGGCCCTGTAAATGCCTTTTTTATTTTTGGGGCAAAGTTATCGGTCAAAATTAAGTTCTGACAGAGAGAGCCACGTTCTCAGTCCTTCTGCGGAAATGTTGCATTTTATCTTTTCCTTTCTGACTTCCTGTTTGTGGTGCCTCAACCAGTAAAGCAGTACACTGACCTGCAATGGCCTCTGTTTTTACACTCTGATTGGGATTATGAGTTGAAAACAGAATTTCCTTGTTGAGGTTTTTAAAGACCTCTGTAAAAATCTTGTCAACACAGAGAAGTGACTTTAATATGTCCTGAAAGCTGCAGGTTTTTGAATTTGAGACTGAAAGACTTAAAGTAGTTGTCTGCGTACTGATCATCTGCCAAATTGAATAAAAGTAATGACAAAGAAAACATTCCCACGGCAAGAAACAACAGAGAAGTGAACTACATGTTTTACCTGTACACTGAGATCCAGGGAAAAGGGGGGAACAGAGTGTGTTCTGCCACCAGCACTCATCTTGCTGGTTGCCAGTTCCTCCCTGTCCACTTACATTTAACAGAGGGAACTAAACAAGACAAACGAGAAGTGGTTAGTGTGTTTCAGTAAACACTTTCACAGGTGGAACTCACTTTGCAGCTCATGAAAGATCATGACACACTGTGGTTAGACCAGTATTTTTTCAGAGTTGGGAGGATGTGTCAAATGTAGATACAGAGAATTTCATAGTTTGCAAATCATTCCAAGTTCATATTAAATTAAAACTGAAAATTGTACTACTTGATGAAAATTAAATGCTCATTTTAAATTGATGGAAGCATCATGTTTCAAAACAGTTGGGATAGGAAGAGAATACGAGTGAAAACAGGAAAAAGTTCGTCAAACTGCAAGAGACTACATGAGGAAAAAGTTGAGCAGTACCAGAGTAATGTTACAGAGATTAAAAATGTACTAGAAAATCCAAAATCATCATGTACAGCTCTTGAAATCATGAAAGATTCAAAAAATCTGGAGAAAGAGAAAACCTTTGATGGTATGGCTGGTTTGCACCATTAAAGCTGAACGGTGTACATTATACAGGTTTTGGAGAAACATGTCCAAACCACATTCTTCACTCATTTATACACCATGGCTCATCACAAAACACAAAACAAACAATACCACCCCCAGCTGAAAAATCAGACAAAACACCAAAAACTGATCTCTACAGCTCCCAGACATTTACATAAGTGTCAAAAGAAAAAATGATCAACACAAGCGTAAACATGCCCCAACTGTTTGGAAACGTGTTGCATCAAGTTTACAACAAGCATATAATTTTCATAAGACCTTTTTGCGCTATTTTGGTCTAAATCAACATCTTACTCAGTGGGGTTGTACATCTTCTGGCAAACTTATTACACTGATAATTTACAGAGATTGGTTTTAGGACTCCTCACCTCTGGCATTTCTCCAACAAAGTCATATGTGATCCCATACTTGGGGATCTGACCTGCTGGTGCACATAAGCAGGACTGTTTTTCTCCTGAAGATTCTTCCTTTTGAATCTTGCAGACTGAGACGACCGTCTCTCCGTCTGCAGTTGAAGCAGCTGCTGCCGTTTTGCAGTCTAAGCAAATCTCTTGCTCAGCAATCGGCAGGAGGGCACTGGAACCCTCCTGTGAATCCAGAGAGGTCTGGGCACTCTTCTCCATGCCAGACTTCTTTAATCTGGGTAAGAATTTACCAGATTCCAGTTCTGACTTCCCGTAATACGGGCCCTCACATTCTGCATCCTCCTCGAGAGGTTTGAGGTCAGCCTGAGGATCGTCGAAGACGTCCACCGGCGCCAGGACGGGAAAACTCATCTCCTCTTTGTCAGTCTCAGCCTCGGAATCACTCACTCCACCAGGAGACAACTCTGAGGCTGATATGGGTCGGAAATGAGTCCTAGGGGAAATGCGGATGGCCCTGTACTGCGTCCTGTTGATGCCATAAATTCTAGGATGGAAGGCTTCATTCTCAGAGTCCGAGCAAAGAATAGATTTGGGCTTGAACCCTGGGCTGAATGAGGCCATGTCTTCGGGCTCAAAAGAACACTCGACATGGAGAACTTGGGAGAAGGGATTGTTCAGGTTGAAGGATGCAAACGGATATTCCAAACCTTGCTCCTCACTACGCAAGCCGCCGCAAGATCCGAGCAAATCTTCATGGAAGATGAAAGAAAATCCCTTATTCAATCCGTCCCCGCCTCCCCTGATGGCCTGGTCACTCTGCCCAAAGGAAACAAGAGGCCTCCACAGCGGCTTGTGCCCAGGAGCGAAGCAGCTGCCGGTGTTCATGAACACATCTGTGCCAGTGATGGTGAGCATGTCTGAGCTGGAGGCTGAAGCAGCTGCAGCAGCACATGTTAGCAGGCTTTCTTGGGTGTCACTTGGCGGCACAACAGCCCAGTTTTTGTCGCCAGTTAGTGTCTTCAGCTCTCCATACACACCTCCCAGGATGAACGACGTACTCTCTTTGTCAGAGTTCAAGTCCCAGGACTTGGACGGAGTCATATAATCCCCGGCAGCATCCACCTTGCAGAGTTTGTTTTTGGCCAAGTCCTGATCTTCCTTCTTGCCTTCCCACAGGTGATACTCTGAGCGCTGCACTGCTTTTTTCTGAGGTCCTTGAATCGGACCACCTTTCGCCTGCACCTCCAAACAGCTGCAGCAATAACCGACTGACTCATCTGAGAACAGACCCTCACTCGGTTTCTCGGCTCCTTGCCTTGACATTACAGATTTGTCATCTCCTATTGCAGTCCAAATGTCCTTTATTATCCCTGAGCTGTAGTCATCACTGTGTTGGTTTGTGTTTTCTGAAAACATGCCAGTGCTGTACTGTTTACTCTCGTCCTCCTCCAATGCTATCCCACAAATGGACTCCAATTTGGACTTTTTGGTGAAGGTCTGATTGGATGCTGTAGTAACACTAACCTCCTCACACTTACGACCAGAGTCGTCTTGCAGAAACTCCAGGATTTCTTCCTCCAGATATGTACCAGAGAGCGGAGGGATTATACAATCAATCTCTTCGTTGCCAATATGAGCAGCATCCTCTGTCGGAACATTTCCTTGCTCGTTGTCTGAACGAGTCTCCTCTGAATGTGACCACGGACTGCAAGTTCTTGTTGAAAGATTCGAACAGTGTTCAGTTTCGTCAAAGGCACTATTTTTGGTCCATATTAGCAAACGAGACTGTTTATTAGAATGAGGGTCGAGACAGCTACTAGAATCCGTGTTGTTTTCGTGACCAACAATGAGTGAGTCGCGGGGAAAAGGAAAAGTGGGGCTGTCATACTGCAGCTCGAAAAGAGAGAAGCAGGATGAGTTCAAACCAGATGGTTCACTGGTAGCTTCAGGAACAGGCGGCTCCTCCAGATGTCCTGATAGTTTGCTCAGGGTGAATGAAACACTATCGAGGAGGGGAGAGAGCCGGATAGGAGAATCCCCTACAAAGCTTTCTCCATCTATATCTTCTGAAGTAGATGGTGAATAACATCCCCACACTTGAGCCATGGTTTCAAGATCCTCCATTAAGAATCCCACGGATCCCGAAGCTTCCTGTGAGTCTGCCCGTATTGCACTTTTCCCTTGCTGCTCAAGGCCATCTAACACTAAACAACATTCTGCCTCAACGTCTCTTTGCTCTTTGCTTTTCTGTCGAATCATGCTTAGGATCCGACTCTCTTGTATCGAGTCTGAGGCACTAGTATCCAATATGGATTGATAAATATCCACTTCATAGAAGTGAGTGAATTCAGACAGATGCTTGTCATCTAAATCTCTACTATCCTCGGGCTGAGGGCAGCTTGAGGTCCCAGTCAGTTCAGCAGGTTCGTCTTCTGCCTCGCCAGGCCCTTCCACAAAGTGCCCATCCACGAACGAGCCTGCCGCTAGGTACGCTCTCTGGTAGTTCTCATTGGCAATGCAGATTCCCTGGATTCTCTCCGGCAGCCTCTCTATGTCGGCTGGCAAAGCAAAGCCATCTGGAGAGTCTACCTTACTTCGATATTTTGTTTCCAGCTTGCTTTGTCTGCTGCTGAAAGGTACAAAATACTCTGTGATGGGCTCAGTGTACCACAGAGGCTCCTCCATGTATTCCTTTTTGTTTCTGACCTCAACTCCGGACTCTTTCGCTTCCTTCCAGCCTGGATCTTTACGAATCTCCTTCAGCGGTCTCTTCCCCTTTTTGTAAAGCTGTGTTTGTTTGGCAGCTCCTCCCGTGGCACTGCTGCTGCTCCCTCCCGCATTTCTTCGATCCTCTTTGTCAATAACCTTCACCTGGAGCTTCACCTGCCCACTGTTGCGTGTTCTCTTGTTCTTGGCAGCCTCCCTGGATTTGTGCCGTACTCTTACTGCCTTGCTTCTGGATGACTTGGAGTCACCCTGATTCCCACTTGAGCTTGAGCCAGCCTCACTAGAGCCAGACGACCAGGATCTGGGTCTGTATTTGCCCTCAGATCTGTGTCTAATCTGTCTCTTAGAGTGGACGGTAGACTTCTCCTCTGCTGCTGCCCCACCATGGTATCGGTTTTCTTTCTCCTTCTTGCTTCGCCGCTGGCCTCTCTCATTGGTCACAGTAGTGATGGTACCACATGCCTCAGGGTTTCGCTCCTTTGCAGCCTCTCCTTCGCTGTTGCAATCTTTTGGGGAAGAGGTGTCCGTGCTGGTCTGTGGGGCTGCGGAGGATGATGAACTTGAGTAAGCGCAGGCCTTGGCCTTGTTCCACACCGTCATGATCTCTTGGAGACAAACAGGTTTCTCTGACAAAGGAGGGAAGGCTTCATAATACCTGTAGCGACAACAGACACAGGGAAAAGGAAGTTGTGTTTATCTGCATTCAAAGCAATGCAGTTAAAATATATTAATACATATGGGTGTGTACTGCTGCCACTTCTTGTAAACACTCTTCCCCAAAGATACTTACATTTCCACCTGGTCCTTTGAAGAGGGGGACTCAGCTCGCTCTGGAGACTGAGCGCCATCAGATTTCTTCTGAATCTGTTTTTCCTCTGTGAAGATCACACAAGACATCTTTTTATGACAGATATTTCAACAAAGGTATTCTTTTTTTATTTTTTAAATCACAAGTTCTTAGTATAGAAACAAAGAATGTAAGCCAAACCTTTCTGTTTGTTTTGGATGTCCTTTAGTTTAGAGCAGAGCTCTTCAACCAGGCTCTCAATTCCAGAGTTCTGCAACAACAAGAGAAAAGGAAGACATTACTGATGACGCCTACAACAGCAAAAGTCTATTTTGATACATGATGCATACACTTAATTGTCAGTAGTGGATGTGACAACTATAACTCTGAGTTCAAATTGTTGTTTGAACGAAATACACAATAATTTAATGATCAATACTTTGAAAACATCTATTCAAAGTGTAAACATTTAGAGCATACAGGTACTTGTTCTAGCGCCACACTGCTTCAGCACAACCCCCTAGGTTCAGTTTAGAAACCTGCCTATGAGTTAAATTAAAGGTTATTTAAACTCACGGTTTCTCAACGGACCAAAAAACAGAAAAAGAACCACATGCATTGCCCATCTTGTAGGCTACTGAAACAGTTCAGTGGCTGCCCAAACAAATCACTTCAAAGCCTCAAAGCGTATTAAGTGTCACTGGTATGTGTGTCTGTTACAGGGAGGAGTGGGAGGGGCAGAACTGACTCAAAATGCACTCATCTATTTGGCAAAAATACAAATGGGCTCTTGTGCAGCAAAAGAAAACAAATGTCTTAACAGGGCACGGTTAACTACCTTATCTACTACTAAGTCCTGATGATGATCCCAAAAATCTGGTTTTACCTGAGGTCAAGCCTAGTCAACAGTTGTTCATGCCATCCTTCTGCATGCAAACATTGTAAACATTACATGTTTGTGTGTTTCAGCCCAAACCCCAAGCCCCAACATGCCAACTGCAGAAGAGGAGCAAAAGAAGCAGCAGCTAAGAGTAGCATGTGACTGCAGACCAGAATCAAGATTATTTTTCTGTGACCACAATTCCCGACACCCTTCTTGTGTGAACTACATTTTTAATGCATAATATACTCATTTTTAATGTCCGACCAAAATGCCAACAGGTGTCCGAGCCCATTATAACAGTCCCAACAATATGAGAGTCCTAAAAATGCAGCTCGAGAATCACAGTAACATGACTATTCTGGTAAAAATGTTCATTTTATGCCTTTATTCTTTTTAAATTCATTTTTCATGATCTTTCAAATTTTATGTGCTGCATTTGCCTCCTTTATTATTCTGAAACTGCAATTTTTTTCACTACATTTACACCACAAACAAACATTTTGTGAATGATATGACATACAGCAATCAAAAGCTGGATGAATAACTGATATTACATTTTGTTTTGCGCTACTGTAACTGTATATGATTTCATTAAATGGGACCATGATAACTGTGTCGTATCATTAGCAGGCCTCTGAGTCTAATCCAATAAGAGGTAGATACTGTACTGTTTCTATAGCATCAATAGATAGGACTGCAGAGTTAAAGGGCTGAGATGCTACTATGACCCTGAGTGTGACCTAAGGAAAGAATGAAAGGCACGTGGTTGACACAAGTCAAGCCAGCTGACTTCTCACAGTCTAGGCATGCTGGGCCATGAATGCGCTATATTTAGTCAGGGGTGCCAGGATGCCTCTAAACAATAAAAATACCAAATAAAAAGGAGATAAAAATAGACAGTAATTGCCTAATAGTTATCCGACCTCTTAAACATTCTCTACACTTCCTGTTAGTCTCACTTCCATCACAAATTGAGCAATAAGGAAGACACATAACAAACAGGGGTGATAAACAGGACAAATATGTTGAAATACTAGCTCAGTCCAACTTGGCACTGTCAGAGCAAAAGCCTTAAACAAACCCATACGTAGCTACCGCTCGGAGCCAGTTCTGCCACACTTTTCAGCTCACTCACTCCTCCAAAAATGTTAATCCTTACCATGCCACCTGACGAAAAGCAAAGCAAAGTTCTCCCCAGCCCTGTGTTTCCTCTTGCATCATTGTGCTAATGCCGGTCAGCTGACAGCCGACCGACTCTGCTGCTCACTGCTGCAATCCTGTGCAGCGTGTGCTGGTTAAAAAATAGACCGCAGAGTCCAGTCCCCAGAGAAGAGCTCCACACTCCTCCTCCTCCTCCTCCTCCTCTTGCCTCACAGACCCTTCCCCCTACCCTCCCTCTAGTTAAAATGTTGTGTCATTCTCAACTAAATCACACCTTCCTTACTACTGCTGGCCTCAGATGTCTGCCTAACTCTCTATTTTTTTTTACTAACATTGACCAGGCAGTGAATCAATGCATGAGTAAGGGTTATAAATTGGAGAGGAAGACAGCACTGTTTTATGTAAAGCAATGACTCTAAACAATGACTTAGACTAGGATTCGATTGAAGATGAATTTAAGTCCGAGAAAAGAGGTGACATTAGTTACAATGAGGGTCTCCCCTTGTCCAACACTTCTGCCTTTCACACTGACACAGCTTTACTCAGCGTCTATTCACCATGATTTATGCAATTAATATCTGCATGACTGCACCGAAACAAGAAACAAGGAATAATACAGTCACAATTTCCCCATAGAATAAGAACAATTACACCCCCGGGGTTTCAGTATTGACATGGCTTTTCATTCCCAAGTTAAAAGAAGAGATCAGTAGAAGGGGCTCTTTCTTAAAAGTGCACTTATTTTTAAATCTACATAAAAAGGCCAATTAACAACGCTTCCTAAAAATCATACGGTTACAAAAAAACACTCTTACCTCATCAGATGCAGAGCGGAGGCATTGCACAGCAGCTTGCTTCTTCATTTCCTCAAGACTCAGGTCAGTCCCTCCTTTCTTCTTACTCTTGCCCCATTTCTTCCCAGTTCCCTTCTCCCAGCCCAAGAAGATGTCATTTTCCTTTAAGACAAAGAAGAAAAGGAATAAGTAAAGAGAGGACAATTAAGTGTTTACAGTAAAACAAATGAGGAAGAAGCCGATTATACGGATTACATACTTTAAGTGTCCAAACATCTGTGTTCTACACCAGTGGTTCTCAAGTCCAGTCCTCAAGGCCCACTGTCCTGCATGTTTTGGATGTTTCTCTGCTCCAACACACCTGATTCAAATGATCAGCTCGTTATCATGCTCTGTAATGGCTTGATAACGAGCTGATCATTTGAATCAGGTGTGTTGGAGCAGGGAAACATCCAAAACATGCAAGACAGTGGGCCTCGAGGACTGGACTTGAGAACCACTGTTCTTCACAATATACCATCATCACTTACATACAGTTAGTTATTCCTCTTGGAGGACAGGAATATTTTTGATAAAGCTTGTAAGGCCAGTTCAGGTATTGGTGAGTTTGCAACTGTATGCACAAATTAGCAGTACAATTTTCTTGTTTTCTGATAAATTATGTAGAGTTAAGAACACGTTATGGAGTTCTTATACAAGGATAATGCAAATAAGGAAGGATAATTATCCCACAAAGGCAAAAACAATTGCAGAGAAGGTGTTTAGATGCATCCCTTTGGACAGCAAGCCCATCTTTACAGTAAAGACCCACAGTACGTCCTGCTGTCACGACAGTAAATCCCAGACACAGTCTTATCAGAGCTGTATCACAGAGTTCATGACCAAGGTGGTGTAAAACCTGATGTGACTGCTGTCAGTTTCACAACAGCTATTTGATAATCTCACACTTGTCCTCTGGATTCATTCCTACACTTCTGAGTGGAATAAACCGATGATACTTTTAATTCATTTGTTTTTCAGCTCTTTATACTTGGACTTGGTATAGGCAAATGCTTAATATTTTAAAAAGTCAGCTGGGAAACAGGGCTTTTTAAACTCCTTTTCAGCTGACACGCATGGGAGAAATATTTCACAATAACCTAATCTTTACATTGTTTATTTACAGGATGTTTTTTTTATGTGACAGACACTCTAGTTAATTTAAGATGGCTATTTAATTTGTCTATATATTTTCTCTATATACTGTGGTTTAAACAAAACCAGAATACCTATGGCTGATAAATGCTTAAAAAAAAGCAGTAGAGTAAAAAAGTTATTTTAATTTTCCTTCCATTCCACCAGTGGTATTGGCTTAATCTTGACGTTGGCCAATTCCCAAATTCAACTTCAGTTTATTTGGGAAGAAAGGACAAATGCTTTTAGAGCATGTCTAACAAACTGAATCAAATGAGGAATGACTGAGAGGAGCTCCTGCCATGATGTCAAAGAAAGCCCCATTGTTGAACTATCCTGGAAAATTTAAGTCAGACAATCACATTTGCACCCTTCCTTCCCTCTCAGAGTAAGATTCCCTGCCCACTCAACTTTACCCAAACAATGACAATGAATGAATGATCTCAGTTCCTCTCTTGCTTGACTGAAAAAAGGATCCTACCTGGTCCTGCAGGTCGTAGTCGTAACTATCATGCAGGAGAAGGCTGAGGACATAGCGGGTGTAAATCATGGCATCTATCCCGCACTTCTCAAGCTCCTGGCCAAGCCAGCTTTGCACTGGACCCAGCGACTGGAGCAGGGACATCTCTGAGGCAGGCAGGGGGCCCACGAGGGGGTAGGGGCAAGAGAGGTTTTCAGGAGGAGCAGGACCGTCTGAATCGGTGCTCACTGGACGCATGGGACCTCAGGTGTAGGCCATTCTCAGGTAGAGCAGCATTGTGATGGTTAGTTACTGAAGGGTGGTTGACGGAGAAAGGTACGGGGAGAAGATGAGGCAGAACCTTGGAAAGAGGGGGCAGTCACTCCAGTAGGAAACACTGAAGGGGCTCTACATGGGGAGGCATGTAGGATGTTTTTTCTTTTTTTTTTATTGCTTTGAGCAAAAAAAGGAGGGTTTACTCGTCAGGCATGGCTTATGCTGTTGAGCAAAACACACAATGTGTTTGCGTCTTAGTTGGAAGGGTCCATACTGGGGCTTCTTCTTACTTCACCGGCACAACCTGAAACAGAGCAAGCACAACATTTTACAAGGTGTACTGATGTGAATTTAAGCCTGTAAAATATTGGATTTTCACCGAGACCAAATTGATCAAAATGAAAAGAAATTCACTTAGTACCAGTCACTTCTATGAACACAATGGTATAATCAATTTTACTGATATTAAAGAATATAAGTGTCTCATGGACAAGTGGAGAAACAATAGGTCTGTTGGTGTTCTGGCAGTGAAGGACAGCACTGGGAAGAAGGAACTACATAGATCATTATTCCATGTCTATATGTCTCATGGCAATATGGGCAATTTCAGAGGCCACTTGGCAAACGTTATCTTCTCAATATTAAGATATACCTGTATTCATATCCCGAGATTAGGGTAGCTTTACATCCCTGTTCACCACCACTATGAATGAGATAGAACAATTAATCTGTCAGATTAATGATATTTTGCAGGGGGAAAAAAGCGTTGGCCAAAGCCTGCACTCACTAGGTGCGTGAAAAATGTAAACAAATAATGCCTGCATACACTGCAGGTGGCCCTGTCAGTGTAGCCACTGATGAGCAGTGTTGGCACTCCTCCGTGTCCACTCATCTGGCAGAGTTCAGATACGGTGGGATTATGGGAAAACTACCTACACTAGACTTCATCTTCATTACCTGCAGAGTTCATACCTCCTCAAGGATTTTACAACTAAATATTTGTAGCTGATCCATTCTTAATACCATGTACTATGTTTAGTGTCTGACTGAATTAGGTCTTTTGCTGAGAAAATGTAAATAAAATTAGTTAAAAAATCTAATAACAGCAGCCCTTAGCATGAGTAAGAAACAAAAACTTTTATTAATTTTAATAAATACCTGTATTCTATCAAATGTAGGGGGAAAAAACGTGATATTAGTGTCATATATTGCCGAATCAACCAATCTGCTTTCTAACTACCTGCACTACAAAAAAAAAAGATCAGCTGGCCAGTAGTGACTGAATTGATTTTTTGTTATTGAAGGTTACAGACAGTTCTGATGTGAATTTTGAGTCAAACATGTTCCAGGGTTACAACACAAAAGGTGCCTTAACAGCTGCCTACATTTAAAAAAAACAACTTTGAAATATTGACCAAAGAAATTGATTTTAGGGAAGTCCTAAAGAGGTTTCCATCCAGATGCTGTTACATGAACTGCAGCCCTGATATCCCTTTAATCTTTATGTTTGAGCTTCGCAGTACAAACCACTTCATGAATCCAATCCCTGTACGGTCTCTTGATACTTATTTGCACTTTACTCGAGTATTAATTTTGAGGGAACCCACTTACTTTGACTTCTAATGGATAAATATGATCTTTTTGACTCCACTTCATTTCTAAAGATGTTTTTGTTGCACGCTACTTCAGCTGATGGCGTTCCTTTTCTTAAACATGATCCCAAAGGCAATAAACTGTGTTGATGTAGTTCTGTGTTTAGTTTGTCAGAGTGGTGCTGTTGTCTATGGTTCAACATGGATGTACAGATACACAGGTACAGGAACAGGTACGCAGAGCAAACGTTGCTTGAATCAGGCAGTTCCTTTAGCGCAGTGGTTCTCAAATCCAGTCCAGGCCCACTGTCCTGCATGTTTTGGATGTTTCCCTGCTCCAACACACCTGATTCAAATGATTAGCTCATTATCACACTCTGTAATGGCTTAATAACAAGCTAATCATTTAAATCAGGTGTGTCGGAGCAGGGAAACATCCAAAACATGCAGGTCAGTGGGCCTCGAGGACTGGACTTGAGAACCACTGATTTAGTCATGATAACTATGAGTACAGAGAGGGATGATGATTTTTCACCTGGGCACGAATGTTCTTGTCTTCAGCCGATGACATGTATGATTTGCAAAAAAATTAGTTGTTCCTGTTATTTTGGAGCTGTAAATCCAAACTCTGTGGAATTTTAGTTTTAAAAATGTTTTCTTATTTAAGATAATAGACCAATATAAACACTTGTGTATTCTTAACTTCTCATTCACATTTTCTAAAATACATTTGAACATTTTCTATGAAGTAATTTGAATATTTCTACAAATTTGATTTAATAAAGCATATGAAAGAGCACATGTAACTTTTATCATGCTAATATCTGACCAGGAGTATCTGCCCTTCAGCTGAAGAGGTTATGAACTTTGTCCACCACTGGGGATCTCCACCTCATTCTGAAAATGACTGCGGGGCTGTGCAAAACTATTATCACTCCAACAGTACCATCTTAACCATCTCAAAATCAACAGCTGTGCAGATTCGGTTTCGCGTAATGCAATCAAAGAAGTCCATGACCATACAAAACAATAAACACGAGCAATAATCCGAATAAGCGTGCAGTCAAGGGGCAGGGAAAGCTTGCTGTCAAGTGCATGTGTGTCATATGGCAGCAGTGGATTAGTGAACCGACGTGAAGAGCAAATGGAGGCTGCACCGATTCCATTGGCTGGCCTGGTCGTCACTCAACAATGGCATATTATAGGTTACCCGTGAGAGACGTCAAAAGGGCAAGATAATGAGCTTTGCAGTATGCAACCGTACCCTTTAAGAAGTCTTAATGTTTTCATGAAAGAATACGGCATCTGGTCATTGAATTCACGTGAACGTCAGCCGAAATGTCAGCTAGCGCCACAGATAATTGCAAAATATGGCTGACCAGTGTCTACAGCCCAGCTGTTCCTTGTATGCACCCTAGCCCCGGCAGCTAGCACTGCTCACAACTTTACCCCGTAATCCATTTCTTCATGTTATTCTGACATGCAAGGGAGCAAAATACTGCTGTTTAAGCAGCGTTAAAAACAAGTTACCTACTTCACTGCGAGTGTGATGTGACGCTGAGAAAATATGTAAGGTTGGTGACATTACATTTGCTGGACATACGAGTGCGGCGACTACAAGACAGTCACGAAGAATCTTGTGATTAAATGGGAATATTGTGACAAAAGACAGCTACAGATTAAGTGACAGTTGCCATCGAGTTGACTTTTTGCTGTCAACGTCGGGGAGAAGTGAGCAGTCAAACAGTCAAACAGCAAGGTTAGCTGGACCACCGACCTTTAGCTAATCAGCTAAGTTAGCCGAGTTAGCCGCCGTAAACTCCTCGACTGTCATTAGGCAGTGTGGTAATATGCTATTTCTTCACATTCAACTCGGGCAGAAGGTTTCACTTTATTTAAGGAGTACTAATATCTTCTTATTTACTAAATATAAATACTCATTGTCGGGTAATGTTATATGTCTGGCAGGTGAACAGCGGCCGCTTCTACACGGTGACATTAGGGTCTGTCCGTTAAAGTTAGAACCTTAGGCCGAGTCCAGCCATTGAGCCCAAAACGAAACACCAAATTAGCATGAAAACAACTAACAGCAAGTGTGTACGGTAAATAAGACACTGAATTAGACGTTCACTATCAATAGCTTCTGAGCCTGGTTGTTGTTATGACCGAGGGGGAGGAGGAGCGGCTGCCCCGGTAGGCTACCAGACGCTTTCCCTTCAAAAATGTACGCCATATCGTCACACGGCGAAAGAGTAGCTGACCAAACACGACAGACTTCACAGTCAGACCAAACACTACGATTCCATTAGAAATGTACCAACTATTTCGGAGGTTTACTTACCTGCCGTGTGCTGAAGTGAAGAGGAGCAGCGAAAGGGGAGCGGCTATTTCTCTCCCGCTGCCGATCCGAGCTCGAGCTCTGGAATCCGCTGCGGTAGCATCGCGTATCATGGACGCCGACAGAAATGGCGCTGTTTTCACATCCAATCTTTCTTCAACAGCGTCAAGGAAAGTGGCGACATTCGGGTTCAAGCCGGAGGAAGGTCATTCCTCGATAATAATGACGAAACAGAGCCACAATGGCCGCCGAGGAAAGCCAGTTTCATTCACCGAAGGACTCCTGTATGCGCCACCCTCCGCGTTCGTATCTAGGCAACAAGGCAAACCTCTGCCGTCCTACTCACGTAGATTTGATACGTCCGCCCGAGTATTGCATCAGAAGCACAACTAGTGCTTTGTCACTGAAACAATTTTTTAAGTCGAACTCGAGCAATATAAAATCAACTACTGATTAAATAGATATACTGTGTGGGACTTCCGTTTAGAAAGGTGTAAGACCACATAAAAACAAACTACTCAAAGAAAGAGGACAAAGGCAAGTCAAGCTCCAGTGTGGGGTTTGTGTGTTTATTACTTAAACTACCAAGTGTTGATTGGAACTTAAAATATTTTTTTTCCTCACAGAACTCATAATTGTCGTCTCTGTTCTACAGAAATGCCACCTAATCACTCTGTCCAAAATGAATTTTTACACAGACTCATGCTTTGAAACTCCTCTAAGGAGTTTTTATATGGTTGTAAAATAGACTGGAATTGACAGCTAAGCCTCTTCATGAACTTCAAAATTTAACAAGATGATTTAACAAATTTATTTTAATGCGTGTACTTACTGAAAGGGGGTAGGCATCAAACTGGAGGATTTACAGCATGGGGGAGAAATACCCTTGGTTTGGATATTTACAATGGATGACAATTTGACTATTAAAAGACAGCAGAAGGATGTTTTTCCTTTTCTCTTTTTTTCTTGTCAGAAAATATCATTTACATTCTCAAATTTTCCAAACAAGATCAGCAAAGCCTTGATATAATAACTCTGTCCACGGAGAACACCAAAAATCACAAACAAAAATTAGTCACAGGAGCTTTAATCAAAGATCCATGATATAAAAGTCTAATGCCAAATACAACATTTTCACATGCCAGTGATTTATCATGGGACCAGTCTTAAATGGGTTTTCCAATATATGAATACACTGAAATAAATTCTTATGTAATTGAGGTTTTCCACTTTTGACTGTCTTTGTAGTCGCTGATCAGGAAGTGTTGATATTAAACAGCCTATCAATGAGTCAAAAACATTCTCAAGTGCAACATGGTCAAAGCAGTCTTTACTTTATACTGTGTAAACTTAAAACCGGAGATGATATCATTACCACTATCAGTGCTGCTCCTGTTACTGCTCTACCATGAAAAAAGTGCTCACATTACTACAACTCAGGTGTTATTACCATTACTATTTATAGTGCCACTAATCCTAAAGTACCACTGTAACATGAACCAGCAGCCTCTCCCTACTCTCAAAGCCACTTGGCTAGCAATAAGCACAAAGTATGTGGGTGTGTACACGGGGGTGGTGCCCATTATTTAGCCTGACCACCTGCCCCCAATCATGGGTCTATAGAGTGGCACACTTATCCTGCCCTTTGACCCCAGGGGTTATGACCCCCTGGCTGAGATGAGTTGAGGCCTATTGACCAGCTGTTTGCGCTCTGAGCTGTGTTTCCAGTGTGAAGTCTGTCTGTGTGCATGTAAGAGCGAAAACAAAAGAGAGGGAGGGTGTGTGTGTGTGTGTGTGTGCAGTGTGAGCGAGGTAGAGTGTGTGTATCTGACAGCTGATGTTTGTGGCTGATATGTGTAGCTTTACCACAGTTCCCGGGGTCCCCCGGGGCCAGTTTGTGGGGTGATATTGAGTTCTGCTTTTATGAGAGGCCTAAGCTGCAGCCAGAGGCCAAACACAAATTGACCCTCTGCAGCACTGAGGTCTGATCAATGAGGAAGCAGTTTGTGGGTTTTTACCATCGATATACTGGACAAACAAAGCAAAACATCCTGTTTAGAATGTCTCATGTGTGACCAGCTATTGCATATTTCAACAGATGGTTCAATTTTGGCATTAACTTTTATTCAAACTCAATCACAGATACCTTAATATAAAATTTGACAAGTAAATACAAGGCAAACAAATCTATACTGTTTGTATTGCCTGCTATAGCTGTGTTTTTCTTAGTACAGCTGTTCTATATTAATATCAAAAGCTAAATTAAAGACAGCGACAAATACTCAAAAAAATTACAGAGAACACAGCCATTTAAAGAAGCCATTTTTTTTTTCAACAAATTTGGAGATTAAAGTTATTTTTCAGGAAAAAAAAAATTCTGTTAAGAATTCTTAAAACTAAGTCAAAACTCTTTAATTTGTTTTCTCAGAATTGTGAGTTTAAAATCATAATTCTCAGAGAGATTCAGTTTTCACAGAAATCTGAGATTAAAGCTGGCTTTCCAAGATGAAAGTCAGATTTTGAGAATTCAGATTTTTTAAAAAAAACCTTGATTTCAGCGAAATTTCAGAATTTTGACTTGCATCTCTGAAATCTGAGATAAAAATGGACGAAAACTGACCTGCTTATTGTTCTCTATTGGCCCTTGCCCTTCCTTTGCAAAACAGATCTGAAACAATGAAACCGATAAAAGTCAATTAAACCAGAAAACATGATTCATGATTCAAAACTCAGTCACAGATATCTGCAGTTTGATTTCAAGTTTATGGATCCATTATGTAGTCATCAGCTGAATCCTCCTGATGATTTTATTTACTGCTGATATTAACAGTTTATTTGTTACTAGTTACAGTGATCACAGCTAATCTACAATGCAGATAATGAAGCTGAATTTCATATATTTTAACTTTCATTTAGATGGGTCAACACTGAATAATAATAGTGAAAAGGAAAAATTCTGCCAGTTTTGAACTGTTATCCAGCTGACCCAAAGATACATCTGTAGCTTGTGAGAATAAAACAAATAGTTCTTACATTTCAAAAAAAGTTTTCAACTACATGATAATTATATTATTGACAGCGTTTGCCAAACTCCTCTTCTTTAATGTGTTAAATGTGTATTTTCATTCCTTCTGGTAACAAAAAAGTTGTTAAATGTAAAATAGAGTTAAATTAAAATAATCGGTCAAATGTCATTACACCCTGAAACTCGCATCGTAACGTGTGCTGCTCTCTGATCTGACAGCTTTCTCATTTGCCAGCATTAACCTTCCTGTCGTGTTCGGGTCAATTCTGACCGATTTACAACTTAAATCTCTCATAAATTTTATATTTTACATCTGATTGCCTAAAGACCTTATGATATCCTCCACACTGTGCACTTGAACATATAAAAGTGATAATGACCACTTTCATTAAACTTTGAATGTTGTAGTCAACTTTGTTACATCTGTGGTGTTGCCAGTCAAAAGTGACCGCCATAGGAGATGAATGGATATCCAGATTATATTCATCCATCAGATGATAAAACATCCCCATACACACTACCCCAACACACACACACACACACACATCCCACACACACACACACTCACACATGAACCACCTTTCCCGATATATAGCTTGATGTGCCTCTGCACTCATTTTACTCTGAGCACAATGAGTAGGTGACTGACAATGCAGTTATCTGTCAGAGAGACTCTAGACCTCATCTTTGAAGATGAAGAGGGCACTGAGGTTGAGCCAGAGATAGAGGAGGATGTCTCAGAAGTGGAAGACAACACCGATTTTGACCCACACATTGAGGATACTGACATGTCAACTGATGTAGAGGAAGAAGCACCTGAAGAGCAGACACCTGAGGAGACATTCAAGTCCAAGAATGGAGATTTTCTCTGGGCTTCATCCCCCCAGGACAGAAGTGGTGGAAAGAGAGTGGAAAACATAATAAAGATGACACCAGGGCCAACACAGTATGCAACATCTCGTGTGGATGACATCAAGTCCAGCTTCCAGCTCTTTTTACCAGAGTCCATTGAGGGGATTATACTGGATATGACAAACCTGGAGGGGAAACGTGTGTTTGGGGACGCCTGGAGAGAACTGGACCTGGTAGACCTCCAAGCCTACATAGGTCTGTTGATTTTAGCAGGAGTATATCGCTCAAATAATGAGGCTACAAAAAGTCTCTGGGATGAAGAATCTGGCAGGCCAATGTTCCAGGCAACTATGTCCTTACAGCAGTTTCATGTCATTGACAGAGAAGTGGTAGGCTAATCTCACACAAAAACCCGTTGTTGACAAGATGTGATGCTTTAATAGTAATTTTTTTTTTTAATGTATAATGTTTTTACTGCACTATTATTAGACCGACCGTTTGTGGCCACATGGTTAACAAGTGTTAGTATTTAACTAAAACTGTCATTGTGCAAAAACTAATTTTGCATTAAAATCAATATTCTTATCAATTATTGACATGGTCAGGTCTGTGATATCTTTATCAAAATCATTTCACTTTGCACCTCATTTTTGGAAATATTGCATATTTTGTGTTTTTCCCATTGAAAAAATCCGAGGTTCTCACGACAAAAGACACTAAAAACCTAAAAAGCTATTAAAAAATTGTGATAAACATTATATCTATGGATAGGTCTGAAGTTTTTGGCAAGATGTGATGCTTTAAAAGTAAAAAAAATACGAATGTATAATGTTTTTACTGCACTTTTATTAGACTGACCGTTTGTGGCCATGAGATTAATAAGTGTTAGTTTTTAACTAAAACTGTCATTGTGCAAAAAATAATTATGCATTAAAATCAATATTTTTATCAATTATTGACATGGTCAGGTCTGTTATATCTTTATCAAAATCATTTCACTTTGCACCTCATTTTTAAAAATATTGCATATTTTGTGTTTTTCCCATTAAAAAAAATCAGGGGTTCTCTTGACAAAAAAGACTAAAAATCTAAAAAAAAATAGGCAAAAATTATGATAAACATTATATCTATGGATAGGTCTGGAGTTGTTGACAAGATGTGATGCTTTAGAAGTAAAAAAAAAATATGAATGTATAATGTTATTACTGCACTTTTATGAGACCGACCGTTTGTGGCCACGAGGTTAACACGTGTCAGTAAATTTTAAGGGGTGCACAAGGGTACAGATCATATTCATATGAGACCCCCTTCCCATGGGAAGGGGGTCCCATGTTGCCTCTCTGAGCTGTGCTCGGCCAGGCCACATGGGTGCAGGCCCAGCTACCAGGCGCACACGATCAAGCCCCAGCCCCACTCCTGGCTTAAGGGGGGGGACCCTGGTGACCGTGCAGGCGAGAGAAACTTGGTGCGAAATATTTCATCCATCATGAGGGATCTGTTTGAGCTACGCTTAGTCTGGTCCCTCCCCGAGGACCTGTTTGCCTTGGGCATAAAGCCCCCGACTCCATAGCTCCTAGGAACATTCGGACACACAAACCTCTCCACCCTGGTAAGGTGGTAGCTCAAGGAGGGGAATAAAAACCCATGGGAGGGAAAAACCACAAGGGTTTTTTGTTTGTTTGTTTGTTTGTTTTTTGTGCACAACACCCGGTTAAGAGTGTTTTTTTGTTTGTTTGTTTGTTTTTTTCCACTTTTTTTCTCGTTTAAAATTTTTTTTTACTTTTTAGTTTTTTTCTTCAGTTTTCTTTTGTTTTTGGAGATTTCTTTTTGGAGATTTTTTTTTCTTCTTTCTTTAAGTACTTCTTTACTTCAAGGAAGTTACTTTTTTTTTCCACTTCCCACGCTTTCTCAACCCCAAGAAGTGTCTTGTTTGTTCCCAAACTGAAGGAGGTGGTTTGGTGGTATTAGAGTTTGTCTCTGCTGGTCCTGCAGTTCCAACTAGTTCTGGAGATCCAGCAGTCACTTCGGTTTCTAAAGCTCCTGCCAGTTCTTCAGCTCCAGAAGTTTCTGCAGTTTTCTCCATCTCCATGCAAAACTGCTCGATGTCCATGCAGTCCTGCTCCTCAAGCATCATCTCATGTTGCCTGATGTCTGTCTCTCGAAGTTGAAGCTCAGTTGAGAGTTCATTGTTTTGGGAGAGCAGGAGAGCACACTGACTCTTCAGCTCCTCAAGCTCTCTGTTATAAAAGCTCTCCTTCTCCATGCTGCTCTGCTGCAGGGCACTGATCTTTTCTGATAGCTCAGTCTGCTGTTTCAGAGTCTGGAGATCAGTTTCATTTTTCTCTCTGAGCTCCTGGTTTATTTTTTGATCTGCTCCAGTTTTTTCTGCAGAAGCTTGCTTCTGGTCTTTTCTTCTTGGAGCTCTGCTGTCATTGTCTTAAAGCTGGTTTCTTGGGCCACTTTAAGCTCCTCATTGTCCACCATACCAGCTATCTGGATGTAGAGCTCTTGTTTCAGCTCCTCCGGCTCAGCCCAGTGCCTCCTCTCCGTTTCAAAAGCTGCCTGCTGCAAAACAGCAATTTCCTCCGTCATCTTCAGACGCATGGCGTCCTGTTCAGCTCTCAGGATCTGGATGGTCTGTTCCTGTAAGAGTCTATCATGGTGAGCCTGATTTTGCTGCTCACGCCGAAGAGTCTCGACTTCCTATTTCGCAGCGGTGAGGTCCGTTGCATACTGGAAGTTCAGCTCTTGGTATGAGGTTCTCATCTTCTCCAGTTCTTCATGGAGGACCTTGTTATTTTCAGTCAGTTCCTGAACTTGTGTTATGAGCCTCTTAATTTGCACAATGTGTGCCACCTTCAGCTCCTCATAATCAACATGAAGACCCTTCTTCTTCTTCTACTGCCGGCTTGTGTCCCTCACCTTCAGAGCAATTCTGTGTTTGGAGAGGGTCTCCTCTGAGCTGTACTTTTGAAGCATCTGCAGCTCCTTTTTGATCTCCTTCCCTTTGTTAATGTACACTTCCTTGAGAGTCTTTTGTCTGGTCAGCTGCAGTTGAGTCACCTCCAACTCCTGGCTGAGCAAGAGTCTTCGGTTCTTCTCTTCTTGGCAGTGTGACCTCTCTCTCCAGCAGTTCAGTGAGCTGAGTCACAGTCCTGCGGAGTGTCTCCATCTCTCTGTCCCTCAAGTTGAAGGTCCTGTTGATCCTTGGTAGGTTTGTTGGTCGCTGCATTGTCTTTGACTGTTTGTAGTCTCAGAGTTCTGCTGCTAAAAGATTCCGATTGTCTCTTTCTTGAAGTGTGTAGCCACTCGCTGAAAGGTTCAAACGATCCTACCCTGGACAGCTGCTCTCCTACACACCAGCTGTTAAACTGAGCTTTACAGATGCCATCTTGCCTGTCTACTTCTGTCCATTGTTGAACCAAAATTAAAAAATAGTTCTCTTTAACCCTCGGAGCATCTTCGGGACAAAAATTGACATTTTGGGTGTGTTTTTTTGTTCTTCTCTCAGTAACCCGGTCAGTTTAAAGGCTAGCTGTATGAAATTTTGGCACTATTTTTTTTTTTTTTCATTTTAATTGCCTCAATTCCAAAAGCCTGTCTACTGGAAATGTTTAGAATAGGAGATTTGCATCACACCAACACTTTGGCCAATTGACTCCCATTATAACCACATATTTGTCATACGCTGTAATCCTAACATATTATAATGCTTTTTCTATTTATACCTAATAAATCTTAGCTTTTACCTTCAAAATTTTGGGAAAATATGTATTAGGTGTAATGACCCCCTTTAACAACCAGAGGCCATTACATAAAGTTTTGGGGAAATTTCAGTGACGGCCTGGGTTTCTTACCTCGCAAAATGCATAGAAATAACAAAGCTAAACACCATAAAATGGTTTTGGTATATTAGCACTAATATAAAATAGTGGTTTGAATTTGTATGAGGAAAAAAAAAAACATCAACAGAGCCCTTTTGACCTGGGATTCTTTGATTTTCACACATAGAGAGACATCTAAAGGGTCCTTCTGTAAGGGAATAATTCTCAAAATTCACCTCAGAAATATGCTTCTCATTCTCCTCAGAGTACTGCAAGATATACACACACACACTCACAAACACACACACACACAACTATATGTTAAGGAGTTTGGTCTCTGGTTTTTGATTTCTTTTTTACGTTACATGTTCATTTTTTGATATATTTTCAGTGACTGTTTGTATTTTCACTGCAGTTATTCATGTTAACTACTACTCAGAGACATTGTTTACAGCTGAAAAGATAAAGAAAAGATAAAGATTTGGTGGTGAATAATGGCTTTTGTGTTAATTTAAGACTAAGAGCAGTTAAAATAGACACAAGTAAGGTGAGGGGTATAAACACGACAGGAGGGTTAATTGAGTCAATTTGGAGCAGATGGCACAGTCAAGAGATGTCCCGTAATCCTCTCCCAGGAAAGGAGGAAGGGGGTTAAAGGGAGATGAGGGAGGAAGATCGGATAAGAGGCCCCTTAGTGATTTCCCTGCATGCTGGTGAAAGTAAAATCTTTCCCACTGAGCTTTAGTTTCCCTCCTTCACGGAGAGTTCACGGGGCTGTCTCAGGACGAGCCGGCCACCACATGTAGGTGGGTCAGTGAGGTGAAGCCTTCATTAGCTGCTGCAGTGAGATAACCGCAGACATGTGGCAGACTCTACACGCTATCTTGTTTACATTGTGTCTGTGACCTTAAATAACTCTTCATACAGAAGCTGATATTATTCAGTTTTTTATGCTTTTGCCTGCAAGGCCAAATACCATCAGCCTGAATGCATGAGCTGGTTTAAAGAGTGACTATTTCAGGTCCCAAAAACTAGTAATGGGAAGAACAGTTCTTTTGAATCTGTTAATTAAAATGATTCGTTCAAAAGATTCGTTCACCATATCAGTCAGTGCTTCAGAGTCCCATCCTGCTGGGTGCAGTACACTACAAGTGGGTGACACAGTGGCGCTGATCGCGAGTTTGTTGTAATGTAAAGGCACTATAATGCACTGTTCTATCTTAGTCTCAGTGAACGAACCGGTACTCAGCAGTTCATAAATGACGCTATGCCCCTCCCTCCTTTGCCTGCCTCAAGTTGTTCGGAAGTTGTTCTTTTCATTCGCAGTCTGACTGATACATGTCATTCATTCGCTGGCTGGCTGGCTGTATGTCGTTCGCCACAGAGTCAAAGACGACAGTTACATTCCCGACCCGCATATCACGCTTGTGGCTGAGGGCAGCTGAACTGAGAAAGGAACGAATCAGGTCTTGGAGTGACTCCATTTATGTCGTTCACTCAGCAGTTTTGTTCTTTTGAACGAAACGTTCATGAACAACACAACACTATCAAAAACATCAGGCTTCACTGTGTTG